AAAAATGTCAATTGTAAAACCCCTTTACAAAAAAGGAGACAAAACCAACCTTAACAATTATAGGCCAATAGCCCTATTACCCGCGTTCTCCAAGGTCTATGAAAAAGCAATGCTCATTCGCTTAAACAATTTTTTTGAAAAGCAAAAGATATTGGATGATTGCCAAAATGGTTTCCGAAAATCTAAATCCACCACTACCGCAGTGTTTAAATTCATTCAAATGGCCATTCAACATGTCAATGATAAAGCATATTCTATAGGTTTGTTACTTGATATGACAAGGGCATACGATAGGGTGTCGTACAGTATATTGCTTCAGAAACTATATAATTCAGGTATACGAGGTCCGGCGTACCTTTGGTTTCAGTCTTACCTCAACAGTAGGAAACAAATCGTGGAAATCCTGCATCATGATATGGATACAACTGTAATCCAAACAATACAGTCGGAGATCATGGATTTAACGTGCTCTATACCACAAGGGACCGTTTTAGGATGTATGCTATTCTTAGCCTACATAAACGACTTACCTAAATTTTTCATTAGCGAATCTGTACAACCTGTACTTTTTGCCGACGATATATCAATTTTAATAAAAAGTAATAGTGTTGGTAATATGAGTCAAATAACAAACGAAACCCTGGAATTAGTAACGCTTTGGTTACAAAATCATAATTTAGAAATTAATAACGAAAAAACTAAAATTATGGAGTTTAGATCATACGGGAAGCCTCCTTTAAATTTAAAAATTAATTATCGAAACGCAGATCTCGAAACTGTAGAATCGTTTAATTTGCTCGGTATGACCATTGACACGCACTTAAATTGGAAGTCCCACGTAGAATCCACTAAATGTAAGCTTGCTAAGTTCACATATGCTCTTGATCAATTAAAACAATGTACAAATATAGACACGGCGTTATCTGCGTATTATGCATATGCGTATTCATGGCTAAGGTACGGAATAATGCTATGGGGAAACGGCACAACTGCTAACGAGCTCTTTATAATGCAAAAGAAATGTATACGTATCATAGCCCACATAGACAATACGGAAAGCTGCAGACCATATTTTATAAAATACAAAGTCCTGACTTTACCATCCATATATATCCTAGACGTATCACTATTCGTACATCAAAATTTAGACGTATTTAAAAAAGTTGACGAAACACATAATATAAATACACGGCACAAAAATCGATTATATTTACCACCATCTCGATTGAGAAAACTTAGTAGCAGTCCATATTATATGTGTATAAAAATTTATAATAAATTACCCGCTCACATAAAAAACGAAAAACATTTTAACCAATTTAGGATAAAATTGAAAATATATTTATTAGATAATAGTTATTTATTATACAAGAGTGGAAAGTTCCTTTTTAACCGCGTGCTCGATTTGGATGACCGAGCAAGCGAAGGATTCTAAAGTTGAATCACGAGCGCAGCGAGTGATTCTAAATTAGAATCCTGAGCGTCAGCGAGGGAAACAAACGAGCACAAGGTGAAAAATCTTTCCACTCGAGTGCAATACGTAACTTTTCATCCCACCTCAGCGAGGAAATGACAAAATGAAAAAGAAAACAATTTATAATGACAAAATATTTAAGCAATAAAACGTGAAAAACTAGAATGGCGCGAAGCACGCAAATAAAACAAAGAAACCAAGAAGGTTCCAAATTTAAATTTTTTCACAATTTAAAAAGTTCTAATCATAAATTTGGCACCATAGAGGTTACATTAAATAGGTTTAATGACGTTTTGAATTTACAATTATATTGAGTACTCATTATATGTGATGTTCTAAATTCAAATCTACTTTGCCGCTCAAGCGAATAAAATAGAATTTTCCAGCCAGATTTCGAAGCGCAAAATTACACTTTCCGAGGTGGTGGGATGAAAATGCTTTTACACCATAGATGAATACTTTGCAACAAAATAATATTAATGAGGCGATCTTTAAAATACAAACCTAGATTATATAATCATGTTTATTGACATATTATTTTATTTTTATTGACATATTTTTTAATTTTAATTATTGACAAATTTAATTTTATAAAAGAATTTCCATAATAATAATTACAAAATTAAACTAGTACTGTAAATAAGATCAATTGAGTAAGTTATAAAATTAATGAAATCAGATGACATTTATGCATGCTTTGAGAAAAAAAAGTTGTTTAATAAATATTAGGTTCTTCATTATATAGATAATTGTTTATTTGTTAAATTCTCTTTTGTAATTTTTATCTATATTGCGATACCCTGACAGGGTTCATGTTAGGTACTTTATGCATTTTGTAACTTGTAACCATCCATGTAACCACATGACTGCAATAAATTGAATTGAATTGAATTGAATTGAATATTTTTTTTATTTTTGTTATTATGATTACGGGGAAGGTTGTCAGACCATTTCCATTGCTTTGTTTTTGTAATTGTTTGCGGTGTCCTACAGATAAATGACCTTAATTTAAGTAAATATGTTAAAGTTAATATGGGTAGTTATGGGTAGTCATGCTTTCTTAATAGTCTCTTCGGCGGTGTCGTGTGAGGCGGGTCGTTACGTTCCCTAAAATACGGTTGAGCGAAGCGATGGCTGAACGGGTGCTGCCAGCGGAGATGAGTCTGCCCTTACTTCCTTGATATTGAAGATGTTAATGTTTAGTTACACTTAATGTAAATAACACTACCAATTTGTATTTATACTGTATGACACAGCAATCAAAACGCAGGTAAACAATTAATGTATATTCAGTCCTTATTTACTGAAAGGTGACTTCATGAATCATCTCTGAAGTCATTTTAAAAATTTTCTTCCCTGTTTTAAATTAATAAAACAGACCTTGCTGAGTTTCTTGCCGGTTCTTCTCAGTACAAGGTCTTCCGCGCGCCGTACATTTACGAACCGATGGCGTAGCTTCTAGATATTAATGAGTGCTTGCTTGTAACAGCCTTAACTGAATAAATGATATTGATTATTGTAGGTGTCCGTCATGCCAGCGTACAATCAGCTTCATAAAAATCGAAGTGTGAAGTTGATCAAAATGATTGAATATACATTTGTATGCGCTGTTAGATAATCTTATAGTTGTAACCGGTCAGAGATATTTATTATGCCTCAATACAAGTCTTTCGAAGGTAGCTCGACAAAGTAAAAAAATATATTATTCCGACGACGCATTCCTGCAAAGGATGCGAAACGTCAATAAATATATAAAACCAGTGCATCGAAACCGTTGAAACTTGTTTTATTTAATGATTGGTGTGAGCGAAAACCTAAGAAACAAATATTTAAATTATGTTATTTTCTAATTTTTAATATTGATTTGCTTTTGTCCAAAGCACTTGTTGTAAATTTTACAGTATTGTCATCAATATCTTGCTTGCACTATTTACTTATTTAAGAATGCCAATACACATTTACACAAGGATAACTGCACAATCACTATAAGTGTGTAGTTAAGATTTCAAACTTTAAAATAATTTTCAACATATCCACGTGGTTAAAATTGTTGGCACAACTGACGTGCACAATTAATATTAAAATTCAATTAAGTAAAATTTTAATCATTAAAATACCTAATTCACAATTTAAAATAGTGTTATCTTCATAAGATTTTACATGGATAAATAGTTGTTACTATCGACGTTTTTCCTTCAGGTATACGATATATTTTCCAGTTAGATAAACTGTCTCAATCGCATCACCGAGTTCACATTACGCCGCTTACTCGCACTTCCATAGCATCTTTCGCCTCACCTGGCGAGAACCTTTGCTAGCCAGAACCACCTGTCATTCTACCTACTTACTTTAAATCGCTTAGACAAACACATTTAAAATATAAATTACAACTTTACAGAATAAAGTTTACTTTAATTTATAAATTACACACCTTTCGTTTCACATGTCAGGTACTTGTGCTCATTGGAACCGCCTGTATTTTTTTTTAAACTAAACAACGAGTATACTTAATTATATAAATATTTCGAGCTTACAGCAACAAGTATTTTTTTATATTTTGTCGACAATTTCTAATACATAGTACTTGATCACGTGTAGGGCTGAGGCGTGCCAGGCGATGTTTACCGTACTAAGCATGCTATGACTCACCTTCATAAGAACTTCTACCCTTACAGACATACTATTACTCGGAGGGTTCTGTAGCTTTCCTACTATTAGTGATCCATCCCTGCTTTATTGTAACGATTTCACCTTTCGAGGCAAAGAAACCTAAACACAGAACTATATTAAATATAGCTTACGTGTTGTGTTGTGTCACGATCGGTTTCATACATTTACGGTTAGATAAAACTACATTTGTATGTCGCAATGTGTCGGCAGCGTTCCCACTCTAACCGTACTAAATGTATGAACCAGATGTATGAGACAGATAAGTGTAGTTCCGCCTTAAGTCTATCCAGCCTTGTGTTTAGTATCACTTGTATTCCCAGTTATCCCTGTAGAGAAGTCACATGATGAGAGTACTAGTATTTTTTCCCAGAGGTTCCGTTAATTGGACTACACATAGACTAACAGGTCATCTATAAAAGAAAAGTGTTTGTAACTGTATGTAATAGAACTAGGGAAAATGTTGACAAAAACCTTACTTACTAACAAAAGCATACAAACTAAATTCGTAACTGTTTACTACTTCCTCCTTGAACCACTGGGAAAGTAAATACCAGTAGTCTCATAATGGGACTACTCCACTGGCATAACTGGGAATATACGCAGTATCATGGTTACCGTATCATTTAAATAGTTAATAGTAAACTTTTATCCATTTATTGATGTCATTCATCGTTACATAATGCCTACTTTAATGAAAGGCATCATTATTGTGTGTATAAAATTACCACCCACCATGTAAAATTATTCCCGTGGACTAGGCTGTATAGATTTCATAATTTTAAATGCTTTGCCTTATAATAGAAATTAAAAGTAAACATTAAAATCAGCTGATTGTCAATGTCATTTACGAAAGTAGCACAAATCAAACAAATGTAGGTTAAAAAAGTAAGATTTTATATTTTATTCTACAAGTTGGTGACCAGTATTGTAATATTTAAGTAGATATTAAGAAGATATTTAGTTTAAATTTTTACATAATGGAAAATACTATGGATATACCTACAGCAGAAGGGAACCTATTGGAGCAGCCGAAAGAAGTGAATATGCCGACACGCAATCCTTTAATCAAGATGCGGACTTATGTGCTAGCTCTACGACCGTGGTCACTGAGCGCCAGCCTATTGCCGACGTTATTAGGCGCTGCGCTGGCGTATCGCCTGCCTGGAGAAAGTGGCTTCAGCTGGCTTACTTTGCTCTTAACGCTATGTACAGTTGTGCCAGTACATGGAGCTGGGAACGTTGTTAATACATATTTTGACTTCGTCAAAGGAATCGACAACCGCAAATCTGATGACAGAACTTTAGTAGACCACATACTTAGTATAGATGAAGTTGTATCTTTGGGTGCTATTCTTTATCTTGCTGGATGTGTATGCTTTGTGCCCCTTATCGTACTATCACCAGCTCGAATGGAACATCTAGCATTGGTCTATTTTGGGGGATTGTCCTCATCTTTTCTCTATACAGGAGGTATTGGATTGAAATATATAGCACTAGGTGATATATTAGTTTTAGTCATATTTGGCCCAGTGTCTGTAGTGTTTGCATTTTTAGTTCAGACTGGTAGAGTAGACTGGCCTATAATTTATTATGCTGTACCCTTAGCTTTAAATACTGAAGCTATATTACACAGCAACAACACTAGGGACCTTGAAACTGACAGCAAAGCTGAAATTGTTACTTTAGCAATACTTATCGGAAGAACAGCTTCATATTTATTATATGCGTTTTTATTGTTCACTCCATACATTGTTTTTGTAGTAGCATCAGTTCGTTGCTCTCTGTGGTTCTTATTACCTATGCTTACATTACCTAGAGCATTTGAAATAGAGAGGAGATTCAGATGTTCCGAAACAATGAGATGTGTTCCAAGACAAACTGCTAGGTTAAACTTTTATTTTGGCATGTTGTATGTTATCTCTTGTCTATTCGGCAGCAAACTACCATTCCTTCTTCGATAGGATATGATTTTAAAAGTGAATGCAAATTTGAATTAAGTATTTGAGGGCCATGAATCATGATCATGCATTTAGTGGGTGAATGATTTATAAATAAATATTTTTGTTGGGGTGAATGATATATGAATAAAAATTTATGTTAGAGTGAATGTGTACATTAACATTTTCAGTAAATAAATTTTTGGAATATATTAACATATCACAGTGTAACAAAATGAAGCTATATGTATCATTTTTATGTCTGGTAAAGCATGTGTTTGAACTATGATTTAACCTTCAAGATTCATTCAGATGGTCTAAGCTGATATCTATATACTTTCTTACATATGTAAAACAGTTTTGGCATATATATATCTCGATGTATGTATATGGGTGTTCATTTTAATAAGAATAGGTTCATATTTAAATTAGTTTTGTCAGTCAGCTTATTCAGTAAAGAGATACAGAGGCATCTTTAGCCATTGAAGTGCTTGCGTGCAATCATTAAACTAACACCTTAGTAAGAGCGGAGTCAAAATGTCATGGTGGCGAGTGGCGCTCGGCTTCTGTGTGTGTGCAACGCACACCCTGCATTCTGACGATAAAAAAAAATCTACCTCTTGTTTATGTTTATTTTTATATAAAGTTTTTTATTGTGGAATAATTGTTCTTTAATAGTATTAAGGGGTACTAAATTATTAATTAATTTATAACTAATTTAATTGAAGGAATCTCATACTAAGTGTATTGACAATAATTTATTTAAATAACATGGAAATACATAGTTTAACTGTGATTGAAGACTTTTAATAAATTATGTAACCTCCCATATTATTATTAAACAAATAATTAAGTTTATAAGAAATTTTAACCAAAAATTTTAATAACATTCTCTTACCAACTATATACAGTTGTCCAAAAACTTTGGCACATGTGGGGAAAGTAGGTAACTTAAATACTGTAAATAGAAAGTTTTGATAAAGGAAGACTTAATGTTTATTTTCATAAAAATACAAACTGCATTCGAAGAATATTAAACATTGACTGCCTGACCTGCTAAATGTGAAAATTAAATTACAATAATTTTATTGTACTGATTGAAAGGCTAAAACATTTACATCTATTTCTTCTTAGTAACATATCAACTAAAATAAAAGGAATGTTATGAAATTAAAGGTTTAATAAAAAAAAAAAACCGTTGCTACCACCGGTATCATTTACAAACCTTGTTAGTATAGCGGCGGCGATGTGTATAATTTATTTACAGATCATTATTACTATAGTCACTATTATGCTGCTTGTATTTATTATCGTTTTATATCAATTAATGGTACTTTAGGTTTCTTTGTATGCATGCATTCTAAACTTGTTTTTATAATTTATATTTTAATAACATTGTTTGTTAACTGAATAAAAAAAACCACGGTTTGCACTCCGGGAATGCCGGCAGAAGTACTGCACAGAACTTGAATATTAACGTTGTGCGTTTTTGATATTTTGGAATGGTTAGGGAATCATTTTGCACGAATTGCTTTAATTATCAGTATAAAAATACTATTATTTATGTGGTAGAATACAATATTTATTTATTGCGCTATCGTACACAAACATGACAATTTATATTACATTAAAAAGTTTATCTCTCAGAAAAATCAGCTTACAGGAAATGACATCTAGCGACATCTATTGTAAAAAAAATAATTTTCTTCGCCATAAAGCTGCCACCTGGACGTCCTAATTAGAGACTTATTATTATAATAGGATAAAATAAAATATGTTATGTTTCGTCCAATATATTGAAAGTCAACAACCTTTCCAATTTTATTGTTTTCGTCTTACGGATTTTCGATCAGGCCACGTGTCCTGACGCGAGTTTAAGTTTTATTCCATTACAAAAAAAGTGTACAATGCCGCTTAAGAAGTTTCGACTTCAAAGAGTAACAAAGTCAGTCACCATTATCTCTGCACGTGTACTTCCGAGATAAAAAAACGACGCGCGAATCCCCGTGCGTTCGACAGAATTCGCACATATACTATGTTGCGGAGTTATTATATTGGTCGATTCAAAAGAGCGTTTAATTAGGCAATTTGAATAAAGTATAATTTCATTTCAAATTAAACACCAGTGTTAGGCGCCTTTTCTCATCGGCGCTTGTTCGTTTCTTTCTCGTTTCTGTACAAATTCTTTACCAGAGTGCATGTTATTATATGAGTACATCCTCACTGAGTCGTTTCGTTACAGATTCTTTACCGAGCGTAGGTATATATAAATATCTAAACCTAGTGCCACCGAACCATTCGACTCGTCCGCCCAAAGTGACGACGCTATTCCTAAGCATTTATTGTAGTTATTTAAAATTTATTTTATTAACAAATGACAAACAGCTTAGTAAACAAAATTAAACGATACCGCACCGAAACAGCCGGTCAAAAAGTGGTTCTCGGTTAAGAATCTGTACAGAAACGAAAACGAAACAATCCGGTGAGGAAGGCGGCATCTTAACCCTGTCGGTGCGGACTTGTTTGGTAATACCATTGTGCATCTAATGTCGTTAAGTTTTAAAAGCTTGAAATTTCTTTGCTGGAAGAAAATCATATAAAATAGGGATAAATAAAAAAAAGTTTAATTATTATTACTTTATTGACATATTAACATAAGAGACTTCTAGCATATAATCTTCATAATATAAAGATAAATACAAGTCAAATTATACTATATAAGTGAGACCACGTAATTTTAAAGAAATGGACTTAATTAGGAATGGCTTTACTACAATGCTGACAGATTTGGCAGTGATGGGACAACAATTATAAACGATATTTATTTAATACAACTGAGATATTAATTATACAATAATTATAGTGTTTACGCTATTGATATTATGAATTCTAATCACATTGATAACATGGAAATCCATTTCATTGAAAACTAATGTAGACAGGAACAAAATCACATAATCGACAATAAAGTATTTTATTAAAGTTGGCTAAAAAAAAACTAAACATAATATCACTACAAAAATAAAATATTATCATCTCCAACATTAAATTTATCATTTCCAAAGAATGGGTTTAATATTAAGTTATTATCATTTCATTAGTCAAATTAATGCAGGCCTATTAATATATATAATTATGTATTTATAACTGACATGACTTTCCTGCAAAATTTGCAATAGACTTTTTTATGCGAGAAGATTACGTCCTTCATGCTTATTTTATATGTCTTTATCTTTTAGATTTATTTATTCAAAGACATTGGGGTTAGCGTTCATGACAAGCACCTGATACAACTTAAACTGTTAGGCCATTTATATTTTTTGTGATGACACACAGTGTTTTAATATAAGTGTGATAAAATAGGTTGAAAAGATACAACAAAATTTGCAAAAGGAAGTAAAACACCTTTTAGAATAATATTAATGTGTTCTTGTTTATACTATCCTTGTATTATTATAACTCGGAAGTTTTCTAAATGAGATTAGCTTTTTGCAGGCCCCCGTTTTTAATAAGGTTTAGGTACTTCAGTAAATTAAAATTGCTGCCAAATCAAGTGAATAATTATGCAATAAATCGTATAACAAATGGGAGTGACAGTAGTATGATAATAATTGCATAATATGTATAGTAAGGCGGATCGGCAGGCCTTTGTCACTATGCGGCTCTTTGTATATTAACACGCACAGGAGATATATGGACTCATGATATAGTCTCGCCAACGTTTCGTCCTAGTACTCAATTGCACAAACCTTTCGCACTACGCGTAACAAACTTAGAATAATCTCACATTCATGCGTCCGGACAATAGTCCGTAAAATCCTGGATATATCCAGACTTTAGTCTTTATATATGTGTTAAAATATATACATCAGACTTTAAAGACAATGCAAGTCAAATTCCTACATTGTTTACGAAATGGATCCCTTCTTTTCGCGTTGCCATTGGATGATCTTTTCTTTGAGCTCGGTTGCTGAAACAAAACTTAATTAAATCTCAACATATGTACAATATTTTTTTTAATTATGCATTTAAACATTTGGGTGCAATAATTTCTTAAATATTACTCTGCACAGACTGCGTGTACGCAGTTTCGAGTTGAACATTTTCGACTAGCGACGAGTGTGGTCAAAATCAGCAGCGGTAACTTTACGTCATTATTTTCGAAGATGGCGGAAGCCGTCAGTTTAGCTACTTTCTTATTTGTGGCTATAGGCAAAAGAAGACCCATTCATTCGCACTGGGTCCGCATGGTGGGTCATGGCCTAATCCATTCCATCTATCACCATTACCCTAGTGCTCGAAGGACCATGGCGGGGAGCGCTAGGCTGCGAAGGACGGCAAAGACGCCACTGATGCCCAATTGGGGGGGGGACACCTTTATAATAATAATATTTCCAACACTCACACCAATTAGCCTAGCCCCAAAGTAAGCGCTGTAGGCTTATGTTATAGGATACTAGGGTAACGGATTAAATACATATACTGTAGATATTATATATCTATTATATAGCATATTTTATATAGAAATACATATTAAACATCCATGACTGGAGAACAAATGCTCGTATTCATCAAACAAACATCTACCCCCACCGAGATTCGAACTAGGGATTTCTCGAGTCGGTGACACCTTGAAAGCCGGCGTACAAAACCACTCGACCACGGAGGTCGTCCTTAATAGGGTAAGAAGAAGTTTCACTTAAAAAAAACGAGCGAACCTTACAGTAGTCGCGTATAATGTGTAACATTTGACACCTCACCTTATATTAGTAAAAGAAGAAATAAAACGTACTACAAAAGGAATAAGACATTTGAACATTATGTTAAATCGAATAGCGCGCGCTTCCCAAACTTCCTGTTACACACTTGCGTCCCACTTCACGTAATCACTCCCACAAATTGCACGAAAGCGAGAGGAAAGATGTTACACATGAATAAATTATTATTATCGAATATGTAACTTACCGGGACGCAGCTGATCCTCCGAGAGCGGTTGTCGATTGAAGGGATCGGTGGCGCTGTTGAGCAAGTGCCGCAGGATCACTGACCGGTCCATTACCTGATAATACCACATTAACATTACATTTTGTATACCTATTTGTTTCTTAGGTTTAAGCACATCACTCATTAAATAAAACAATTTTTTAACGGGGTATATGCACTGAATTTATTTATTGTGAAATAAAAGTCTGTTGGTTTTTTAAATAAATAAAAAAAAACAAGAAAATTAAAAAATCATTATTTTGACGACCCATTTCCTGCAAAGGATGCGAAACGTCAATAAATAAATAAAAAATACGAGCGAGCCTTACAATAGTCGTGTATGATGTGTAACATTTGAAATCTCACCTTATATTAGTAAAAAAAGAAATAAGCCATATTAACATTATTTTCTAAAATCAAATCAAATAGCGCGCGCTTTCGCGACTTCGTGTTACACACTTCCGTCCCATTTCACGAAATCACAAGTCAGCGCTAGTACCGCGACTTAAACGAAGACTAGTTTGCGTCCGAGTTAAAGTTTTTTGGGAATCTTATTAGGACCTGTGATTTTCATCATTAATTTTCCAGGATAAAATATGGGTCAATATGGGTGATAAAACTATGTATATGCCAAATTCCATAGATAAATGATTGGTCTCGCTCCACTTGACTAAATACCGCCGGCGTACTTGTCAAATGCGGCAATAAATACTACACCAAAATCGGCGTACCCGTGCTTTCACCGAGCCAGTCAAACTGACAGTTATGTATGGAGGTGTATGGCCCGAATATTTTATTGAAATTTGGCCAAAATCGAAAGAAAAATACCAGTTTGCACAGTGAAATAATATTATAATAAATAAGAAGGACACTGGAATCACATACCATCAATAAGTATCGTAAAATTTCAAAACTTTAACATAAAATAGTGTTGCCTCCAGATTTTATTGTTGTATCAAAATGCCTTTCATATACGGGTAATTTGAATTTAACAGCCAATTTACATTAGTCGGTTTATATCTAAAGAAAACTTTACTATAAGAAATTCCACGCAGACCCGGCTGCAAGCAGGGCCGTACCTCAAAATCTACTGTCCCTTGGAGCTGTGAAAAAATCAAACTTCTAAGCCAAAGCAATCAAAAGAGACAGCCGTTTATGCCGCAAATTTTGGAAACTCTCACGGGAATCAAAACCTACACCTACTTCCCGTGAACTTAGAATCTTGAAATTTGGTACGAAGTAATGTCTTATAGTACAGATAAAGGAAACATTGCGAAAACCGTAAATTTTTATTTACATCATATAATAAAAAATATTTTTGAAAATTTTAAAAGTTACCTCTTCTCTCATGAACGCGTAGAGCTATTAAATTGAGTTTGTGCGAAACCCTCGGTGCGCGACTCCGACTCTTTCTTGGCCGGTTTTTTTTATATAGCCAGGTAGGCAAATGACTCTACCCCACCTGATGTTAAGAGGTGATAAAGTCCAAACAGTGTTCGAATTATGTATGTAAGGTACCTTTCCAGAGGGCAGGAACACAGGGTCCGTCATTAGCGTGTCCATGAGCGGGTCCCTGAATTCCTCGGGCGCGTCGGCGAATTCATCACTCTTCTGCTGGTTGGATACTGCAATAGGACAATGTTTATTTACTATCTTGGGGCAGCTAACAGCTTATGAAAATAAATATATGAGCAAAAAAAAACATCTGTATTGATTAAAATACTAAAAACACAGAAGCGTCAACCATATAGTAATAACAGGTTAATTACATATACATACATGTTTTTATATTTATTAATCTAATTGCAAACAGTATGTTGATGCACGCCAATCGGCGTGGCGTGTCGTGCAATTGGAGAGGCCTATGTCCGCAACCGCCTAGGTGCGGATTCGAGTTGCGTCTGTTTCCTGGACCGCGTGAAAATTTTATTTCGATTTAAAAATATTCTCACCAGCGATCTGATATGCATTGTCGGCGAGCGTCTTAAACCGCTCTATTTCCGAGGGTGTCTTGATGCAGGACTTAGCCAAGCGTACTGCCGCCTCCTCGAACAACTCTTTGCGGAATGACCTCTGCGACAAACGAGAACCACAATAAAAAACATGCAAACAGTTCACGACGGACATATGGGACAAAACAAATGTGAACAAAAGTTAACATACAAAATTTTTTGGAGTGTGTATGCTGTTGGTTGCCGATGACCTTTACAGCGTCACCGGGTTTAAGGACGGCGAAATCCTTAGGAGACCTCAAGCCGAGTATTGGCGAGTGCCTCTAGAGGTATACCAGGCGGATGGCATCTACCCACGGGAGGAGTCTCCTCTCCGTCTGGAGCCTCTAGACCACTGGAATCTGAGGGGGTCGGCTCAACTAGAGGGCGTCTCTGAGACTCGGACCTCGGCTCTAGTTAGCCGTTGTTGTCGGGGACGGGGAACACGCCCAGCCCCCTTAGCATGACCACCGCGATATGATATATAACGCGTTTTTACCACGTTAAATTGTCAAATTACTATGGAGTTTGACAATTAGACGCGATAAAAAACGTGATATAATGTAAATAGGGTATTTGACAAGTTTTAGAAAACGTTCTCACGTTATTGACTAATGTTTATGGAGTCCGTAAAAAGTGGATATTCATCATTCTGTTGTATATTTCAGTAAAAATAACCAAACAAAAACTCCATTTTCAAGTTTCTCTGGACAATATGGCGTCTTACTAGTGTGTGACGTCACACGACTGTTATTAAAACGTGAAATGATACAATGCAATGTCACTTTAACCGGAAGTTTACTTGCGTGTGACGTCATTTTAGGCTCCGCCAATCCCTAGCGTTTTGGGTCACGTGACAATAGAAAAGAAAACTGTTATCTTTTTCGTGGGTTTTTAATAAAATTATGAGCAATTTTTTTGTAAAAATATAAACCCCTGCCAATATTCATTCTAAATACAGATGCTAACAATTGGCACTATATTTTTAATACTGTCAAATACCCTATTGTAGTGCTCATGCTACGTACCTGTACCTGATATAGCGCGTCGTGTGTAGACCGGGTCTTTGCACTCTTTATCTTACGGGTGCGGTGTCTGCCTAATGTTAAACTAGTGTGAAAGTATGCTAGCTGTGTAGTGTTGGTGTTTGTGGCCTGTGTGGGAGGAATCGGAGGCGCGTTGGTGCGGGTGATTTCGTCGTCGGATTACTCTAAGAAGTGCCTAGGCCGACGGTTAACATACAAATGATTTTTAACTTTATGCTGATGCTGTTTGAGTTGAAATTAATGAATACAACAAGAGCGCGATGTCGGCGTATTGTTAGTCGTCGTGTTCTATGAATTTTCACTTCAGTAGTCACATAGACGTCGGGACTTGTGCACGTCGAGCCCGACGGGATGGTGGAATTATGTAAGTGAATACAAAAATCGATTACTAAACGGGGTGGAAAAACTCATTGAAATTGTGTTTGGTTTTCAACGTAAGTACATAACATTCTGAATAGCGCAAGTAGCAAACTCTTCAAAAAGATTATTTTCTATAAGTGTTGGCTAGACTAAAATTTTAACATATTCTCACAAACGCTCTCGGAACGGAACCGCGAAAGTGCTAGAGATCGAATGTGCCAGAGCACCGCGGGTCGCGATAGAGGTCAAGTAATGCGTTTCATTCTAAAATGAGCCTTATGCAGTGCGGCGTAAGGGAGAAAGTGCAACGACATCTGCACTTGTTTACAAGTTATGCGCGTTACCTGCGTAGGTATAAGTAGGTACTTCGTACTCGCGGGTGCTAGCTAATTCTCAATTTAACAGGTACTTTCTAGAATGCGTCGATCGGCGTATATAAGCGCGATTGGCGCCGCGCAGAGACAGTTTAGTTTCAACAGCGATTTCAGAGCGAATCCAAAAGCGATCAAAGTGGAACAAACGTGTTGAAGTGCGATAGTTTAGAGACGTGTATAGTGAAATACAGTGTTTAGTAAGTGTTTTGTAATTAACATTGTGTGTTAATTGTGTGAACTGAGAGGTGAATAAAGAACTGTCAAGCGCGAACTGGCATATAATTTCGAACCCCATCCCGTCACGTAATAATATTATAACTTGTTATATATTAATACATATGTTAAAATTGTAGTTGACTATCTATAACAAGTTAATGGTGTCAGTTCTGGCATGACTTTCTAAATCCAAACTTAAATTTGACAACAGTGTATCCTTGTCATTCTCTATACAGAATGAAAAGGAGAGACTGATATTAAATTCAGTTTGATGTTTAAGGAATCGTGCCAGAATCGACACCATAGACATGTTAGAATTAAGTTTAGTCCATCAGTTAGAGTATTTGTCAAACCACAAAACGAACGTAGTAGACGAAAAATAACACGAAGTTAATAATACTAAACCATACCATATACCCAAGTACATATTTTATATAGGGATATTTTTTAAATGCACAGCAAATAACTTATCACCCATCAAGTTATTAACATCAATTAAATACTTTTTACATCAAAATAATTATTTTACTGCAAACAAAGCATTTGTTAAATCAGTACTAAAAATAATTCAAAAATATACATCTAATCTGTAGTACATATTTCCTCTAGTGCTAGACAATATTCAATTGAACAGAAATATGCTTTTCATATCAAATATACTGATTGCATAGCAAATATACCGATTGCACAGAAAATTAACCAGGGCTTCGACGCACAATACTCGCACTCATAACAAAAAAAACTATTTTGCAACAGGTTTCCCATTAAGCATTTCAAAACTTGCTCAACATTGGGACATTTTTGATGGTTATAAAAAATGTAAATGTACCGGCCCACCTTTAAAAAAAACTATAAATGAAAGCATATCATGGGACTTACGACATGCTCAAGTATGTGACAGCACCTGCAGAGGCCAAAATATACCAATCGGACAAGTAAGGAAGCTCGGATGTCCCTCTAGAGCAAGACCTCCTTTAATTACCGAAAAGTAAAAGTTACTTTTTGTATCAGATGTTACAGTTTATTGTTGATCTCATTGTGTCGTAATTTATAAATCATTAGATTGATATGTCAATTTATTTATTTTATTTATTTATTTATTTATTTATTTATACTTAATGCACAAGTGTACAAAGGCGGACTTAATGCCATAGGCATTCTCTACCAGTCAACCATAGGGTGTTGTGGATAAATAGTGGTAGGGTGCACAAATTAGATGGAAAAAAAAGACGAACAGATATAAATACGAAGTAGTCATATACATAATTACACATACATAAATAAGTACTTACATATAAATAAACATACATATATATTCACACATACATACACATATAAACATATATACTAAATAAATACATAATAATGACGACTAACGATTAGGCTAGACTGCTTGTTCTTGTAAAAAGCTTCGTAGCTTGGTTTTGAAGCTGATTTTGTTGGTGGACATTCTGATATCTAGAGGGAGTTCGTTCCACAGAAGTATGGTTTTGACGAAGAAGGATGAGTGAATCGTATCAGAGCGATGAGATGGAACAATAAGTAAGCGATTAGTAGAGGATCGAAGATTTTTAGAATGAGCGGTACATAAGTACTGAAATTGGGAAGTGAGATAGAAAGGGGCATTTGGAGAATCCAGCAAGGAGAACAGAGTGGTCAGAGCCCGCATACTTCTGCGCTGCCTAATAGGCATCCATTTTAGAAGAGATCGGTATGCGGACACATGGTCATATTTTCTAAGATTGAAAACAAATCGAATGCAGTTATTCTGAAGTCGATCAAGTTTATTGAGTAGATCTGCATTCAGATCGAGGTAGCACACATCACCATAGTCGATTATAGGAAAAATCAAAGTTTGCACAAGCATTGCCTTGATGTTGATAGGCAAAAAATTTTTCAAGCGGTAGAGAGCACGCAATGTTCCAGTTACCTTTTGACAGACACTACCTACCTGATCCTGCCATTTGAAATTTGAGTCAACATACAAACCAAGATTTTTTGCAACATTACTAAAAGGTATCAAAGTGCCGTCATAGAATATAGACCCAAGAATGTTTCTGTCAATTCTGCTCATCATTCTTGATCCACCTATTAACATAGCTTGACATTTAGCAGCATTGACAGTGACACCAAAATTGTCCGACCATGTTTTGATAGCATTTAAGTCACTGTTTATCGCATCAATGGCATTGTTTAAATCATCAATACTTGCTTCGGTGTAGAGTTGTAAGTCATCAGCATATAGATGATACGAACACTGAAGTTTGTGAGTTATAAAATCAATAAAAGTTGAAAAAAGAAGAGGAGAAAGAATACCGCCTTGGGGAACACCAGTTTTCAAATTGAGCCAGGATGAGGATGATTCCCCAGACTGCACCAACTGCTGGCGGTCCCGAAGATAAGATGAAAACCAAGTCAACACTTCGTCAGAGACCATAAGATAGGATAATATGGAAAGGAGAATATCGTGACTGACAGTATTAAAAGCGTTTGAAAAATCGATAAGAACCAAGCAAGTAACTTTACCGTTCTCCATCCCCGCCCTAACATCGCCAGTTACTTTAAGGAGGGCGGAAATAGTGCTATGTCCAGGCCTAAATCCAGATTGGAGAGGGTTCATTAGAGAGTTTTTATGAATAAATTGGGAGAATTGCTTGTGAACGCATGCTTCTAGCACTTTTGACATGAAGGGGAGGATGGAAATTGGTCGAAACTGATTAGGCTGCGTTGGATTATTAACTTTGGGAAGAGGCCGGAGATAGGCTTTACGCCATAGAATAGGGAAAGTACCAGTGTCAAGGGAGAAATTGATAATGTGTGTTATAGCGGGAAGAAGATATTCAAGAATAGTGACGATCATGCGACGGCTAATATCATCACATCCCGTTGCATTGGATTTAATTGAAAGTATTATCTTTTTGATCTCTGCCGGTGTGACTGGTGAAAAATAGAAAGGGTCAACATTAGGGCGCGTTAAACCATTTATAGAAGCAACGGTGGATGCTGTAGATGAACGATCCAATTTCTGAGAGGTTGTGAAATGTCGATTGAGATCGTTAAGGTTTATAGAATTAGACAGGTCTAAATGTCGCGATTTGCCGATACCTAGCGTTCCGAGGAACTTCCAGACATCAGCAGAAGATGAAGAAGAAAGGTTGTTGAGAATGTGTCGGCGTTTGGCATTACGTATCATCTGATTACAACGATTTCTAGCAGCCTTGTAAAGCTTCCTCTTTTCATCAGAACGATCCCTTCTGTAGCTGCGATATGTACGGTCCCTACGCCTCATCGCCATCTGAACACCTTCAGTCATCCAAGGGGCTGGTTGCCGCTTCAGCCTGACTTTTCTGATGGGCGCATGGACATCGTAAATTCTAAGCAGAGTGTCATTAAATATTTTTACTTTGTCATCAACAGTGAAAGCTAGAATCAGAGAGTCCCAGTTGATCTCAGAGACATGCTTCTGCAGTTTAACTAAGTCCATACGTGCGTAGGAGCGCCTGTGCAAAACCTTAGGAGTGGATTTGGGGGGTTTAAAGAGATACGAAAGGAAGATGAGGTCATGATGAGAGAAGCCAGGAGCGATATGTTGACCATGGGATGGAACAAGGGAAGGATTAGAGGTTAGGATTAAATCAAGCCATGTATCATCACCGTAAGTATTTAGGTGAGTTGGTTGAAGGGGCAAAACATGTAGGCTTGCGGACTGGACAATGTGAAGGAGTTTTCGGGACCGTGGGGATTCGGGAGATAGGAGATTGGTATTAAAATCGCCCATGATGATCAAATGTGCATACTCAGATCCCAAAGATTCCAAAACCGCTTCGAGTTCGGTGAAATAATCAACTGTGGGGGGGCAATAAACAACACCAACGACTACTTTAGCACGGCCTGTCCCAATCTCCAGAAAAAGATATTCCGAGTTGGAGTCAGAGTTGGAGGAAGCTATAAGTTTGTACACAAATGTACTACGTAGGTAGATAGCTACACCTCCTCCACCCCGGCCGCAACGATCGTTCCGAATGAGGGTAAAACCAGGGAGAGAATATGCGGAAGATTGAAGATGTGGTTTTAGCCAAGATTCAGAAATTAGGACAGCGTGTATATTTTGCCCAGAGAACACATAAAGGAATTCATTATAATGGCTGGGTAAACTTTGGGCATTGATGTGACAGATGTTCAAAAGATATGGAGATTGATCAAAAGATTGGCCTAAAAAGTCACCAAGCGTGCCAGTAGCGGAACAAAAGCTTGCGTTATTAGAAGAATCTGCAGATTCGTCATCAGCAGAAAAAAAGTTGTCGTCAAATATCATAATATGCGTAAATATAAATAAAAATAACTATAATATATATATATATATAAATATACAAAATGTGAAGGAATGAATGCTAAATAATAATAAGCACCAATATCTCCACACCACCCGCCAGCTTACAATATTGAGTTACATTGAAAAGAAAAAACTGAAATAAGCACATAATAAAAGCAGCTAAATGAGCAAATCAACACAAAAATAATATAAGTACAATAACATATTCATTAGAGTTGTGTTTAAAATTGAACACGAACAATTTTTAATTTAATGACAAAAAAAAATATAAATATGAATGAGGCTGTTTATACAAAGGTACCTTTGCCTTGTTATATATAGTGAAAAAAAGGAAAATTCTTACATTGAGATTGACAATGACAAGTCTCTGTGTTTGAAGCTTGAGCGTAATCAATGAAATAGTTAAGTATTAGGTACCTACCTTTGAAAGAAAAACAAAACAGATTACTACAAAAGAGCAAAAGCAAAAAGCCAGTCCAGAAAAATATTTGATTTTGTGACATACTAGCAGTATGCGGTCTATACAGAAAACAAGCAAAGCAAACAACAGAATAGAAGAAATTTTAACTCAATGAGATAACAAAGGTTAGTAAAAGTGAATAGATGTTTTTATAAAAAAAAGCAACAGCTAAATGTTAAGATTAATCATGAAAAAAGCTAATTTCTTACAAGTGTAATGGAGTTACTTATTTTCATTTGCAGTACCCGCTCGCCCACCAGTCAGCGGCGCCTTTGGATATTTGCCAACCAAGGAGTCCAGATCTTCTTTATGTATGACTTTGTGGCGTATACCATCAGATGATTTAATGTGAATAACGCCATCCTGAGTCCAGCAAGACCGAACACCGAAATGCAGCCTAGCGTTGTTAAAGACAGTTTGCCTGGATTTAGTAAGGAACTCCTTGACTGTGATGTTGGTGCCCTTCAAGTTCTTCTTGGCCTTCCAGACTGCAGTCTTTAACTCATATAGTGAAAATTTAACCAGAACCGGCCGTTGCTTATTGTTGTCATTATTACCGGTAGCTCCGAGCCTATGACAAACTGACAAAGAGGCTTTGGTGACGTCTTTGAGCCTCATTTTTGTTGAAAGAATGCCACACACTACGGCCTTACAGTCTTCAGCGTCAGACTCCGGAACACCCAAAAAAATCAAGCCGTTTCGACGGTGTCTAGTTTCGATGGCATCTATTTGTGTGGCGCACTCACAAATTTGCTTGCGAAGCAGCCCCAACATGCTGAATATAAGTTCTCTGAAGGTCCGGAACTCCTCAGCTACCCTTGCCACTGTCTCTTTACCAGAACCCGCACTTTGAATCTGACCTTCGAGATCCTGCATCTTCTTCATAAAGCATTCCTCCAAGCTCTTTTGCGCAGAAATAATTTCAGTGAGTTGAGGCATAGTGTAATTTATAGTGTTTCTTGATTTAAAGGATGTGCTAAATCTTGATTGTATGATGTGCTGGCAGGTGGTGTAAAATGTACGCAAATGTTACATAAAAGATGATGCAAACGTAAGTTATGTTGTTTTACTTCTTTATTCTTCAAATAAATATAAAATCAGTGTTTTTAAATGACTTTTAATAATTAAATAGAATTTTACAATTTCAAGACACAACTTAACTTTTTCACACCTACCCCCGAAAAAAAAAAAAATGGTGCTTCACTTATGTAAGTTTACCTACTGCTATATGAAATAAAAATATGACAGCTTTGTTTAAAAAAAATGGTGTAATAGATTTGTTGTGAGGTGGTTATTATTAGATATGCTTTCTTAAAAACGCTTAAGATTTGAATAAATAGCGATGCATCACGAACTTAAATTGATACTAATATAATAATATTTTGAGGTGACTATTTTGCTGTGCAATAAGTGTTTTGCTTAGGATTGGGAATTAATTATTATACAAAACGTATTTTTTTTTATTTGCAGTTAAATACTAGCCTTTTATATATGAGGAGCGGGCGAACAAAACGGTATATATAATTAGGCATCTGGTCAAATTACTTTTTTTGCAGTTCGCAGGTTTCGGGTCCGTTGATTTGATCTCAAATGATTTTCACTCAAAACCGCCTAAAGCAGTGTTAAAATTACTAAATCAATAAATTAAAAACCATGTCATAAGCTCACTGGAGGTATGTCATTCAGTTTTATGCAGCTCCTGTTAAATTTAATTTTATGTAATTACTAGCTGACCAGGCGAACTTCGTACCGCCATAAAAATAGGGGCAGGTGGTAGAAGGGAAAATTTAGGGTTGTATGTATTTTTAATACCACATTATAAAGAAATAAATATTGTCCAAAATTACATTCCTCCTAACGCATATGAGAACACTATGTTACAATACCCAATAACTTGATTTTGGCGCGAAGACGCAAAAGCAGGTTTCAGAACACTACGTTACAGGTGGAAAACCATTATCACTTAAGGGTATGAAAAATAGATAGTAGGCGATTCTCAGACCCACGGAATATGCATATAAAATTTCATAAAAATCGGTCAGGCCGTTTCGGAGGAGTATGGTAACTAACATTGTGACACGAGAATTTTATATATAAGATACCGTTTTGTTCGTCAGCTCCTCATATGTAATTATGTTACCTCGTCTGCGGCGAGCGCGGCGTGGAACTGCGGCGCGTCCAGGTGCAGGTAGATGTCCACGAGCTGGCTCAGCAGACGGCGAGGCTCCCAGCCGTATTTCTCGGGTCGTCGCACCTGTTACCATGACAACAGAATCACAATTAACATAACAATAAATGACAAAATAAGTATCTCCTTGATCTCCGCCGCCAGATAACTAGCATTTGGGTCTTCATCTATGATGTCAATATAACAGCGCTGTCCAGCCATTTAAAGTAACTAGATGGTTTCAAACTAACTCTTTACGCTTCATATGATAGAAAGAAAGAAAAACATTTTATTGGCCTTCAGAGCATTAATTTAGAAAAACAAAATGGTTATATAATAGTAAAACCTAGACATAATCAAAAAACATGGGAGCTAATCACAAGGTTCGTGCCGCTTTTATTATAATTTTATATTTATATAATAAGGATGAGCCTGTTTCTCATAACACAGGGTAAACTTATATGAGAGCAGTTTTAATTTTGTACAAACAAAAAATATTTGGAATAAAGAATTTTTTGTTTTTTTTTGTATTTTTTGTGTAAGGCTAATAGGACGCTGCCTCAGCTATATGCTCTGTGGTAAACGCTTTCATGATGACAATCAGCAGCGCTGATTTACGCATGCCGGAATAAAACGAAACAATAACAATAAAGAACACAGGTATTCACAGGTAACACGCTTTCACCGCGCGGCGACGCGCGTTCACATGATGGCCTGTGTACTTTAATCTGGCATCAACATAGCTTGAAAATGGACGTGGGGGAAGCAATTTGTTTACGGCTTTTTTACACCGAAGGGCGAGACATCGCAAAAGTAGACAGACGATATTGGGTGCATACTATTTTATGTGAAAGACTTTCTTCAAGCCGTTTGTCACTTTATACTCTAACCTGAGACCATATTAATATTATTTTTTGTTACTTTGAAGGCAGACAAGCGAGCGGGCCACCCGATTTTAATTGGTCACCGTTGTTCATTCACATCATCGATGCCAGTACACAGCCGTGCCGTTTCGACTCTGAACACTTTATTAAAGCCTCTCTTGTTACAGTACCGAGGGAACACCGTGGAGGGAAACTCATTCCATAATTGTACTGTCCATGAAATAAAAGTCTTAACTCACGCAGACTAACTGAACAGGTCGTTGTAGGTTTGTAGTTGATGTAGACGATAATATCTTGTACCGTGCGGTCGAATGAACTTAGCCTTATTGTGCAATAACAAAAAAAAAATACGACATAAATAATCTAGCCTACTTTTATAACTTTTTGTCTGATACTTTTCAAAATGTAAAAATATCTTACCTTGAGATTCTTGCATTTAGGTCCGCACAATTGTTGCAGATTGAAATTGAGCATGGAAGCGAGCCGATCCACTAGCTCAGCTCGCAGGAACGGCTCCTTGATCTCCACCGTCAGGTATTCCAGCATGTCCACAGTCTCTCTGCACCCATAAATGAACGCGTATCAAACAAATGTTGCAAGAGTCCAGCCTACAGATATAGGATGTAAAGAAAGAGCACCTATAATAATAATAATAAATATTTCCAACACTCACACCAATTAGCCTAGCCCCAAAGTAAGTAAGGCCCCACTGTAAGGCTTGTGTTATGGGATACAAGGGCAACGGATAGAATCCATATACATGTTTCTTCGAGGGTGTCAAGTCAGTGCGAGCTGATAGCGGAGTACCATACCTATCAAATTTAACCCCCATGTATGTTCTAGGATTTTGCGTAGTTTCCGAGTTAGTTTTTTTTTTTAAGTTCAACGATGTGGCAACCTTAATATCAAGCTCAATCGAGAGTCCTCAACATACGCCTAGACACTTTCTTATTTAAGCGTAAAATAAAAATACCTGAGGTAGAGGATAACAGGAGTTTCGAGTGATTAGTTATCATGAAATGATTATTTTTATTTTCCAATGAGCTCCACTTAAACTAAAAGAGATAATAAAACTAATATATATATGATTGACAAAATATGCAAAGATACAACGAAATTATAAAATATCAAAATTACTCGATTTCCGATACAACACCTTCAGCAAATAATTCCCCATTTAGTACATCTTTTTTTGTATTTTAATGAAAGCTTATGTAGTCGGGCAGTTTTTAAAATTAGTCAGAAGTTATAGAACATCTATTTTCATTTGTTTTATTTCAATTGAAAATCCTTTCTGTTTTACTTAATTCATTTTTATTTAGTATCGATCAGATTTTTTATACCTTAGGTTAAAGTTAGGAAGGAGATTATTTTACTTATAAAACTAAAAGCAATAGGCATTCTGTTGAAAAGAAATATCGACGAAAAAGCGACCCAAAAAGAAGTTATACTTTTTTAAAGTTGTCACATCGTTGAACTTAAAAATTAAGAAAACAAAATATAACTCGAAAACTACGCAAAATCGTAGAACATACATGTGGGTTCAATTGATAGGTATGGTACTCCGCTATCAGCTCGCACTGGCTTGACACCCTAGAAGATACACCTGTATAAGTATATTTATATAGAAATACATATTAAACATCCATGACCTGGAGTACAAATACTCGTATTCATCACACATCACAGATGTTTATCTGCCCACACCGGGATTCAAAACCGGGACCTCTCGAGTCGGCGACACCATGAAACCCGGCGTATAAACCACTCGGCCACGGAGGTCGTCAACAAATGTTCCATATATTTAATTGTGCCCGCTAATTCGCTTAAACTGTCAAAACAGACAAGTTTTTCTTCTACATTTTGCATGAAACTGACAATGTCCGCGTCCCATCTGCGTCGTACGTATTATCTTTTTTTTCTGTGTGTATGCTGTTGCTCGCAGATGATCTTTACAGCATCACCGGCTTTGGGGACTAGAAGTATTACAGGTGGACGGTATCTCCCCTCAGGGGAAGTATCCTCTCCGTCTGGAGCTTACCACCACCACCCGAATCTGAGGGGATAAACTGAACTAGAGAGCGTCTCTATCACTCGGACTTCAGCTCTAGTTAGCCGTTGTTGTGGGGGGACGTCTTATCTGTGTCTCGCGCCTAAGAATCCTCTGCCGTCCCCGCCCCCGCGCCACACACACGCACACACATATACGTACGCACACATACCCACCAACACCCACACGCACACACATAGTCGTACGCACGCACGCACGCGCACGCACACGCACACACACACATACAAACGCATGCACACGCCCTTCAATCAGCTGAGAAGCTTTTTAAGAGACCACACAAATGCAAGCGACGGAATGGTGGACCTCGTTACCAGGATGCAGGGAATCCAAGGAGGCTATGCCATCCTTACACACAAAGACGACCAGGCGCCTTCTGCGCCTTGACAGGAATAGTGTAAGACTGGTGACGTCGACACTGCTCATTGAACAAACACTTTCACACTCTAGGTATCACTGATAGTTCACTATGCAGAGCATGTATGGAGGCTGAAGAAACGGTGGCACATGTGCTCCTTGAGTCCACATGTATCGCTCAGATCCGCAGAGAGACCCTCGGTACACCGGAATCCCTCGCGGATGCCCTGAGAAGACCGAGAAGACTGATCTGCTCCTGGAAGGTGGTCTGATTGGATGAATCGACTGCCATGGCTTAAGTACAACGGCCCACTTAAGGACTAAGTGTGGAAACCATATCCTCTAACATAGAACACACCTGGCTAGCGTGAGGTAGGAGCGGCACTGGCGCTCGTCCTGCGCCAGCGCCCGGGCGCGCGCCTCTGCCGTCCCCGTCCCCGCGCCCGCCCCCGTGCCCTCCTGGGCCTCGTGGATGCGCTTCAAATACTGTAAACACACATATAATAGAAATTAAACTCCAATACAAACAGTTTGACGACCTCCGTGGCCACGGAAACGGAAACCGTGTTTCATGGTGTCGCCGACTCAAGAGGACCCGGGTTCGAATCCCGGTGGGGGCAGATGTTTCTGTGATGAATACGAGCATTTGTACTGCAGTCATGGATGTTTGATATGTATTTCTATATAAACATATTTTTAAATGTACGGTATATGTATTCTCTCCGTTACCCTAGTATCCCATAACACAAGCCTTACAGTGCTTACTTTGGAGCTAGGCTAATTGGTGTGAGTGTTGAAAATATTTCAACTCTCAAATCTCGAGGCGAGCTCCTCTCATTGTGCTTGAAACATGTTAAAAACGCCACATGAATCTCGTTTGGTGAAGAGAGAGATGGAAGATTTTTGTTTAGGTTGTCTTTCTCTCACTTCCTTTTGTCATGGATCAATTTCGATAGTCTGTGCACTTTTTGTTCTTTCTGGCTTAATAAGAAAAACACTTACCATTGAAAATAATCGATAATCATTTTTATTATGTGGTTATTAATTCAGATTAACAATAGTGGCATTTTGCCACTAGAAAATTACGTCGTGAAGCGACATTAGAATTTTCTTTCCGGGAGGGCAAAGAAAACAACGCCCATATAGAATACAGAAGGTGTATGGGCGTTTTTTTATTTTCAATGGTAAGTGTTTTTCTTCACATATTTCGATGTTTTACAGATAGTTTTGTTTTCAGAAAGGAAGCCTAAATTTGCCGTGCAAATGGCGGGCCGGTTTAAAAATTATTTCTTTATAAAACGGTAAGAACCTTCACGATTTCTTTTGATTTGATATCTTTTCTTTTGTTTCGTGCCATGTGCTAATCTGCGGACTGTTTATTTTCAGCTAGGCGTTTTTTTTTTACCAAATTTTTACACGGAAAATGACATGACCTCTTGATACAACCACCCGGGAAAGGGACTATCCATACATGCATTCAACACCAGACACATCAAAGATGCAGCGGGGACAGTAAGCCACAAAATTTAATACGTTAGAAAACACATCAAGGAACAGTCTAAATTTAAGCTACAATTTTGGAGTGACATCTGGAAATTGCAATACAAAAACAATCAACAATGAGTTTAGATTTTGCTTGAGCCCCCCTTTGCGATTATTTGTCCAATGCCCTTCCGGCGAGTCTTTTATGGTAGGTCTGACGCCCGAGTTATTATTCAGTTTAATTTGGACCTATCCATTTTGTTTTAACACCATTTTTCTCACAACCATTTATTCTTTATATGACATGATTCGGAAGGCACGCCAAGCTGTTGACTCCGGCTGATCTGTAGTAGTTAGCAAAAACCAATCCACATTCCACCACGTGGTGATTCATGGCAAGACCTTAGCAGAGGAGATACACGGCTATCCTCATCCATTTTTTGCTGCTCTATACGTTTGCACGCAACAAGTCGTGCGGATCATTAAAATAGGCCGATATTTGACTATAGGAACTCATTAAGCGCGTAAGCTCGCTTTACGCGCACATCAAGATACCTGTGATAGAACAGAGACGAGCGCGCATGAACGCGCCATCATCTGATCGGTCCAATGTAATAATTTAGAGACTCTTTAAGTGCGTTAAAATGAACGCGCGGATGGATGGATTGCAGTAAAATTCACATCAATATTTTAACATTAAAGGACTGCAGAAAACTTATTGAAAAAATAGAAAATTAAACTTACCGTAAGGCATTCGTCTAAGAGGAATGTGGTGTCATTCATGAGCATGTTGATAAATTTAACAAACTGCCGACCTGAACGTGATTCTTTCACAATTGCCTGAAACAAAAAAAAAATCATAAACGTCTCTCATAACTAATACTAGAATAAGACCGAAATTAGAAGCATTTCGGCGAGATTATAAAATTCACAATCCGGTTTACTCAATTCGATAAAATTAATACAAATGTTAATTCGACTAAAAAGGGTAAGCTAAACGAAGATTTCCCAGTGAAATTCAAAACCTATTATCGCGTGAACATCGAATTAACTTAATTAAATTAGTGCATTATCAAACGCTGTCAGCACTGGGTGCATTCATTCTTCGTGCAGTACATTACATATAAATTTAGCAATAAAGTTTTATATTAGTAATTTGGACTTAATCATTGATAGCAAAATCTTATTTTTATGTTCTTCTAACCGGAAGGTGTACCGGTGAGAAGAACATAAAAAAAGTACAGCTATTACCCTCTCATTTCCCTTCTATGGAAGGTGGGCATTACTATCTGTTAAAGCGACATACCTGTTTGTGTATAGGCCGCTCCCACATCCCCTTCAGTATGATACTAATGTGGAAGCGTATCGTGAACTTGTCATAGAACTCTGTGCTCTGACCAGTCGTTTCGATGTCAGTGTAGAACTTCATCAAAGCGCTAGGCAGTGCCGTCTGTGACATCGGGTGGTCCATGAACTTCTCGTATACGTTCTTCAGTTTAAGCGGCACTGATAGGTTGATCACGAACAACACCTCCACTATCTTGGCGACTAGATACGGGTTTTTGATTAGGTGCGAGTTGCATATGGCGCTGAGTAACCACGTTATTATGGGGTCCTCTATATAGTCCGCCACTATTTGGGGGACGTATCTGGAAATAAATACAGGGTTTTAAATGAGAAATCAATCAACCGTGCTTTTAAGAATCGAATTCGATATTGACAGCAGGAATATATAAAAATAAACATCCCTATCGTGATGGTGTGACCTGGGGTCCTAACGCCTATCAGGATTGCTTTGACTATTGCTATGGTTTATGACTTCATTAAGAATCGAATTCGATATCGACAGCAGGAATATATAAAAATAAACATCCCGTCAAGTTAAGCGATAGCACGGAGTGGTGCAGTTTCATGTCATGTCATAAGCAGCGCTGCGCGACGGGGCACGCTCGATTGGCTGTCTTCTGTGCTCTCAGCCGCGTAGTCCTTTGTCTATATGTGGTAACTTGTCAATAGCGTTTAGTAATGTTTTTGGCGTTATTTTTATGTTCAAAAGCTGTTAGCTAACCTAAGATAATAAATAAATAATAAAATAATCCATTTTCGACTGTTCACCCACGCGATAAAATTTTACTGGCGGCGCTGTGAGAGGCACTCGCTTCTTCTTCGCTCGCGGCGTCCGATTCAAGCTTAAGCCAGCTCAGTCATATATTCATTGCGTGTGACGCAGTTTCGTGTGTGTGTGTGTGTGTGTACTGTGTACTCACTGGACGGCGAACAGCATCAGCTCGGCGACATCCTCCACGTACCACTCGGGCGTGGCCTTGAAGGCGTGCGAGAGGGGCCCGGAGCCCTCACAAGCTTGCAGTTGTCTCGTGAGGAGGGCGCACGCGGACGCGCAGAACTGTACGCTGCGACGCATTAGCTCGCCGTCCAGTAGAGCAGTCTCTGCGCACTGCTTAGACCTGTACGCGGAAAAAATCAAAATCGTTTCTTCTGTTTAGGCTAGGGGCGTATTCACCCTAGGGGTAAGAGGGCCATGATTCGGGCGATGTTCTGCAAGAGCTGCGAGACAGGAATCTTAAAAAAAAAATTCGTTACTAACTTTACTAATTCTGGCAGAGGAGGGTGCATATCGTCAGTGGCCCGGCGCACCAGATTTGTAAATACGCCCCTCGTTAAGTCTGGCACAAGCACTTATGAAAGTCTAATAGCTTCGCCATCGGTGTGCAAATCTACGGCGGAAGACCTTGTAGTGAAAAGAACGAGCAACAGAAAATGAACAATTTGCATATTAATTCGAGTATTGAAATATAACGACAGACGAATAGTAATTGATATAAAAAGTGACAGAAAATATTCGTTTAAAACTCTAGTGTTATACAAGACGTAGTACGCAGGGCACCTCTATTTTAATATGTTGCCAAACATCGACAGCAGACATTAATCGTTAGTCCATCAGGAATTTCAGAAATATACATGAAAAAAATAATATGGCAGTAACTAGCTAACTAGTAAATATATAGACATTTAAGCGTTATCCTGTAACCCGCATTTTCTGATAAATGGCGGTAACTTTCTTTTTCTTTTGCTTATAATTTTGTTATTAAATTCACTATGGTTCTGTAACATTCAATGTAACATTAACTGATATGTACTAAAGGATTCATGCAATGCATAAGAATCTCTAGCAAACGGGCTTTAAGAGGATTTGAGCCTGGGGGTCGTAACACAGGTTTTGTAACCTAGTACAATCTCCAGCTCTCTCAAAGAACTGCATTGTTATTACTGTTTTGTCATTCAATACCCTTTAATTAATAATAATGTTACTTTGTGACTTTGTGAGAGAAAATTAATAAATCATTCATCATTCATTCATTCATTTCGAGGGGGAACGCTGCCAGTATCTTCGGAACCTTGCCTAAAGGGATTCCTTTTAATAATATATTTTATTTTTTTAAGGTTTTTAGTTTTAGGTTTTAGTTTCATTGTTCTAGTATATAGTATTTTTTTTTAATGTTTTAGCTAGTGATAATTAAATATATGTTGTTTAGTTTAATGTTGTTAAAGGAATATTTAAGTGATGTTGAAATTTAAATTATTATTGATATCCTTAACTTTATGGATAAGATTCTCAAGAGATAAGATCTATTATTATATTGTTTGACAATGATGATGAGAATTTGTTATAATTTTATATTATGCTCAATGAATGAAATAATTGTAATAAGTTTTTTTTCTCAACATGACAATTAATTTGCACACGCCATTGGGTAAGAATATAGGATGCTCTTTATCTCTGTATCACCATTTGTGCAAATAAAGATGATAAGTTATAATATGGCAGTATGAAGTTCGCCGGGACAGCTAGTCCTTTATATAAAATAAAATATATTTGGAGGGAATATTGACCTGTGTAGCCGCTTGATTTGGCGACGCCACCGGGACAGTAGCTCGCGGTTGCGCAGCGCGGAGAACGTGTTCCGCCACTGGGGCTCAGCGGCCATCAACTCTTCTATCACTTTCTGGAGATCTCGAAATGCCCTGGTGTACAAAATTATATAATACTCACTTTATTTATGCATTTCTAATATGAGGATGAGCGCAGACTCCTGATTACCCTCCTTTGAATTATGGGGAAACTAAACGCACAGTGATTACACTCATCAAAAGAGTGTAAGCAACATGCATCATTTATGGAAACTGCTAGTTTTATCAGTTGATATTTTATATTATTGCTATGACATTTATAAAATATTCAAAGGTTATTTTCGCTTTAGTCAGTACTAAATTAAATTAGTTATTATTAACAAATTCATCTATACATATAATAAAATGGAAGGAAAGTCAAAACTGTACATTGAATCATCATCATCATCATCAGCCTATTAATGACCCCACTGCTGGGGCACAGGCCTTCCCTATGGATGGAATAGGGAGATTACATTGAATATTTTTTTAAAATAATACTTGGGGTGTGATCTACAATCGATACGATTAGAATTTTTGTCTGTATGTCCGGGATAAATTCAAAAAGTACTGCATGGATTAACTTCAAATTTGGCGCGAATATTATTAAGAAGTCGGGTCAACATATAGGCTACATATTATCACGCTATCACCTACGAGGAACGAGCAGTGAACCTTTATTTCTATCTAACTCCAGGCGTACGAAGTCACGGGCGGCCGCTAGTATATTATCTGTATTAAAAATATTAAACATCGTTCAAAAGTTCAAAAAAGTTTGTGTTGCTTAGACTCTCTTGATGTATATTTACGACACTTGTTTTGCAGAAACATTTTTGAAGTTTACTACTGCAGGTTTTTAATTGATTATTATAATAGCTAGAAAATAAATAATATTTACGGAATACGACCTGAAAGCAAGTAATCATCAGCACATTATAAATTTAATACAACATCCCGTTGCATATGGCTAAAACAATAAATCAATTTGCGATATAGGTATGCCATATATTCTATTAGGACAGGTTAACAATATTAAATACCCTATACACCACTCGCGCTAATCAAGAAGTGCTTGAACTCCACTCAAACACTTTTTGGTTCATAGTCACGCGCGGACCGTTGAAAGGTCTAAGATGCTGCAGAGCTCAGTGAAAAAATGCGAAAAAATACTTATAGTACATAAACTGTCGTTTTGTCGACAGGTATCTCATCAATGTTTGTTAATTGAATTTGAAGCAAATTTTGTTCTAATAGTTACTTTAAATTGATTTAATAGAAAATATTTGTGATATTCAAAATTGCGCGTAGAATCAAAGTAATAAAATTTTACGACTAATTGCTCTATATAGCAATTAGTCGTAAAATTTTACGAGCTTGCATTTCGAACTGTCATAACTCTTTGACGCATGCGTTTTAATTAAGACCTTACACAGTATGCATTTAAGGTGACTTTCAATGTTTAAATAATGCCTTATATTGTTTTTGACAACGCGATCATTATACGGAGGTCCGTGGATCGTTCAATGTACCTTTTGGACAGGTTCCGACCACGATTTTGTTCGTGTTGTTGTATTTAGGGTATTTAATATTGTTGGGAAAGAAACTAAATTTGAAATCAGGCATAATGCGATTCAACTAAGAATAGGACCGACTGGGCACCATATTGTGACGTCATAGCTTTCAATTCAAACCAAATATGTAGAGTGAGCAAAAAAAGTTTTTAATTTAATAAAACTTATTTACTAAGATTGAGAAAAAACATCAATCAGAATCTAGCTCTTCAATTCCGCTCATCTCTGCATAACCGCCAGAGTAGTTATGAATAATCATGCATTATTACTAGGTCACATACGAACATGAATCCTTTATGTAACCGAAAGTTTTAAATCGAGTTTATGAACGCAACTTAAAGTGACATTTGCTTGACGATTTAGGTTATCAACCCATCATAGCCAAAGCTCAAAAAATTAAAAAAATATCAACCAATATTAATTATCAATATTTGTTATTGTTTGTTTACAAATGTTTGATTTTTATACTAGAATTAGCAGAGTGCTAAAAAAGTATTCCAAGTTTTTTTTGCAAACCGTACTTTTCAAGCGACATTTGACAGATGGAGGTCATTGGCTTTTCTATTCTTATTTGAATCGCACTATAGTACACATGAGATTTGAGATAAGATAAAATGATTTACCTTATACGACGCTGATGCGTATGCAATGCAGGAATGAGAGCTACGTGATGCATGTGGAGTGTTAGGAACCAACAAACAGTCTGGAACTTGGCCTCTGGCCATTTGTGATTGGGGTCTTTATCTGAAAATGAAATACCCTGTTAGTATTCGGCATTTTCAGGTAGCTTCATCTTCATTTTGTTGCAAGCCTTTCATCTTCAATATAACCGAAGAGCATATGCAACATTTTACAATAAAAACGATTTCAAACTCAGGCTGGAACGTGCACAGTTGAGCGACAGAAGAAATGTGCCACTCACTGAGCGATTCGAGACAGTCCTGCGCAGTGTAGTAGAGGCGGGTACACGCGCTCCAGCTGAGGGACAGAAGATATGTGCCACTCACTGAGCGAGTCGAGCCAGTCCTGCGCCTCCTGCGCGGTGTAGTTGAGGCGGGTACACGCGCTCCAGCTGAGGGACAGAAGATATGTGCCACTCACTGCGCGAGTCGAGCCAGTCCTGCGCCTCCTGCGCGGTGTAGTAGAGGCAGGTACACGCGCTCCAGCTGAGGGACAGAAGATATGTGCCACTCACTGCGCGAGTCGAGCCAGTCCTGCACCTCCTGCGCGGTGTAGTAGAGGCTGGTACACGCGCTCCAGCTGAGGGACAGAAGATATGTGCCACTCACTGAGCGAGTCGAGCCAGTCCTGCACCTCCTGCGCGGTGTAGTTGAGGCGGGTACACGCGCTCCAGCTGAGGGACAGAAGATATGTGCCACTCACTGCGCGAGTCGAGCCAGTCCTGCGCCTCCTGCGCGGTGTAGTTGAGGCGGGTACACGCGCTCCAGCTGAGGGACAGAAGATATGTGCCACTCACTGAGCGAGTCGAGCCAGTCCTGCGCCTCCTGCGCGGTGTAGTTGAGGCGGGTACACGCGCTCCAGCTGAGGGACAGAAGATATGTGCCACTCACTGAGCGAGTCGAGCCAGTCCTGCGCCTCCTGCGCGGTGTAGTTGAGGCGGGTACACGCGCTCCAGCTGAGGGACAGAAGATATGTGCCACTCACTGAGCGAGTCGAGCCAGTCCTGCGCCTCCTGCGCGGTGTAGTAGAGGCAGGTCTCGTCGCGCACGCCCGCGCACGACTCCGGCTGGAACGTGTACAGCGGGTACACGCGCTCCAGCTGAGGGACAGAAGATATGTGCCACTCACTGAGCGAGTCGAGCCAGTCCTGCGCCTCCTGCGCGGTGTAGTAGAGGCAGGTCTCGTCGCGCACGCCCGCGCACGACTCCGGCTGGAACGTGTACAGCGGGTACACGCGCTCCAGCTGAGGGACAGAAGATATGTGCCACTCACTGAGCGAGTCGAGCCAGTCCTGCGCCTCCTGCGCGGTGTAGTAGAGGCAGGTCTCGTCGCGCACGCCCGCGCACGACTCCGGCTGGAACGTGTACAGCGGGTACACGCGCTCCAGCTGAGGGACAGAATATATGTGCCACTCACTGAGCGAGTCGAGCCAGTCCTGCGCCTCCTGCGCGGTGTAGTAGAGGCAGGTCTCGTCGCGCACGCCCGCGCACGACTCCGGCTGGAACGTGTACAGCGGGTACACGCGCTCCAGCTGAGGGACAGAATATATGTGCCACTCACTGAGCGAGTCGAGCCAGTCCTGCGCCTCCTGCGCGGTGTAGTAGAGGCAGGTCTCGTCGCGCACGCCCGCGCACGACTCCGGCTGGAACGTGTACAGCGGGTACACGCGCTCCAGCTGAGGGACAGAAGATATGTGCCACTCACTGAGCGAGTCGAGCCAGTCCTGCGCCTCCTGCGCGGTGTAGTAGAGGCAGGTCTCGTCGCGCACGCCCGCGCACGACTCCGGCTGGAACGTGTACAGCGGGTACACGCGCTCCAGCTGAGGGACAGAATATATGTGCCACTCACTGAGCGAGTCGAGCCAGTCCTGCGCCTCCTGCGCGGTGTAGTAGAGGCAGGTCTCGTCGCGCACGCCCGCGCACGACTCCGGCTGGAACGTGTACAGCGGGTACACGCGCTCCAGCTGAGGGACAGAATATATGTGCCACTCACTGAGCGAGTCGAGCCAGTCCTGCGCCTCCTGCGCGGTGTAGTAGAGGCAGGTCTCGTCGCGCACGCCCGCGCACGACTCCGGCTGGAACGTGTACAGCGGGTACACGCGCTCCAGCTGAGGGACAGAATATATGTGCCACTCACTGAGCGAGTCGAGCCAGTCCTGCGCCTCCTGCGCGGTGTAGTAGAGGCAGGTCTCGTCGCGCACGCCCGCGCACGACTCCGGCTGGAACGTGTACAGCGGGTACACGCGCTCCAGCTTAATGCGCACCGACAACAGCTGCAGCACCGAACACACGTTCAGCATGAAGCCATCACCTGAAACAACGCGCTAACCTCAACACACCAGCCCTAACAGCTGTACTAAGATTCGCCAAATACAGTGCGACTAAAACTAATTTTAGGAAGGTGAAAGGTGTAAAATGCCTTTTTATATTGTATGACGTTAGTGAGGAGATTTTACGTACTCAATAATCCTCATTACACCACCTATTCACCAGTAGCGCCCTCCTGTCAATATCATCCAAGTGCAATAAGATCTTGGACGCACTGGTAGTTTCTGCGTCTTTCAAACACGTGTTGTCTTATTCTATTATTATAGCAACGAAACTGACAGCACTAACCTCTCGCTTACACCAAGAAACAAATCATATACTAGTTTCACACAAAACTTGTAGAATACTTGTTGTGACTGTTTAAATCATTCTTTCGTTTACATAGCGTAGACAACTAGTATCTTTACAAGTATAAATCACTTATTTGCTTGCACATTTTGTTTATCCAACAGGTTTGATGCAAGTTTTGTATACTACATGTTTTATACATGTATATAAGTGTGAACAAAAAATGAAGAAGACGTATAAAATTTGTTAATACATATAATTATACCTTAGTGTAATCGAGGGGTAACTTAAGTTAAACGTGACTTTACTGAATGAGGTATAAGTGCATGAACAAATTTATGCTGAAACAGTGGAGCGAATGGAGATTATACCCTGTATAAAAACAAAGCAATATGACACTTACATGAATTAACAACTCTTTAAATAGAAAGCGATTGAGCAATCAATACCTATACGAAGTATTGGCCAAACAATCATTTCTTCTTTTTCGCACTTATCTGACCAGTTTTACTTTACAGTCGAACGGGGAAAGCTCAGTTCACTCTTTGGTCTAATATGTTATAATATATCTAGAGCATAATAAGGGCAACATACATATTAAACTGTAGGAAAATACGAGTATAATACTTTTAAAGATAATTATAATAAAGTTATGAAAACATGATAATATCATATCACGGTGTTCATGCAATGCATAATATATTATGTAAGTGGATCATTTAAGCTTCTCTTTATTATGAGGGGTCAAAAAATGATTGTATTCATTCGACCCAGTTCATTGTTATTCAGTTTCATGGACGGAATTTTTTTTCGGAGAATAAAAATTCATTTCGTAGTACTGTCTTATAATAAGTCAGTGACCGATCGTGTTGACTCTAATGCATAAGCGGAATAAACCAATGGGATTGTTATTTTTTAGGGTGACCGAATGTTTCAGTGACATCAACATTGGTTTGATATTAATTTATTTTATATTACGGCCACACTCAATAGATCTTGTCAAAGTTTCTTATTTTATTTGTTATTACAATTCCCAATGGCCAACCAGTAGCACAACTCAGGTGGTCGATTCAGAACATGAGATGTTTACATTAATAACCATAATAGAAGTCAAAATTCATTGAAGTCTCGAGGTGGGGCCACTAGAAACCGCTCTTGAATTGCATCTATCCATTAAAAACTTGATTGAAAATAACATTTAGTTTGTGACGTATGCCAACTGATTTAATGTAACATTAACAGCTTTACCTAGGACGGAATCAACTATAACATCATAGCACAGCATTTAAATAAATATAAATTAACGATATGTATTAACTTAACGATATTAAAGATATAATGAGGACCTCTCCCAAATTGTAACAGGAGTTATTGTACTGTGTACAACTTGAAGAATAAGACCATCATACAATGTTCAATAAAATGATAATGCAATCCTCTTTTGATACCCACTTATTGTTGTACGTTTCTAGAAAAGAAAGCGTTAGATAAGCGCATTGTTTTGATTTTATTTATACATCACAGGTTTGGCTAATGGTCAAGAGACTTCCTACATGATTCCGTGAACCGGTAAATACAAATATTTACACAGAGGTAAATACGCAGTCTTGGAAAGTAAATAATTTGGAGGGATGCCAATACGAGATCACTCGCACGATAAGCGAACGACATGTGGAAGATATAATTATAATCTGTTTGGTGCGATCATTAAACTCGGGCGTCTACGCAACAACTCAATGCTACTAACATTTATTAGAGTCATTGGTGCGCCCGCCGCCGCTGTTAACAAGAATAAATGGGTTACCTTTGATATAGCATCGACCTTACAATTATTTTAGCACGTAGTTTATACTACAATTAGAACATTAACAGCCGTCTTGAGGTGTCTAACGCCCATGAGATCGACGGTACCGTGGGAGATGAAAGTACACTGACCACGTATGAATCTTTCTCATGGACTGCAGGCTATAACCCATCTGTAACACAAGAATGTTTGTGTATAACGAGGATCTTTATTTTATATCCTTGAAATAGTTCTTATAAATCCATTGTTTGGGCATAAGAAGATGAAGATTATTGTCGAGATATGGGCGCTAAAGACCAAAGATGCAACGGGAAACAATTGCTTGGACCTACATTTCGAAACATCAAAGTGGTTGATATAATACATGTTGGTTATTTTTCCAAGGACAGGTCATTGCGAAAGTTGAACAAACTCCGCGAGCGCAGACGATCAGAGCTTCAGTTAACAACAATATCCAGAATTAATTTGAAGAAAGCTAGGTAAGCAAAAGCCCTAGAAATTATTAAAACAAATTAAACTAACAACATCATTGCAATTATATACTGATATTTATTTTTTTACATAAAATGGTAATAATTAGGCAAAAGTGAGCTTAACTTTACTACTTAGTTTTCTATTGTAAATATAATTTTTGTGAGTTTATTGAAACTTTTAAAATAATAAATGCTTTTTTAAAATAAAATCGTAAGCTATTTGTTCATTATTATATCGGCGTAGGAAATGTACGTAATCATTTATTTCCAGCTATATCAGAATCTCACGAGTCTCAACCGGAGTCTTGAGTGACCATTGACCTTCTACTGATTTATTACAAATGACAATTAGCAAACGTTTCCGATATTGAAATAGTTTTCAAAGGAGAAAATTGAACTAAATGTCCGCTTGTAGAATAGAAGTCCTACATAACATGAGACTTCAGAGAAGTCATTCTGCATTTTTTAGTTTCTGCAGTTATTTAAGTTGCCAGAGTTAAAGAAGTGTAGAGTGCCGTAAAAAAAAAACAAAAGAACAACTCTCACCACTCACCAGCCAGCGATCTCTCGTCGGTCTGGAGCTGCACGCGGTGCTCGTTCCGCTGCAAGATGGCGTCGAAGTAGTTGAGGAAGAGGACTTGCGCTTCGGGGCACAGCAGTATGCTGTGGTGTCTCCACTTCGCGCTATAATAGTGTGAATAAAACAAAAGAACAACGCTCGACTCACCAGCCAGCGAGCTCTCGTCGGTCTGGAATTGCGCGCAGCGCTCGATCCGCTGCAAGATGGGCGGCGAAGTAGTTGAGGAAGGGGTTGCGCGCTTCGGGGCTCAGCGGTATGTTGTGGCAGGTGTAATAAATAACGCCTCCACATCGCGCTATAATAGTGTGAATAAAAGAACAATGTTCGACTTACCAGCCAGCGACCGCTCGTCGGTCTGGAGTTGCGCGCGGCGCTCGTTCCGCTACAAGATGGCGGCGAAGTAGTTGAGGAAGGGGTCGCGCGCTTGGGGGCACAGCAGAAGGTTGTAGCAGATGTGGTGCCTAAACCTCGCGCTATACTAGTGTGAACAAAACAAAAGAATAACACTCGACTCACCAGCCAGCGACCTCTCGTCGGTCTGGAGTTGCGCGCGGCGCCCGTTCCGCTGCAAGACAGCGGCGAAGTAGTTGAGGAAGGGGTCTCGCGCTTCAGGGCACAGCAGTATATTATGGCAGATGTGGTGCAGCGTGTTCCGGCTTGCTTCCACCTCGCGTTGTAAGGCGAACGCCAGGCTGCGGTCTCCAGAGCCGGTGGCGAACAGACGTTCTGCGAGGCGTGGGTTCTCTTCGGCGAACAGGGATATCTGGTGTTAAAAGTTTTAATTTGGTGATACAAAATCAAAGTTGTGATTGCAGCACATCTTTTTTGGATTTGGCGCACTAGGCTGAAAATATAAACTTCTTTAAAACTAGATAGCACTGCTAGAATAAGGGTATAAGGTAATGTATCAGCAGCAGATTGGCGTCGCGCACGGTTGATTCAACCTGTCAGTATTCATATTAAATCCGAAAGGACCACATTTCAATAAATCATCTACAAAATCTTTACTTAACTTCTTAGTAGTTTCCGTAACGGCAAGAACTTTTTGATTTACTAGAACTGCTCTATCTATGAGTGATCGTTATTACGTAAGATACAAGCAGCAGATGATAAAGAAAAAAAGAATCAATAAAATCACATTACTTGATTATGAAAAAAGTTACATCCAATTAATTATATTCTCGAAAATGGCAATTGACAAACTAAATACATAAATTATGAGTAAGAATACTCACCGCGAAGAACGGACCGAGGAAGCTGACTCGCGCAATTTCACGTCCGGGCGCGGTTGTAACCGGGTCGGGACAGAAACTGGGCAGGCGGGCGATGAGTGCGCACACGGGCCGAGCCAAGTGGCCGGGCCCAGCGCGGAGGTCGCATAAAGACCGCAGCGCTCGCAGCGCTACGCCGTGCCCGCGCCCTACTGTCGGAGAGACACAACGACGCATTTCTTCGCGAATACCCATCAAAAGAGGCACGAACACCTAAGAAACGAACATTTAAATTATTAAAAGAAACCTCATAATAATAAAAATGCTAATGAAGCAACAAAAATTTACCTCTTCAAAAACATCCTTTTCCAGATATGTAGCCAAAAGAATTTCTGGTATCAGACCAGATGGCGTATTACCGTTCAAAATGTACGGCAACAGAGGTGACTTCTTAGATTTCTCAAGATCAAATTTACCTTGAAGCACTAGCACCAAATGATTCACAAACAATGTCCTCAAACTTTGCAAGAGATCACTCAAAGGTGGCTCTGAACTTTTCTTCGGATATTCCCTTTCGTAAAGGTTGATATTATTGTAGAATCTTAGCAGGTAACTAACAGCGAGGGCCTGAGTTGGAACTGTTTTAGGCAGTGGCAATGATGGCGTCGGACAATCCGACCCATCAGCGTCCATGTCGGATCCGAGTGGACCACTTGTCAATAAATCATCTCCACAATCTTCACTGAGCCTCTTGGAGGTTTCCGAAACGGCAAGAAGTTTTTGATTTAGCGGATCTACTCCATCAGCTACTAGTGTTATTATATCCATTACTGCTTCTGATGCCAATTCATCTAAACCTAATTTAGGGTTGTCAAGTAAAGCAGCTGCGACTGATGGTACAAATATTCCACCTGAAAAAATGTAAGATACATGTGGCCATACTGTTCAAAATTAAAGAGTAAGGTTAAATTAGTTACACAATGTTCTTTTCATCAAATACAAATAAGAATTGAGTGATAAACCTTTTTTTCTTTTTTAATAAGGGTATGACAGCAAACAAAACTGAGTTATTTTATGTTAAATTATAAAACTTTGAAGCAATATCTTCTTTAAGAGGAACACTATTTTCAATTTATGCTAATAATAATAATGTATTTTAGCAAGAAGTGTACTTTTGTGACTTACCAGCGCTGTCCTCTGACCATGACACCTGGAGAATTCTGGCGACAATATGCCGCAACTGTTCTTCAGTCAATTCTGTACAGCTGACTGTACGAGATCTATATATCTTCCTAGCAGGTGATGCTGATGAATCATCTTCTACCTAGCAGCGGAATTTTTAATTTACAGTTTATATAACATGTGTTAATTCATTCTAGCAGGTGTATTAGTTGAATTATTACATTGACAAAGCAGCCACAAATGAATGCAAAAATGTGATTTCTGGAGCAGTGATAGAACTTATATGACAGAGATTATGCATAATGAGTTTAAATTCAAAATGAAAATGCTTTGTTATTTATTTCCATCACAAAATGCTTCAATTAAATTGAGACATGAAAGCACTCTTTCTGTGATTTCTTATCTTTGAAAATTAGTGACTAGCCTTCTTGTAGGAAAATTGCAGCATTTGTTGAAAAATTCAATAGATTTTTCTTATGTTACCTACAGAAATCTATCCTGAATCAATGAGGACACTTAAATTTTAATTATGTTTATCACAAATTCATTGTGACCTTTATTAATATAATAATAAATATTTCAATGCACATAGAAATTTACAGTAAAACTTACTTCAATTTATATTTTTTTAATTATTTGAATAATACCCTCAAAAATTCTTTACTTACTTGATTGTCCTATGATGTTCATTAACAAATAATGTTATATCTTAATTATAATGACTCAATGTTAGTTAGTAGTAAGTATAGTTAGTTGAATATAACAATTTTCCAAATATTTTTTTTCATCAATATACTTTTTTGGTACAAGACAGACAAGACAAAACACATCATTATTAATAAGTGTTATCAAGAAGAGTGATCCTTTGTATTGAATCTTTAGGATTAGAAAATAATTCTTTCAATATATATAGTGCAAATTATTTACTTATTTTGGCAACAATAGACTATTCAGAGCAGACAATAATAGTGTTATGTGGGTAATATGAATTTTTTTGTTCTTTTATTTACATTGTTTTAGCTAATATAAGTAAAGTTTTTGCTACTACTTTAACTAGCAGAGCAGGGCAGGTTAATTTTAATTGATACATCAATCATATTAAATCTTAATATTTATATTAATATGCCACGTAAGGTATTCTAAAATTTGCATGTGGTATTTTTTTTTTGTATTTATAACATAACCATAGAAAACCAAATAGACTTACTTCCATGGGTTCCTGTTGTTGTTCTGACTGGGAATTTCTTTCAGATGAATCATCAACTTCCATCGAAAGCGATCGTCTTGAACAACTAGGAGATACATTGCTGGGTCTCGGTCTCACAGGAGAAGGTTCTACAAACTGTGCTGGAGATATTGACCTAGAAGTACTGTCTTCGCGTGTTGAAGTTCCTTCTGAGCCAGCAACTGTTGATTGAGGCAGACTGCTAACTCTTACAGAGCCACAACTTAGTAATGTATCCTCTCCCATTGAATCAAAACTATTATACTGTCTTGTTTGAGATAGATCAGTCATTTTCGTATCTGGCATTTCGTCCAATAAGTTATTGTCTGTCTTTTCCATTACAATAAGTCCATCAGCAGGAATTTTGGTCTGATTTGTGACTTCAGTTTTACTGACACCATCATTATAATTTGTTTCTTTGTTTGTGTTTGCTACTTCAGGTGTGTTAGGTTCTGTGGAAGTGCGTGGAGTGGAAGCAGGCGAGAGGCGTGATAGTTGAGATATCTGCAAATCTGGTGAAGGCATGGACGCACTAGGTGTAACTGGAGGACTCGCAGGCAATGGACTTGAGCCTGCGCCACCCAGAGCAGCCAAACGTGCTAGACGTCGTCTTCTTATCTGTAATAAAGAAACACGAGGTCTTTAGGCACGTGTATGGACTACTTGTAGGTACTATTGCGCGCTACTGAGATACACGAACGCTTTGTTTTGTTACAGAATTAGATTAGCCATACGCATTACGCGAAGGTTCGTTTACAAAACAAAAATTCCACTTACCTCCTCTTGACTTAGTTCACTCATGATTTAATTAAGTTTTTAAATAATGATTGTAACTTAATGAATGCACTATTATTAAAAAAATTAATACTCAGAAAAGCAGATGATTACAAGGAACGAGCCACAACCACAAAACGAGAAGCATTCAGACACTTCGCTCGCTCAGCTGTTTGACGTTTGTGAAAAGATGACGAGAAAGTATTGAAAATACACGCGTCATCGTTGCACAAAATGACGTCCGTCCATAGATTAAAAAATACAACTTAGACAGCATTAAGGATCTTATACTGGCTGCAGACATCCCTGCCGCAGGGGCAATCTACGGTGTAACAGTGGGGATAACCTTTAATTGCTTCCATAATTATTGTGATGTGTGTAGGCAAGCAGGGGTAATTTTCTAAATTGGCATTTGGCCCTTAGGCAGGGCGGCAGGGGGGCAAGTTTAGAGAATCACGCCAGAATAGACACCAATGGTGCCAATTCTGGCGTGATTCTCTAAACTTAAAACTAAATTTAACATCAGTCTCTCCTTTTCATTCTGTATAGAGAATGACAAGGATATACTGCTGTCAAATTTAAGTTTAGGTTTAGAGAATCATGCTAGAATCGACACCAATATCTATCTCTTTTCAATACAGTAGTGTCGATTCTGGAATGATTCTCTAAACCTAAACATAAATTTGACAACATTGGTGTCAATTCTGGCGTGATTCTCTAAACTTAAAACTAAAATTAAGGTCAGTATCACCTTTTCATTCTGTATAGAGAAGAATAAGGATGCACTGTTGTCAAATTTAAGTTTAGCTTTAGAGAATCATAGCAGAATCGACATCGTTGTATCCTTGTCATTCTCTATACTGACTGAAAGGAGAAACTGATGTTAAATTCAACTTTAAGTTTAGAGAATCATGCCAGAATCGACACCATTATCGGGCTTGTTGGTAAAAGTAGGATGGACCGAATGCATATTGTTTCTATTTTAACATTCCTTGTAAATTTTAATATACTAAGCTCTTAAGGTTTGGCTTTTAAAATTTATGGTAATAGAACCCAAATAGAACCCTTTCTATTACCATAAATTTTATAAGTCACCCCCGTTTATTATTTCTCACTTGGCCCGTTTTAAAGTACTCTTGCCTTGTCTTGCAATGTTTGTACGTCTGTGGGTGTGGGTGATCTGTGGTCTGTGGTCAATGGCCGCATGTTTGCACTATTTGTTTATATATTTGGATGTTACAAAATAGGATTTCTATCATTAACTCGATACAACTATACATTACAATAAAAATGATTCCCGTTAATTTTAGCAAGTGGCTAAGTCAATAGCGTAGAATAGTCCAATATGATTTGTAATGGTGTTAGATGAGAACGTAACCTGAAGTTTAGTGTTTAAATAATAACATCATGTCGAGTAATAATCAAGTAGCCGAATTGGTCTCGGGCCTTAAGGCTCGACATACCGAGACGCGTCATAAAGCTATCCGGGAACTCTTACATTTTGCGAAAACTGACCTGCGTGAATTATCACAAGATTGTATGACACAAGTGTTGGATGATTTTAACCAGCATATTCACACCATGACCTCTAGTTACGATAATAATGAGAAGAAAGCAGGTATCCTTACAATAGGTAAGTATCTTTGAGTGGTACTACAGTATAATTTTTACAATTGCTATTTATTCTTATATGTCTACGAGCAACTTTGGTTGACATTTCAAAAATTGTTCGCTTGCTCTTTTTCCAGGTTAGTAAGTATTCTATGTGCTTAAACTGGTAATAAACTACCTGTGTGCCAAATTATTTAAAAACAAAAAAACAGCTGTTTTTGTATGATTGAATAAGAAAGGAAACATGAAAGGGTCGTTCTTCTTTTCTATTGACAGAGTTACAATTTTTCAGATTTATCTAAAAAATAATGTATGTTTCCTTTAATAAAATGAGTGAGATATAATTATCTGGCTATTGTATATTTCAGAAACATATCTATAGAGCAGAGCATGGAAATAATATTTCTAAGTTTATTTTTAAAAGGTAATGCCCACATTGCATGGGAATTTGGCTTATGATGGACAGACATTTTAACAAGTAAAAATATACAATGCAAGAAGCTTAAACTACCCAGAACCTTTGAATCATTATAATTTTGTATCAGAATCCTTTAAAACTTTATTTTATTATTTATTATCCTTTAAAACAATTTTTAACACCGCAATGAAAAAAGGTAATATAAGCACAAAAAAGTTATTTTCGCAACAATCTATAATATTTCAAGTCATTATATTACCAATACGATGTCTTAACACTGGGTAGATACATTCTTTGTTATACAAATAATAATAATTGTAAATAAAAATCTTGTCTTTAAATATGCCATGAAAGAATAATATTACTTAATATGGAGTGTGATGTCACATGCATAATACCAAATGTCTAAAAGAAAAAACCTAACCTAATTTAGTGTGAAGTATCACCATTTGGGCCCTGGAAGTACAGTTTTGCTCACCTTAAAGTTATTACGGATAGCGTGCATTCGGGATCGAAATATTAGGAATACAGTGTTATAGGTCTAAAGTTATTAGGGATAGCGTGCATTCGGGCTACAAATATTAGGAATAATGTTCATTAGAGATATAGTGATTCGGGGTTTCAATTATTGCTATTAAGTATAACAGTCAAATGTATGAAACTTCTATTGAATTTGACATTTCTTGGTCCTGGAGCATAGGTTTGGAATGAAACCCTTGTCTGCAAATGTCATCATAGATGCTTAGTTAAATTCGGCTAATCATAGCCATTTTCGTTGACATGACGTGATGCTAACTTCATCAACAGCCTATCCTAGTCCACTGCTGGACATAGGCCTCTCCAATTGCATGCCACTCAGATCGATCTTGGGCTACTCGCATCCAGCTCCTGGCAGCCACCTTGCGCAAATCGTCACTCCATCGTGCCTGAGGACGTCCTACACTACGTTTGCCTAGACGCGGTCTCCACTCCAGAACTCGTCTACCCCAACGATTATCGGTTCTTCGGCAAATATGGTCAGCCACTTCAACTTGCTAATCCGGTGGGCTATGTCGATGACTCTGGTTCTCTGTCGGATTACCTCATTTCTGATGCGATCCTTCAGAGAAACGCCGTGCATAACCCTTTCCTAAGCGCGCTGAGCGACTTTGAACTTGTGGACCAGCCGTACGGTCAATGTCCACGTTTCGGCTCCGTATGTCATTACAGGTAGGACGCACTGATTGAAGACTTTCGTCTTTAGGCACTGTTAGTTAGTTAGTTCTTCAGGGCGGTTTCCGCACTTAGTCCTAATTATTGGACCATTGTGCGTGTCTCAAAAACATTCCCGTTTACTCCAGCCAGCCTAAATCGGTCCAGAAGGAAAGCAACCTTGGTAGGCTGCTGCAAGCTTCCGGAAACGATTCTGGTGACTGGAGAAGTCGTGCCCGTTGGTCGGCCACACTCCTGCATTCCATGATGACATGCTGTGGCGTTTCTTCCGCCTCCATGCATCCTCTGCACAGGGGGCTGTCCGTTACTCCTATTGTATATAGGTGTTTGTTTAGGGGACAATGGCCAGTCAGGGATCCTATAATCCTGCGAAGTTTGTCCCTATTTAGTCTGGTAAGGGTGCGGGCAAAACTTTTATTTACCGCCGGAACCGCGTTTTTCGTTTGCCGGCATCCTTCACCTGTTTTCCACCCCATCAAGTGTGATTTTTGAGTTATTTCACGCAGCCACGTTTTAATTTGGGCCTGAGGTATGGGCAGCAAAGGTTCCGGACCGTACACTTTTGTGTCTGCTCCCCTCTTGGCCAACTCGTCTGCTGCGTCATTTCCGATTGAGCTGCTGTGTCCTTTTATCCATTGCAGAGTTACCGTGTTGCTAACCGCAATGGATTGAAGTGCCTTGTGGCACTCCATTACTAGGACAGAGTTTATTGTGTTGCTACGTAGGGCTTGAAGCACGGATGCACTGTCAGAGATGATCTTGATGTTATACTCTCTGATGTCTCTGGCTGCAACCGCCTGTGCCGCTCTGGTAATGCCAATACATTCCGCCTGGAAGATTGTGCTTTGTTTGCCTAAGGTTGTGGATATTTTTATATTCAGGTCGTTTGAGAAGACACCGGCTCCAGTACCACTGTTGGTTTTGGAGCCATCCGTGTATATCCTAACTTCCCCGGCGCCAGAATAATCTGCCTTTTCCGCGGTAAGTTGGATGTTGTATCTTCGATCAAAAACGTGTTGACTCAATACTCTATCCATAGGTGCCTCCAGGAGTGGAATCTCCTTGTGCACTTTTGTAGAATATTGGAGTGTGTTGTTACAGTATTTAATCTCCATAATCCTAGAGATTTTAGTCTCAAGGCTGCTGCTTTCGCCTCTTCTTGTATGACCAGGTCCAATGGTCTTAAATTCATGAGGTACTCTAAAGCAGCCGATGGAGTTGTTCTCATGCATCCAGTTGCTGCTACGCTCGCCAAGCGTTGTAGACTTTGGAGTTTGGATTTCACTGTGGTCAGTTGGGTCCTGGGCCACCAAACAACTGAACCATAGGTTATAGAGGGCCTGATGACTGCTGTGTATAACCAAAGGGTGATCTTTGGACTTAGACCCCACTTTTTACCAACTAGTCTTCTACACTGATTAAAAGCTATGCAGGCCTTCTTTGTTTTTATATCAATATGACTCGCCCAATTCAGTTTGTTATCCAGGATTACGCCCAGATATTTCACTTGTGTTGATAGGGAGAGTTTGGTATTAAACAGTTTTGGTAACTGTAGTTCAGGTAGCTTCCTTTTGTTGGTGAAAAGGACTAGCTCTGTCTTGTTCGGGTTTACTGACAAGTGATGTTCGTCACACCATTTTTCCACAATCTGAAGGGCTGAACGCATAACCTTGCAAAGGACATTTTCAGCGTTCCCATTTATCAGAATTGTTAGGTCGTCCGCATAACCAATAGTAGTGTATCCTCTGTCATTCAGACTCCGTATGAGACTGTCCACTACTATGTTCCAGAGAAGTGGTGATAGGACTCCCCCTTGGGGACATCCTCTAACTACCTTCGCACGCGTGGTAGCGTTCCCCACTATCTGAACCGCCCTTTTGCCGACCAGTTCGGTGATCCAACCTCTGGTGACTTGGTCCACCTTGAGTTTTCTTAGGGCGTGGTTAATGCTGTTGTGCATCGTTTTGTCAAAAGCACCTTCTATGTCTATGAAGGCTGCTAATGTTGAGGTTTTATTTGTAATTGCCGACTCTATTTTGTGGACTAATGCATGCAGTGCCGACTCTGTTGATCTGCCTTTTCTGTAGGCATGTTGTTGAGGGTGCAGCGGAGCCTTACTTAGTGCTCCATCCCTAAGGTGTCGGTCTACCAGTCTTTCCAATGTTTTCAAGAGAAAAGAGGTTAGGCTTATTGGTCTGAAGGACTTGGCTTGTGTATAGTCGTCCTTGCCTGGTTTCGGTAAGAAGACTACTTTTGCCTCCCTCCATGGTTTTGGTATGTACTTGAAGGCCAGGCAGGCCCTAAAGATTGGTTGTAGGTATCTGGTTGCCTGGTCGAGTTTCCATTGTAGTAGCGCCGGGAATATACCATCTAGTCCTGCTGACTTAAATGGTTGAAAGCTTTTTAGAGCCCATTCTATCTTTTCCGCCGTTACTATTATTTTTGCCAGGTCCCATTCCTGGGTTGTTGGTGCATTGTGGTGCTCAGTCAACCACTCAAAGCCAGGCGCCAGTTGGCATCCTGGGAAGTGGGTTTCCAGTAGCACCGCATTGGCTTCTTCTTCTGTTTTTGTATAAGTGCCGTCTTCCCTTTTCAGAGACCCAAGAAGGTTGGAGTTGTCCTTGGACAGAACTTTCTTGAGTCTGGCAGCTTGATTTGTTGAATTGACACTACTACAGAAGCCGCGCCATCCTTCTCTACTCCGGAATCTGATCCGCTTCTTGTAGTGTTTTTGTGCTTTTTTATATTTGTCCCAGTCCTCATTGGTTCTGGTATTTTTCGCTCGATTGAAAAGTGTCCTGAGTTTCTTACGTAGTCTTTCAAGTTCTGGCCCCCACCAGGAACTTTTACCCAGGCCTTTCGGTACGATGGTAGGACACGTCAGTTCGTAGCTTTTAAGAAGTGCTGAAGTGTAGAACTGTACGTTTGTTTCTATGTTGTTTATGTCAAGAATTTCGTCATGTATTTGCATTTCGCTTAGTGTTTTAGTTATCAGTTCTTTGTACCTTGCTATATCTGTTTTTCGGGGGTTGCGATATGGAACAGGGTCTGTTTGTCTGTATTGTAATTGGAAACATATCCTGCGGTGGTCTGCAAAGGAGGGTTCGTTTGACACGTGCCATCCTTCGATTAGATTGGCCACCGCGTGTGTCGCTAGTGTTATATCTATGATAGTTTGGTACCTAGAGCTAACAAATGTGGGCTCCGTCCCAATGTTCATGATGTTAAGGTTGGTTTGGAATAAGTATTCAGTTAATAACTCACCCCTTTTGTTTGTGTCCTTACTTCCCCACAGTGAGTGATGTGCGTTGCAGTCAGCCGCTACGATCAGCTCCCATTTGTGGTCCTCGCAGTGTCGCACCAGCTCGGTCAGCTCCCTCGGAGGAATTTCCCCCTCATTCGGCATGTAGACCGAAGCTAGTACCAGGACTGTTTGGTTATCTGTGGGGATCGTCACAGCTGTGAGGTCTCTAGAACAGAATTGGTTAAGCATGGTTGTTTTTATAGACTTGGGTGTAAAAATACATGTCCTTGGTTTATCGATAGATGTGTTTAAAAGTAACTTACCACCGATGTTGTTCAGACCGCAAATCCTATTATTTCTGATCCAGGGCTCCTGAATCAGGGCGAAGGTCGTGTTGTTTGTCTCCAGCACTCTGCGTAGTGTGGCCGCCGCTATCTGTTTGTGCTGGAGATTGGTCTGCATAATGGTGATGGTGCTACTAGGGACTGCGAAGGACGCCATCTTCGTCGCTAACGCTGTCCTCAGAGCTCAGGCCTGCTTCCTCTTCCATCTCGCTCGGACCCGGTTGGGGAGCTGAGGTGGTCGGTGTCGGGATCGCAGCGCCTTCCTGCTCTGTAGTAGCACTTGATGTCGCTACTGTCGGGTCAACCACTGTTGCTTCGTCTGTCGCGAAAAAGCGGATGTATCCACTGCCAGACATGTGTGCAACACGGCTTTCCCTGTCCAGTATTGTTTGTTTTTGGTCCTCGGGGATTCCAAGGATCAGGTGGACCACCTTCTCCTTAGAACTGCTCTCCGGTTTGTCATCAACGGTCATGTCGTAGCACTGCCAGGACTCGACCTTGTACCAGGGGTTCTGGGCACAAAGGAGTTTCTGCAGTGTGGCAGGCTCGGTAATGCGGGTGTGGAGAAGAAGCCCAGCTCTGAGTTTCTTCTTCACATCCGACAGCCTAATGACCGTTAATGTGGTGTTCGGTATGGGTGACGGGATGGTTTTCACCATTTGCTCCAGCCACTTGAGTGCGTTTTCGTCCTCACACCACATCGCTAGCACCCCGTCCGAAAGGAAGGGTCGCCCGCGGAAAGATGGAGCCTGCGCATCTGGAGACTGCGGAGTCAGAACTGCCTGCAGGATCCCATCGTCGATGGTCTCCTTCAGCTGTTCCGCCTGCTCAGCCGAGAGGTCCCTCGGCGGGACGGTGGTGACCGCTACTCTCAGATGCGATTTACTCGCATCTGCGTAGCTCACCGTCCGCTTCGTCTTCGCGTCGGTTTTCGCGCGTTTGGCATTCCCCCTTGGAGACTGCGTGTCGTCCAGGCGTGGCCGCTTCGTAGAAGCTGCCTCGCCCGATCCACACGCAGTCGCAGGCTGCTCCTTTTCAGGAGCAGTGGGAGCCTCCGCAGCGATCCGCCGACCACGATCACCCCTCGGTTTCGGTCTCCGTCGTGGTTGTTTTTGTGCGTTTGTGTTGTGTGTTTTGTCGGCCCCCTGTATTTCTACAGGCTCGCGCTGTGTTTCCACTGCTGCGGTGACCGACTGTGTGGTGTTTTGTTTGGTTTTGGGCTGCAGGGCTTCCCTTCTCGCGCGCCGGTTGTGGCGACTGCGTTCTGTTCGGCCCTGCGAGCCTTTGTTTGAGTGTTTGTGGGTAGCCGCCGCATTAGCAGTCTTCCCTTTGCAGGGGCGCTTATGGGCGACCACAGTCCACTGTGTTTGTGTAGGTGTTGTACTACTTGTTGTGGCTGAAGTTATGGCCTCAGCTAGGCCAGACAGGTCCAGGCTTGTGCCCTTCCCTGAGCGCTGATTGTCCCCCCCAGAATACGCGGGACAGACCAAGCCAGGCTTGGTGAGGGATTCCTCGCGAGTCGCGATACCCTCCTGGGGTACTGTCATCTCTTTGTCAGCACTCATTTTAATGTTTTTGGGCTTTGGCGGGAAATGCCAAATAACGCACACGACTCCTGCCCAAGGGTGTGTGGTACAATGTTTTAGGGGGTATTTAATTCCCCTAGGCCATGTGAGCCCGGGTGTGGTTATGCGCCGCCACGGTTCGGCTATGCGGGATTTTGTGGTCCGGCCAGAGGTTTCTGTTACGTCAATTACAGAAGGTATTTGACCAATAACGGGCGGCAACCTCGTGAAGGATAGTCCTCTGGCCTTGATTAGGGGATCCTTGCGACTTGCGCTACTCCCTAACCCGTTCGCCAAACCCAGTATCGGACAGATACTGAGAGTAGGTGATCATCAAGCAAGTTTCTTGTTTGACCATCCCCCGCCCGAAATGCGATCCTTCAGAGAAACGCCGTGCATAACCCTTTCCTAAGCGCGCTGAGCGACTTTGAACTTGTGGATCAGCCGTACGGTCAATGTCCACGTTTCGGCTCCGTATGTCATTACAGGTAGGACGCACTGATTGAAGACTTTCGTCTTTAGGCACTGTAGCTTCCCAAGTGTTGCCCAACCTAGCTGAATTCTTCTATTCACCTCGTCCTCAAAGTTGTTTCTACCTAACTGCAATGTCTGCCCGAAGTATACATATTTTTGAACAACTTCGAGAGCGGCACCGTGTATTGCAATCGGTTCCGGTAGTACATGTTCATTAAACATGACCTTGGTTTTATCCAAGTTCATCCGTAGGCCGATGCGTATAGAAGACTCAGCCAGGTCATTCAGCATTTTTTGTAGGTCCTGCAGGGTTTCTGCCATGATAACGATGTCGTCTGCAAATCGCAAGTGAGAGATGCGTTCGCCATGGATGTTGATGCCATGTCCTTTCCAGTTCAGCGTCTTGAACATATCCTCCATTGCATTAGTGAACAATTTCGGGGAAATAACGTCCCCTTGTCTCACTCCACGATGCAACGGTATGGGACATGTTTGCTGATTCTGTACTTGGACAGACATGGTGGCGGCTTCGTAGAGACATCTTATCACTTGGATGTATCGCCAGTCGACTCGGCAACGCTGCAGTGACTCCAGGACAGACCAGATTTCAATCGAGTCAAAGGCCTTCTCATAGTCCACAAATGCTAGGCACAGGGGCTGATTGTACTCCTCAGTCTTCTGTATAATCTGCCGTACTGTGTGGATGTGGTCTATGGTGCCGTATCCGCTCCGAAACCCAGCCTGTTCCGGTGGTTGGAAGTCATTAAGTCTTCGCGCAAGACGGTTCGCGATTACTCTTGAGAACAGCTTATAGACGTGACTTAGAAGGGATATGGATCGATAGTTCTTAAGTAGGGTCTTGTCCCCCCTTTTAAAGAACAAGACGACCACACTCCTACTCCACACCTCCGGAGTTCTCCCTTCGAAAAGGACAGTGTTAAAAAGCTTTTGGAGCTCTCTCAGTACGGGTTTACCTCCAGCTTTCAAGAGTTCTGTTGTAAAACCATCCTCTCCAGGGGCTTTTCCATTTCTAAGCTTCATTAACCCTAAAGTCTCTTCCGAAAGCTTTGACTTCCTGCCCTTACGCTGTGTTGCACATAATCTCGTACCCTCTTCCCTGAGGATCCGAACCACATTTTCGAGGTTTTGGTTTACGTCTGATGTGGTTTCCACGGCAGTAAATCGGTTCTCCAAATTTGACTGGAACGTTTCAGATCCTGTTATAGATAAACAAGGGGTGTAAGGGGTTCTAAATACACCTGCAAGAACCCAAGCCAACCTCACCTTCATGTGGTGCACCCTGTCGACCAACAGACGAGGCTCTGGCAAACCGACCGATGGCGGTATCCAATGCCGTAGGGGAGGGAAATCTCACTGGTAACGGGCAGCAGCGTCATCAGTGAATTAACCTACGTTCTGCGATCGCCAATCCGCCTGCCCAGCGTAGCGATTACGGGCAATACCTCCAATGAACACAGACCACATGCCACGGCCCCCAGTTCCCGGCAGCCCCGCTATTCCTGGTCACGGTGGCGACCACGGTAACGGCGGGGCGGAGGGTGCTAAGAATCTCCGGGCTACGGGAGGCCATCACAATAGACTGACCCTGGCGACGTACAACGGACGCACGCTACGGCTTGACTCGCATCTGGCGCAACTCGAGGTGGAACTTGGGAAGATTAGGTGGCACATATTAGGGTTAAGTGAAGTCCGAAGAGAGGGGGAGGACACCATAATCCTCGAATCGGGCCACCTAATGTACTTCCGCGGGGGAGACCAACAGTCTCAAGGTGGCGTTGGGTTTTTGGTAAATAAGTCCCTTGCCGATAACGTTGTAGAAATGTCCAGCGTGTCGAACAGGGTAGTGTACCTTATTATAAAGCTCACCGAGAGGTATAGCCTCAAGGTGGTGCAAGTGTACGCACCGACCTCGACACACTCGGACGACGAAGTGGAGGATATGTACGATGATATATCAAGGGCCCTTCACTCCACAACTAAGACCCACTACAATGTTGTTATGGGGGACTTCAACGCTAAAGTGGGAGTACAGAATTGCAGCGATGCTAAATTCAACTAAATGCAGCTATTTTCGATCAGGTGAGATTAGATAACTAAGAAAGTGACCGTATTATTTTCATTTCATTTTATTGTATTATTAATGTAACTCCATTATATTACAGTTTAGAAATTGGTTAAAAATAAATAAAATAATATAGTAAAATTGTTGTTTGCCACGCACCTTGTCCACACTGAGCCTATTTTGGGGATTGCCCTTTGTAGTTATGTCGGAATGGTAACAAAAAATTAACACCTCAGTCACAAAAATGATTTTATTTAATAGTAGTCAAGCAAAATCAGATCATCAGTTTTTCATTACTATACTTCGACTAGAATACATACATTTATTTTTTACATGAATCTATATTACAGAATCCTTATTACAAATATTTAAAAAATGTAAATGGTAGCACTGTTCAAAGAATTTTGGTGAAAAAAAATAGAAACTGGATATTTTGAAAGAGTAATGATTTCATTCTCAGAGGAGACATGTAAGTGTCGATAAAAAGGAATAACAAGCAATAAACTCATTTATGATAGTAGAATACCAGGAAAACAAAAAGAATAATTGTTGTAGTGACAACTTGAAAATATGTATATAAAAATTCCCCTGCCATCCAACTATATTGACATGAACTGAATGTATATTTTGACATTTCAAACCCATTTTTATTGAATGGGTGTTTGAAAAACGGGTTTTGAACTATTTGAAAATCTTATCTGAGTTTTAGATCAATCTTACCTACGGTCCTACCGCCTATTGGGTCTAAAAATAAAGTAGCTGAATGAGCATAAAAGCTAGTCCAAATGAAATACCACCCAATTTCATAAAACTGTCCAGAACAACTATCTAAAGTTTAGATAGTTTCTCTGAACAAAGGTTCAGACTCTAAACCATTAGCTTTGTTGTACAACAAATCCACAAGTGAATTTCATACTCATTGGAAAAATGCTTACAATATATTGTATTTAAAGCTAGGCCCGACACAAATTCATGTATGTATTATCAGACAATCAGTATGAACTTTCATATTCAGTATAATTTGAATCACTTTTATGATCACAACGCCAACCAATATGGATTTATGAAAGAAGTCTACGCTCAGTAATGTCAGTGTATTTAAATATACGTCTGTACAGCAGGAGGCCAGGTTGATGCTGTGTATCTGTAAGCCTATTCGCTAACTGCTTTTGACAGATGGAAGTGATAATGAGTCAGCTATTTAGTGATCCACTACTGTTTTATTATATCGCCACTAATACTTGTAAAAAAGTTAGTGAATAGGCTGGCAGGACTTTAGTACTGCCTTTGCCAAAGTTAACCTATGTCTCGAACTTGCACACTTTGGGATTCATGGGTTTTTGTAGAGGTGGTGCGAATTGTATCTGAGCAAACGATCGCAGCTTGTTACAGTCAAGAGGTTTTCCTCTTCTCCCGTAACTGACGCTTTAGGGGTACCCCAGGGGTCGTATCTTGGACTACTGTTTAATATCTTTATTAATGACTTGACTAGTTGCTTACCGTGCCCCGTTCTTATTAACGCCGATGATCTTAAAATGACGAAGACACAAAACAGGCATAGCCTTTCGAAATTACCTCGATGTTGTGTCGAAGGTACTGTGGTGTCTCTTTGTCAAAACAAACTTTCTGATCTTTTTTTACTTTAATTGTATTACTTTTTAAACAATAAATTAATAATTGAGACTTGGTTTTTACCTATGATATATACGGAGCTATTTTAATATATTTTGTAAGCTGTCATAAATAAAATAGTGGGAACCCAAAGTGCCCTAAGCGTATTTAAACTGCCAGCGTGCGTAAGAGCGCGCTCTTGATTATCACGCGTAAGGGATTTTTGGCCCCTACGGTTGGTCTCGTAGCTTACAAAAGTCCAGGCTGGTGCTACTTACCAAATTACGAAACATAATATATTTGAAGTATCAATTAAAACTGTGTTGTTTTCTTTCAGTATGTCTAATTGGTGGAGATACAGAAACAACTAAATCAAGGACAATTCGCTATGCACATTATTTGAGGAATATATTCCCTACATCAGATGTGAGTGTTTTAGAACTAGCGGCAAAGACTATGGGCCGTTTGGCTGCAACTTTAGGCGTTAAACGTGGAGAATATGTGGAATATGAAATAAAGAGAGCGTACCAATGGCTAGAAGATGAGAGAAATGAAGGGAAACGGCTTTCAGCTGTCCTTATTCTTAGAGAACTGGCGATCGCCATGCCATCATATTTCTATCAACATATAAATATTTTCTTTAAACATATTATGGTTGGCCTTCGAGATCCGAAGGATGTCATCAGAGAATCCGCAGCAAAGTCCTTACGAGCGGCTCTCGTTGTCACTGCCCAGAGAGAAATACATGAAAACTGCAATAAAATCGATTGGTACTCTGAATGCTATGAAGAAGCTGTAAGTTCATTTACAGATCAAACCATACGTGAGAGAGGTCTAAGTAGAGATGATCATGTTCATGGAGCCTTATTAATTTTGAATGAACTTTTAAGGTGTTCAAATGCTACATGGGAAAAAAAATATACTGTGCTAATGCAGAAATTAGATGTAGAACAAGAAACATCTGACGACATGTCCTCAATTAGTTCAAAAGTTCAAACCACATGGCTACCACAGAACTATTCAGATGAAAAGAGTCAAAGTCTTATTTATGAATCAGCAATTTGTAAAAAGTTTATTGCTGATAAATATGAGAAAATTTGTTCAGATGTGATGGCGCAACAAATATCCAGATCTCATAATGTGCACCAAATGCTTCTTTTACTAATACCAAGGTTAGCTGCATTCAACAGAGAGGCATTTGTGAAGCGACACCTTAAATCTACTATTAACCATTTAATTACTTTCTTACGAGGTAGGGAAAAAGAAAAAGCAATGGCATTTACAACTTTAGGTTTAATTTGTGTTGCTGTAGAGTCTGACATCAAGCAATATTTATCACGAATTATTGAAATCATACGAATGACGTTACCTCTTAAAGATACGCCCAGGAAACGTAATGGATCAGATACACCGTTGTTTAATTGTGTCACTCTATTGGGATATGCTATGAAGGAGAATGTTGTAAATGATATAAGAGAATTACTAGATCCAATGTGTGCCACAGGATTAAGTCCACAGCTCACGACTTGTTTTAAAGAGCTAAGTCAGCATATGCCATCGTTGAAAAAAGAAATTTCTGATAGATTAATAAATATGCTGTCAATAATATTAAGAAAAAAACCGTATGTGCCTAATAATACGGAACAACAAATCGTCCACATGATGTCAACTGTGATGTTAGTGGAACCATATGATGCTACAAAGTTAGTACTTGCTCTTCGGACACTCGGATCATTTGATTTCGAATGGACTAACACATTAATGTCTTTTATAAGAAGATGTACCGACTATTACTTACTTAGTGAACAGCAGGATATACGTTTGGAGGCAATGAAAACTGCTGCAAAGTTATTGGTCAAAGCTATTGAAAGATGTGTTCAAACAAACTCTAGAACACTAAATCTAATCATCGACGAATCTATTGGAAAGCTATTAGCAGTAGGACGGTCAGATTTCGATCAAGAAGTCCGTTATAAAGTCCTGGAGGTATTTACCAATCCTATGTTTGATAAATATTTAGCTGTTGAAGAACATCTAAGTGGTCTTTTTGTGGCAATCAATGATTCAAACAATGACGTTAGTGAATTAGCATTATGCGTTGTTGGTAGATTGAGTAACATAAATCCCAGTTATACAACACCTACTTTACGACAACTATTTGTACAAATTTTAATGGAACTACAACATTCGGAATCGACACGCAGTAAAGAACAGGCTTTGAGGATGGTAAATAACATTATTTGTCATGCACCTAGGATTACACAGCAGTTTGTTGATATCATTCTTAAAGTGCTTATCCCAAAACTAAGAGAGGAAGAGAGTAATGCTACTATGGTGTCTACTATTTTAAAGGCTATAGGGGACTTGGCTGAGGTAAATGGGGGCGGGCATGCCCTAAATCAATGGCTCCATGAAATTCTGTCATTCCAAATAGAAACACTCTCGGATCCAAATCAACCTGAAAAGAAAAATATAGCTCTGTGGTCTTTTGGGCAAGTGATTTGTGCGACAGGACATGTTATCATGCCTTATATGGAATATCCAAACTTAATGGATTTATTACTTAATTTTTTGAGGACTGAACAACAGAGTAGGGACAGAAGAGAAACCATCCGAGTTTTAGGTGTACTAGGAGCATTGGATCCATACAAGCATAAAGTTAACAAAGGTTTAATAGACTTTCAAACAGTTTCCACATTGATACCTGTGACAGAGTCTACTAAAAATGATTATTTGGATACCAGTATGAGTGATATGCTTATTAAAATGGCACCTTTGATTCTTGACGAGTTTTACCCAGCCATTGTAGTGACTTCCTTAATGAGTATCCTACGAGATCCCATGCTAGCACAACACCATACAAGTGTTGTGCATGCTGTGACAATAATATTTCAGTCTTTAGGAATAAAATGCGTACCATATATATCTCGTGTTACACCTAGTCTCTTATTTGTGATACGCAATACAGACAACAATAGCTTCCGAGAGTTTTTATTAACCCAGTTGGCGCAACTGATTTCTGTAGTCAAAATACACATTCGTAATTACCTAGAAGATATATTTGACATGATTAGAGAGTATTGGACACCAGACAGCCAATTACAACCGACCCTCATCATGCTTGTTGAACATATAACTGTAGCTATTGGTACAGAATTTAAAATATACCTTAGAAAGATCTTACCAAATATTTTAAGAGTTCTCAAACATGATAAAAGTAAAGACAAAATATTAACTGAGAAACTACTTCTGGCCATACAAAAGTTTGAAAACAACTTAGACGACGTGCTACTTTCGGTAGTGCCAGCAATTACTAATCTTTTTGATGGAAAGAATATACCATTGTCTATTTCGAAGCTGGCTATGGAGACAATGCAGCATTTATCTATGTATTTATATCTGAAACCATATTCTGCTATGATAATACAAGCCCTAGCCAAAGTTTTAGAAAACAATCCTACACTGAGGGCGACCGCTATGAACACTCTGTGCGCTTTAATTATACAATTGGGGCGCGAATACATTGATTACATACCTTCAGTAGAGAGGCTGCTACTAAAACACAAAATTCAGTGTCCTAACTATATTGTTTTGGTGACGCGTCTTCAAGTAATATCGACACTTGCATCTGACGACGACTATCTAGATGAAACTCGCTCACAATTGCGCAACCAAAAAAGTGACGTAAGTTCTAGAATGAAAAATAAATAATAAAATACCACCTTTTGGTAGTTTTTGTTTAATCACTCCATGGTCTGTTCTCCAATATAATTTTCGTATGACTTAATACATTTCTTTTATAAAAAGTCGGTTTTACGGGCGAAGATTTTACGTGACAACGTCTTTTTCTCGGTAGAATATTTATTGATATGAATATAATTAAATTGCACAATAGGAACAAGGAATTGAATGAAAATAAGAATTGCACAAATTTTAACTATAGAAATATATTTTGTTTACTAAAACATTGTACATGTAAACTTAAACTTAACACGAGAGACTCATCGTAACGTTACCGAGCGTTACACTTTTTCATAAGTGACTCCCAGCCGCAACCTAATTTAAGACGTTGTCACGTCAAAACTTACGGAACATTTTTCGAAAAACCTTTTGTTTAATTACTGAGAATAAACTTTTGTTAAAACTTTGCAGATGTTAACTAACGCTGGAGAGATGCAGAGTATTCAGAAACTAACAGTGAATGTCAACAACCTCCGCAAGTGCTGGTCAACAAGCAATATAATTTCCAAAGAAGATTGGCTGGAGTGGTTACGTCATTTAAGTATAGGTTTTCTAACTGAATCTAACAGTCCAGCGCTAAGGTAAACGTTATTTTTTGTTACAAAGTCAATGTCGCGTTTGAGCGCCAACATTATAATTTGCTATTTGTTTCAGGGCCTGTTCCTCTCTCGCTCAACATTATCCTCAGTTAGCACGGGATTTATTTAATCTAGCATTTATGTCGTGTTGGACGGAGCTAGATGACAGAGCTCGAAAAGAATTAGTCAGTGCACTAGAGAGAGCATTAACAGTCCCGGATTCGCCAGAGTTGGCCCTCACTGTACTGAACTTGGCTGAATTCATGGAACATTGTGAAAAGGGAGCACTGCCCATTCCTATTAAATTACTCGGAGACACGGCAATTAGTTGCAGAGCCTATGCAAAAGCTCTTTACTACAAGGTATGTCTCTATAATATGATTATTTCCAATTCCTTTTTTTTTGGTTATCATGCTATTTAAAATTTCGATATTGTTGATAATTTGTATGTCGAATATTTTAAGGAGGAAGAGTATCGTCGAAACGTTTCAACCCAAGTTGTGGAAGCTCTTATACTCATTAATAACAAACTTCAACAAAAAGAAGCAGCTAAAGGTCTACTGGAGAAAGTAATAACCCAGCAGAAAGAAGGTAATTGCACTCTTAACGTCCATGTTCGATGGTATGAGAAGCTTCATAACTGGGAACAAGCACTAGATTTGTACAACAAGAAATTGGAAACAGAACCCCAAGATGAAGATTCTAAGCTTGGTCTCATGAGATGTCTCGACGCAATGGGGGAGTGGCAAAAGTTACATGACATTTCCGTAGACCAATGGAACAATATAAGTCAAGAAATGAGGAATAAATCAGCTAGACTAGCAGCTGCCGCCTCGTGGGGTTTGCAAGAGTGGGACTCATTGAGAAAACACGTTGATCACATATCTGAGGATACTCAAGACGGTGCGTTCTACCGCGCAGTACTCGCGATTCATGATGGCCTCTGGTCGGAATCAAGACACTACATCGATTCAGCACGCGGTATACTAGATACCGAATTAATGGCCGTCGTAGGCGAAAGTTATCAAAGAGCCTACGGCGCCCTAGTGAATGCACAGCTTTTAACGGAATTGGAAGAAGTTGTAACATATAAATTGGTCGAGGAAAGAAGACACACTATAAGGAAAAGTTGGTGGCTCAGACTTCAAGGAGGTCAACGTGTTGTAGAAGATTGGAGAAAAATGTTGCAGATACGCGGATTAGTCCTGTCTCCTCGTGAAGATTTTCAATCGTGGCTGAAATTCGTTTCTTTGTGTCGAAAAACGGGAGCGTTCAACGAAGCACATAAGATTGTGCTCACGATATTAGGCTGCGATCCTGTTAATAATCCAGACATACTGTTGCGTGTTCAAGAGCCAAGAGTTGTTCTGGCTTACAGTAAAAATCTTTGGGACGCTGGGAATAGACGCTTCGCTTATGACGTTTTACAGAGATTTGTAGATAACACGGAACCTGATAACGAGGAGCAGAGTAGACTATTAGCTCGTTGCCATTTAAAATTGGGCTCTTGGTGTGAATCTCTCCAAGAAATAAACGAACTGTCTATACCAGAGATTCTTAGGAATTATGCTGCGGCCACTAATTTAGCGCCTGATTGGTACAAAGCATGCCATGCGTGGGCATGTATGAACTTTGAAACGGTATTATTTTACAAGCAACAAGATAATATTTCAGAAAGCAGTACAGCCGGCAGTTCCGCTGAGAAGAAAGTGTCAAGGCCTGACTTTATCAATACGCATACTATACCAGCAATAGAAGGCTTTTTCAAATCTATTAGCCTTTCTAACGGCAGCGCCTTGCAAGATACACTGCGGTTATTGACCTTGTGGTTCGATTACGGCCATAATACTGCAATATACGACGCTTTGTTTGAAGGAATAAGACAAATAGATATCAAGATATGGCTTCAGGTGATACCTCAGCTAATAGCCAGGATAGATTCTCCGAGGACCTTAGTGGCAAAATTGGTGCATATTTTGCTTATAGATATAAGTAGGTTGCATCCGCAGGCGTTAGTGTATCCCCTAACGGTTGCCATGAAGTCCTCGTTTGTGAATCGCAAGAACGCAGCTAGCTATATACTGAAGACAATGTGCGCTCACTCACAAAATCTTGTCAACGAAGCCGCCATTATTTCTGAAGAACTGATTAAAGTAGCCATATTGTGGCATGATCAAGTCATCATTGCGATAGATGAAGCCTCTAGGTAAGATCTCATTCTTTTTTTTTCAAGTTAACCGTTGTTGAAGTGGTTAAAGTACAAGTCTTGTTAAGAAATGTTACATCTTTCCACTCTTGAGATTCTAGGGAAACTTGCAATAAAATGATTAATAACATAGCTGATTTAATACCATGTTACACTAACTAATGATGTGATAATGCTACAGTATCATGATACAAAGGTAAATTTTACCTATTATAAGACTAAATGCTCGTACAAGCGCCACTTACTAGTACTGACTACTCAGCGTTCGGAATGTTTGAAGTCACTTTTCATACATTGTTATAGAAAAACTCGAATGTAAAAAAAATACCAGGACACTATAGTTTGATCATTTGATTTTAGATTTTATGCCACCGAGAAGGATTTCCGCGGCATGTTCAGGACTTTAGATAAAATGCACGCCATGCTCGATCGCCCTCCGGAAACGTTAAAAGAAAACTCTTTCCTGCAAATGTATGGTAGAGATCTGAAAGAGGCGCAACGCTGGAGTGAAATGTACAAGGTATGAATTTGAATTATGATTTCTTGTTTTTTTGCAAGATTGCATTTGATGTGCTGTTTATTTAACTATCCTTTCAGTGTCATTGCAATTGGATTGTCTTTCTAATAAATATACGACAGGTTTAAATAAAAGTTAATTGACCATTTTTTTCTTTCTCCCACTAGACAACAGGCGAGGACCGATACCTGAACGAGGCGTGGGAGCTATACTACCACGTGTTGCGTCGCATAATGTCACAATTCAGGTCATTGACTTCGTTAGAGCTGCGTTACGTCAGCCGTCGGCTCCACACCTGCCGCGACTTCGAGCTGGCCGTGCCCGGCTCGTACGTCCCCAACGAGAAGGTCATCAGGATCTCGCACATACACAGCCATCTGCAGGCGAGTCTTGTGACACATATAGTATGGTATCATGCCCCAATCCCGGTCGTTGACCTCGCTGGACACCTGCTTCGACTTCGAGCTGGCTGTGCCCGGCTCGTAAGTGCCCAACGAGAAGGTCATCAGGATCTCGCACATACACAACCAGCTGCAGGCGAGTCTTGTGACACATATAGTGTATCATGTCTCACTTCCAATCGTGAAACTTCTTTTTAGGCTCGACTCACACTGGTGCAGAGTCGAAGCATCGCGACGCATCATATTTTTCGCCTATAGCACATTCATCTCTATTGTCCCACCATTAAAGTACAAATTGGTGTTATGCAAATATGGTATCGCGCATCGTCAAAAGTTTTTGATCTAGTCCGGCACTGTAATCCGGGCGCGTTAAAGCGAGCGTCATCGCGCGTCTTTTCGCTTTATAGTTCAAAAACAGGACGCGACGCCTCGACTTCGCCAGAGTGAGTTAAGAGTCCCTATTAATAAGTAAGTACGCATATCAACTCCCTTCACACTTACTATCAAGTCAAGTAGAGTAATTAGCTTTCAATAGAAGCAAACTACACTTCCAGACACATCTATCCGTCCGTAGCTACTAACAAATGTTATATTGAGCAAAAATTTATAACCTACACAGTTTTGAAGCTGATTAATTAACCATCTTTTCGTGTTTTAAATTATTGCTCAACCATAAACATAATATATTTTTACTACAGACCGTTGAAACTTATCACACTAAGTGGGCCGATATAATATGTATCCGGAAATATAGTACATGTTTTTAATTTTTTTATTATCATGAAAATTACTTATTAGGATTTAAGAGAAAACCTATTTATGTTACCTATATATCTGCGATTTTTCCTTACGCCAAGCATCTATTTCAGGTGATAAAGTCAAAACAACGTCCACGCCGTCTCACAATCCACGGTTCGGACGGTAAACAGTACATGTTCCTTCTGAAGGGACACGAAGACTTGCGCCAAGATGAACGCGTGATGCAGCTATTTGGTCTCGTCAACACTTTACTACAAGCCGATACAAACACTTACAGACATGACTTAGCTATACAAAGATATGCTGTCATACCACTCTCACCCAACTCCGGCTTAATAGGCTGGGTCCCACAATGCGACACTCTATACAATCTCATCATTGACTACAGAGACAAGAAGACCAACAAAATGGCCCTGAACACTGAACAACAGTTAATGAAGCGCATGGCCTCCGATTACCCAAATTTAATGCTGAAACACAAGGTGAGTCCTTACCAGCCTATTAATGTCCTCACTGCAGGGGCACAGGCCGTCTCTGTGGATGGAATAGGTAGACTGGGCCCATGACCCACCACGCAGGCCCAGTGCTCATTGATGGGTGTTAACGACTGCATATGCAGCCGGGATCAACGGCTTAACGTGCCTTCCGAAGCACGGAGAAGTTCGGGATAGTAAGTTTTTGGTCACCCATCTAATGACCGACCGCTGCGAAAGTTGCTTAACATTCACGATCTACGATCGCCTAATGCTCTTACCACCTGCGACATCGAATAACTCTTAATAATATGTTAAACATAAATAAATAATGACCTTGACATTGTTGTTGTCAAGCATTCGAAATTACGTTGATAAAGTAATCTGATATTGTGATACTCTAACTGTCCAATTTTTTAATCAAATATGATAATATAAATGCATACTTATTCACTTATCAACTGTGTATGATACTATCCCTTAAAAAAATTGCGACCCAATATTAAGAGAAGTATGGCTAAGTGGATTTCGAAGTATTATCGTCCTTCCGGAGAACTGACCTCCACCTTACCAATTCCTACCAGTAGATCTAGTTTTTTTTTGGTGGTATTTGGTTTTTGTTGTTGGGAAAGGTTCCATTGCTCTACCGGATATGGGATTTGGGTTCAAGCTAAACAGCCTGATCGGGAATCGGTACACTTGACTGTCACATCAACAATCTGCGGGACTTTACTTACATTTAACATCAATTGCAATGGATTAGTTTGTTGCACCTTGCTTAACTAAATAGGCTTACCTTAATAAGTTGGTCACTCTTCCCTTTGTATCATTTTTGCTAACAGATGACAAATAAATAATTTTCTGTTTAATTGTAGGACGGAATAGAGCACTGTGTAGATTATTCCTATAAAAATCCAATCCTACCAAACGTATGTAGTCCTCGGGCACTGTTATGCTCTGTTCCACCTAGTGCCCAAAAACCATTTCCGAACGAGCAAATATTCGTTCGTTCAGTAAACTGATTGCCCAGAAATATGTGGCATTGTTTTCATTGATGACTGATCAAGAAAGCATTCGTTCCCGGACTCCAGTAAAACTTCGTTGTACGTACTCAATCGCTCGCTCTGATGTTTCTATTTATGGAGCGAGCAAATGTTTGTTCATTCAGAACTGTTCCGAGATTAAGTGGTAACGCAGCATAAGGTGAAACAGTATAGCAGATTACTTCATTATTATAGCTATTAACGAGATTACTATGTACCTTGTTTTTTATGAGACTCCGATATTTCGGCACTGTTGCAAGCGCCATGATCACGGAGTAACACAACAAGGTAACAATCCCGTTAATAGCTATGATGTTAGTGACCGTGAAAGTTTAAAACAATATACTTCATTATTTATACTCAACATAGTATAGTTCTCAACATTTTCTTTAATAATCACCAACGCGTTGTCCATTAGGTGGAAATATTTGAGTACACGCTATCCCAAACGCCGGGGAACGATTTAGCCCGCCTCCTTTGGCTTAAAAGTCCGTCAGCCGAAGCTTGGTTCGAGCGACGCACCAATTATACTCGCTCGCTGGCCGTCATGAGCATGGTCGGATACATACTGGGGCTAGGAGACCGGCATCCCTCCAACATAATGCTGCATCGAGTCACTGGCAAAGTACTGCATATAGACTTTGGGGACTGCTTCGAAGTCACCCAGACGAGGGAGAAACTCCCGGAGAAGATACCGTTCAGACTGACTAGATTGCTGATCAACGCGATGGAGGTAAGGAGTTATTGTTATTCCGTTTGTTTTTTTTACTTTCGCGTTTCCATTTCACGTAGGTACATCCTTACTTGTACAACTTATGGAGAGTTCATGTAGAATCAATTATTTAATACAAAAAAACTGATGAAATACGCAACGGGTATAGGTGTAATAAAAAAGATAAAAGTGTGAGCAAATATTCTTGTGCGTCTTTTTATTAGGGGTCATCCATAAAGTACGTTACACTTTTTACGTGATTTTTTACCCCTCCCACGTTCTTATAGGTATATTACCCTAGCGTAACAATTTCATAAGTCCATATCCTAAGGTATATAGTATTTTGTTGCTAATTTGTTGCTATTTTGTGCCGCAAGAATTGATTTTGTTGCTCCATGATTTCTCCGAAAAACGCCTGTTACGCTAGCGTAATATTACGCTAGCGAAACCACAGCGATAACTCGGAGGCAAAAGCAGTTAGAGAGACCAGATGAACGGCATATTTTGTTGCTATTTTGTTGCTGTAAGATAAGCTGGTTAGATATGGAAAAATTACCCCCCTTTTTATTACCGTTGGTCTCGGGTCGCTAGCTGCTTTAGCTCACGAGATACGAAATATCTGGTGTCTTCGGGGTCGGGGGTTGATCATACCCCGATAAGGGTTGTGATTATGATGGTCGCAGCATGCCTATCTAATAGCAACAAAATACGCCGTTGGGATCGGGTCGCTAGCTGCTTTAGCTCACGAGATACGAATTATCTGGTGTCTTGAGGTCGGGGGTTGGTCATACCCCGATAAGGGTTGTGATTGTGATGTACGCAGCATGCCTACCTTATAGCAACAAAATACGGCTTTTGTCTCGTGCCGCTAGCTGCTTTAGTTCACAAGATACGAAAAATCTGAAATATATAAGAATTAGGGTAGTTAGCCCCCCATGAAGGGGGGGAATTTTTCCATATCTAACCAGCTTATCTTACAGCAACAAAATAGCAACAAAATACGCCGTTTGTCTCGTGCCGCTAGCTGCTTTAGTTCACGAGATACGAAAAATCTGAAATATCTAAGAATAAGGGTAGTTAGCCCCCCATGAAGGGGGGAATTTTTCCATATCTAACCAGCTTATCTTACAGCAACAAAATACGCCGTTTGTCTCGTGCCGCTAGCTGCTTTAGTTCACAAGATACGAAAAATCTGAAATATCTAAGAATAAGGGTAGTTAGCCCCCCATGAAGGGGGGTAATTTTTCCATATCTAACCAGCTTATCTTACAGCAACAAAATAGCAACAAAATATGCCGTTCATCTGGTCTCTCTAACTGCTTTTGCCTCCGAGTTATCGCTGTGGTTTCGCTAGCGTAATATTACGCTAGCGTAACAGGCGTTTTTCGGAGAAATCATGGAGCAACAAAATCAATTCTTGCGGCACAAAATAGCAACAAATTAGCAACAAAATACTATATACCTTAGGATATGGACTTATGAAATTGTTACGCTAGGGTAATATACCTCGTTCTTATGGTAGGCGGTCACATTTTTGAGTTTTCCCCTCCCTAGTTCCTAGTCCCATATTTTGCTAGCTGAAATCTAGAAAGAGAAAATATTAAATTACAACAGCAGTTCCGAAATTAGTTCCGAGAAATAACCAATAAAACAAATTAAAACCTATACAGATAAAGTTCATTTTTTTTTTATAATAGTCCAAAAGTATTATATTTTGAAATGTGACCACGAAACGTAGGACTCCTACCACCCCCTTAACGTGTGACGTACTTTATGGATGACCCCTTAGGGCTCGTTGTTAAAAAGCAATGAAAATTAGTTAAAATAAAAGTACACATGAGAGGAGAGGTTAATTTTAACCATAGTTTGTATGGAAGCATAAATAAAATATCCTGGTAGTCAAAATATATGACACATGGGCATATTTAAGTAGCTAAATAAATTAATTTTATTGTACCATATAATATTTTATATTATTAGTAACCATAATATTATGCCATAGCGTACTATTTAACCAGATATACGACAAAGGCGACCATCCTGCACTTGCACTTACTGAGCCACCTTAAAACGGTTTGCGGGGGTTGAAGGACTTGCAGATGCAAATACTCGACTCGTCATACTTCGTTGTGATTGTGCGCTGTGCCCTGTAACTGGTTGATTTTTATCTAACACGCTTTGGACATTGAAACACGATTATCGGCTTTGTCAATTAGTATAGATGAACTGGAATCATGTTTTCTCCAAAGCGTAGACAAGTTTGTGTGATTTGTGGTCGCTCCGTTTTACATAGAAGACAATTTACTATAACGGACAGAATGTTTGAAAAAACCCCAACCCATGCAGGGATTTTTGAATTTACTCTAGCGCGGCAGAATAATATAAGTGGGCACCCTTGCACCTTGTGAAGTACTTCCATAATACCTGAGACACCTATGTAGGGTCAAACTAATTAACTTTATTAATTCCTTTGTTTCATTAATGTTCGTTGGTTATAGTACTTGTACCTATTTAACTTAAAATAACTAAAGACCCCCGGGATAGAATTTGATGTGATTTTGCACAGATGATCATGATTATAATACCTTTCAAACAAATGTAGTTTAAGCCGTGGCGGACGTGGGTGCAGCGTCCATACATTTTTGCCCAATGTCCTTTATTTTATGTTTTCATTGGTAAACAACAAAGTCAAATTTGCCTTGTCAAGTAAATTTTATCTGGTTTTAAGTTTATGTTTACCGATGAGTCACCGATGCCACTAATCGTAATACATTCGCCAGTTTACCCCCAAGACAAGAGTGCCTAAAGAAGTTTCACTTCTTAAATACGTAACTTAGGGGAAGTTACACATATTTTTTGTTCACTACTACCAAACCCATAACATTAAGGTGAACGAGATGGCAACATATGAACTTACTATTTTTTTAACGGTGAAAACTACAAAAAATAGACATAACTAACGCGGACCTTTTTTATAGAACTTTTAAAGGGGAACAATTCCGTTATACTTGTTTTTATATAACTTGAACCTTTTACCCAGCGCACGCAACGAAAGCTCACAAATGGAAATTTTTTACCCGTTTTTGCAAAATTTTTCATCGATGCTTCGCTGTTCCTGGTCCTAGCGTAATGTTATATAGTCTAAAGCCTTTCTTGGTTAATGCACTATCCAACAGAAAAGTTTTTTTTTAATCGAACAAGTATTTTCTGAGATTTGCGCGTTCAACCCCCAAAAAATAAACAATATGGCCGAATCAGACTTAAACGCGACGCCATCCGACGCCACGCCACGCGTGGTGAGTCTGTTAGAAACGGTTTCATTAATATCATAATAACACTAGATTGTCTTATACGATATTCCGTCGTCATTGATTAGGTACTTTACTGTTATTTTTAATAGCTACAATTACTTGATGACTTTTGAAGTGCCGAAATATACCTACCAATCCTTATCAATTAATCTGTATCGTTGCGACCACATAAACCCTCGGACGTATCACAAAGATAAGGTCTTATTTTGAAGGATTTCTCTTTGAATGAAAATAAGTGTTCCTAACAACGTCCTGAAAATAAAACCTTAGTTTCAAAAATAATAAAATAAGTTAAAGGCGTTAAGATTTATTACATATAACAATAACATCGTCGTACCTAGATAATTTTCAAAGAATTTGGTGGTGTAATGCGTTTTAAGGTTCTTTGTTTTCTTTTTGATACTCCCTTCATCTAAATCGTATTTTGTACAAGACCATGTAAAACATCACGTTTCACTCTGTTGTTTTTATAACTTCAATTGCAAGCATCCTACAACACTTCACTGTTTCTATAATCCTCAATAAAGTCTAATTTTTTTTTACACCATCTCTGTGTTTGATAGGTTACCTTACATCATTTTGACAGTCGTATAATCGCTTTATTGACGGTATGCTACGGGAACTGACATTGACAGTGCATTCTTCATCGATTCTCTTATCTCTAGGTGACAGGCATCGAAGGCACGTACCGCTTCACCTGCGAATCGGTGATGCACGTGCTCCACAAGCATCGGGACAGCGTGATGGCAGTACTGGAAGCCTTCGTTCACGACCCCTTACTAAACTGGAGGCTGGTTGAAGTAGAGGCTCGTTCTTTAACCGCCTCAGCGTTCTCTTCAGACATAGACTCGTCATACTCTTTACCTAGTCGCAGCAGAAATGTTCGCTGCGAGTCTCTAGAACCTCCACCACCTGAATTGAACCTCAACAAGCGAGCTCTCGCCATACTCAACAGGATAAGAGACAAACTAACCGGCAGAGACTTCCCGCACGTCGAAGCGGTAGTCAGCGTGCCAAAACAGGTAGACCTGCTCATAAAACAGGCAACGAGCAACGAGAATCTCTGCCAGTGCTATATCGGATGGTGTCCATTCTGGTAATTTTCAGTGGTAATTCAATGTGAGTAAAGATCAAGGTAATTATATTTTATGTGACGTCGTTGAATAATAACAGCTTTCGCGTTTATTGTCGAAATTTATGACCAATTGGAGACATCTTGTCCTGAATTTGATTCTATGTTGATTCGACAATGGAAAATCGGTTTTTTTGTATATTGTCACGGTTCTGAGTGAATGTGGTGCTGTCGTTGTTTCTGGTTTCCATACAGGGCCGTAGCTAGGGAGTGGATTATGGAGCAATGCCATACCTAAAAATACTATTGCCCTGCCTTAAAACGGGGCGGTGGGCTGCAAAGGGCGGCACGCCCCTGCTACCTGTAATTTCCGCTACCCTATCATGAATACAACTCTGGCTACGCCCCTGTTTTTATAAAATTGAAATCAGTACATTGTGTATATATTAATGTATCTTAAAAAATACACACATATACATATATATGTCTCACACAGACAGTAATAGAAACAGGCTACCACAAAATGTGAAAATGATTTTAAACTCGATCCTTTAAGAATGAATATTTAATTTTGTGTCATTATAAAGATCGATCTCGGGCTATAATTGCATAAGTGATAAAGTTTTGAAGACGAAAAAGGGTACGCTTTTGATCCTTTTTATGGCTATAAGTAAAACTAACTGGATCAAGTATTCAAATATAATAAATACTTCATACTGTAATTACAAAAATAATAACGATACAATATTTATTTAGGGCTCCGTTAAGCATAATTATGTTTTATACAAAATCCAAAATGTATTCTCTGTACCATCAAAAATAAAAAAATCTACTTATCTAAAAATAATCATTTATTACTTACTATTCTTAGTTTTGTTTTTACAAAAATGGATAATATTTCTATAGACCTGATTTTGGACTGCACCCTTTATAAATATTTATGTATAATTAATGTTTTGTGTGTACATATTTTTTTTTACTTCGAAAAGGACCAAGTACGTATTAATTTTTGTTGCTTTTCTTAAGTGGGTTCCTATCCTGATTAATCTATTTAATTTTAAATTGATGTACACCCTCCCTCACTATTATATTAATTATTGTAGGTTGTATTGTACCTTTTGCAAAAGTATCCATTTTGTATACTTTTTTAATTTAATCTAGAGATGTTCTATCGTGTCACCACCGCATCTTGTTTCTACCTCTTTTGTTATGTTTAAGATTGTTGCATTTATTTATCGGATTGTTATGTCCTATTAAACACTTTTGTTTGCAAAAAACTACATAATTTATTGGAAGTAGATGTTAAGGATTTAATACCAGCAACTTTTTTGAAATGCAATAAATTCCAACCCTTGTTGAGTATTTTCAAGGACAACTTTTTCATTGTTAACTTACACAACAGGTTACACTGCCAATTTATAAGACTTCCATTTTGACATTGGTGTAAGGTTCATTTTCTAAACAATATACAAACATTTTAACAAACAATGCAGTCAGGAAATTTGTGAATAATATCTAGGCTAAATCTTATTGTTTGCTTTAAGTGTAATTATTTTGTAAACATTGTAAATAACAATTAACTGCGTTATGACTTTATACCTATTGTTAAATATTGTAATTACGTTTGTGTAAATACACTAATTATGACTCGATAAAAATGTTTAATTATTAAAAAAAACATTATTATCAAACACTTGTTAACTTGGGTGTCTATTTTATTTTCCTTAATAGGATTTAAATAAATATTCATGTAGGTCTTCCACTAAGCTAAGGTTGAAGTAAATCATAATTACTATGCATTAGCGATTTAATTTAACAGAGGCAGTAAATTAATAAATTTATGTTACTCATCGCAGGAATACGATGTTAGCTTAAACATTATTTTAAACGGTTATTTAAATATCCTCCCGTTCTACACTTACAACGCACGCTGCGTCCTTAAATTGTCCATTGTATAGTTCGCGAAAGATAGCGGCAGAAGCTGTGAAATGTTGGTGCACAGCACTTTGTCCATGGTAGGTCTGCACAAGTACACATCGGTCTCTCCGTTCGAGCTTCGGAACTCGTTCAGGGTCTGTCTGCAGACTCCGCACGGTGCAGTAAACTGATTTTGGTGCGCGACCACAGCGACTGCTTTGAATCTGACATATCCTTCAGACACTGCCCTCGATAGCGCAGCCCGCTCCGCACAAATAGTCGGTGAGAATGCAGCACTCTCTATGTTGCAACCGGCAAAAACTCTGGAGTCCTCCTCCGTGACAATAGCGGCTCCCACTGCGAAATTAGAATACGGGCAGTATGCCCTTTTCCTGACTTCGAAGGCGTCTTTAATTAAACTTTGGATTTCTGCGCCTGAAATAGCAAAATTTAAAGATTTGTATTTAAAGATAATTTTATTTTTATACAATAAATTCATTAGGTAAGTATGTCAAATGTAGCTCGTAGCCAAAATAGAATCTAATTAGGTACATCATATTAATAGCATCTCTTAAATACTTCATAGTGAGTTAGTTTCTGTTCTGTTAAATTATTTTTTAAGTTTAAAAAGTACATCTATATTATAAAAGTAAACATTATATTCTGTTTTTTCTTAATATGTTAGTTTATAAGATACATTACAGTTTTAGTACCACCAAGTTTAATACCAATTCACGAAATCCCCATTAATGTAAAAGAAACATCACGTGTTGAGAAGACATCACAAGCACAACATAGTAAAAATTGAATTTTGCAATAGGTTACTGTTGAGAAGGAATTATGAAAACAAAATATAATTATGAATGGCCCTCACTCAACGTGCTGAAGTCGACAACTTGGAAATGATCCATGGTTCCGGCAGGTATCAACGCGCGTAAAAACACGCGCGTAATAAATTCGTGCGCTCGTCGGCGGGCGGCCAAACGCGTATGCCGCTCGCCTCGGTCGTCGGCCAACTTATTACCGTAAACGGTCGTTGATTAGATACCGGCTCCCATGATTGAATATGTCCCTTGTTATTGTAAAATGCTTTTGTACACATCGCTAAGGTTAAATATCCATTGAAAGCGCTGCAGCAAAGAGCGTATGGTACTTATTCAACTGTCTGAATACGAAAACCATTCTATTCCATTTTGATTGACCTTTTCTCGGTTTTCATTTTTTCAATAATTCAATAGGATGAGAAAAGTACTTACTCCTCAATAAGATGGAATGACAGCGAAGTGAAAAAACATTGAACGCACCAGCTGCAACTGTTCAAAATAGAATTAAAAATAATATATCAAAATTCCCCATCGTTCCGGGACATGGAAAAAAATACTCGAGGTCAAAGGTAAAAAAAAATGGGTTTTTCGGTATTTACATCAACACGGTAAGTTTAATCGTAAAATTATTTTAGAAAAAAGTGTAGGTCATAAAATTATCTATAAAAAGGATAATATTATTTTTTTCATAAGAGCCACCGTTCTTGAGATATATCGATTCAAAATTGTAATCGTCATAATATGCACACGTTTCCACGCCACCTCTGAGGTAGTACTTAACTGTTTTTTAACGTGGTTTCCCCAGTGGGCCTATTCCACAGGTCTATTGTGATTCTGTTTAATTGGAAACTATTGCATAATTACAAATATAAGCAAGGATTGGAATTGCTAAAAGCGATGGAAATTAAAAATCATTAGAAAAACATATTCGTCCGATTCATAATCTTAATTAATTCTTCTTGTTGTTTTTCTTATGATTTTCTTCTTCTACATCCAGGGTGTAAGTGAATTGCGTAAGTCTCAAGACAAGTCGTCACAAGACAACTACATCACATGTCATAAATCGAAATCAGAATACAATATTATAATACTGCTCGTCAAATGCTTCATCACGCCATTTTCAGATGACCGCAGATTGTAGAAAAGAGGGAACACGGGCGCGGGCAAATAATTCCATTTGCAAAATAATAGTCACTAATATAAAAAATGAGTCACTATATTTCTTTAATCGTGTAGTAGGAATAGTGGCCACAGTAAGTCGGTGACAACGTAGGCCAGCGCGCGTAATCTTCTGAAGGATAGGAGAAAGGTATATATTGGGAGAATAAGTACCTACACACGGTATAGGTTCATAACAAAACATAAAAGATTTCTTTCTAAGAAAAAACTCTTAAAATTATTAATCATTAACTAAATTGAAGGGGTGAGTGGACAAAGGTGTTATCTGACAAAACTGAAAAAATCTACTTATTTGCATGAACATAGGTTTCAAGCTTAGAGCATACTGCATACACCACTGGAGACGCCATTCCGTTCACTCGCCAAACAAAATTTTTCACCATTTTTGGCGCGGGACGAGGTACACATAAAGCACACTTATGAAAATATGCAATACTCCCACAAACACGAGCGTGTTGTTGCTATAAACCAGGGATGTTACGGAGCTTCGACTCCGACTCCGTTAAGTCGGAACTTCCGATTATTATGACACCTTCGGCTCCGACACTTTTAAATCGGAGGTTTATCGGAGGTCGAAGCATAACATAGCGGCGGCGGCCTACGTCGACTGTTATGAACAGGTTCATTGAATACATGTCGCGCGAGGAATCCCTCTGACTCCCGCTACGCCCGCTCTATCGTCAATTTCCACGTCTTATTAGTTTTGTTAGTTTGTTACGCACACGACACGTTCATAGGTTATAGACATTTGTTTTGATTTTTGCGACTTAGTATCATTAAAAGTGATCTGTTTTTGTGTTGGACAATGAAACCAAAATCAAGTTGTATTTGGAACTACTTCATTGAAGTTAATTCAGATTCGGCAAAGTGTAAACTGTGTATGAAGACGTATTCAAGAAAGGGAAGTACGACAACGTCGTTATAAGGTCATTTAAAGTCTGTTCGTGCCACTAATTACGAACAATTAATAAAATTAGAAATTGAAAAGAAAAATACAGTACAGACTTCGACGCCTCTTCAGGATGGCAAAAAACAAATTCCTTTAAAAGAAACTTTGCTGAAGAATCAAAAATGGTGTTCCTTTAATACTAAATATATAGAAATTGACAGATTGATTTCTGAAATGAATGCTTTACAAGATCTTATTTTTTTTAATGAATAGTGTTTTATTTCTCCGTAAATAAGAAATCTCTCTCCTGCCACCACTTATGACCCTCCCTCCGCCTCCGATAAATCAAATTTAAACTCCGACTCCGTCTTCGGTTCCGATATAATATCTCCGTTACATCCCTAACACTTCAAAAATTACGTCACACAAACAAAAATACGCACACATGCAAACAATTTTTAAGCTGACCCTCGATGTTGAAGTTGACCCGTCTCGATTGTGTTTCGGGCAGCTCGGCGCCTATCTTCTCGGCGGCTCAAATCTATCAAAAGCAAAAAAAAAGAACTTATTTTCCCAAAATTTTACAATAAAAATACTTTTTTTTTAATTGAATAGGCATGTCTCGCCACGCGAGCCTAGTGCGAATTAGCAGGAGGTACCATATAAATATTTTTAACTTTGTTCCAGCAGTGTTCCACTCACGCATTTTTTTAAGTTTCTGTTTCAGGATACTTAGTGTAGATTGTAGCTGACATCAATTGATTAATATAAATGTTTGTCTAAATGACAAAAAGTCTTACTTTATTGTAATCGTCATTATTAGGCTATCACAAAGACAGTGACAGCGTCAATTTTAATCAATCTTAAATATTTATCAACGCCTTAACACAGTTAATAAACAAGGAATAAACCTGACTAGTTACACCATGTTTTGTTCATGTCACTCAAATGCCATTTGTCATTCAACGAACAGAGACAAAACATATATTAACTATTCCAAGCTCATTCTGCGTTTATTAAATAAGGGGGCTAGAATGCAGCCGTTAGAAACGTAGTTAGTAAGTTTATTTTGAATTTAACACACACACATACAGAAGGCCATAGTAAGATGACATTTATCTTCTGGTAGTGTTGTTTTGTTGGCAATTTTGTAGGGCTTCACGGCATAGGTGATTCGATTCAGGCAGACAAAATGAGTGACTCAATATCATTTTTGAAGACCTATCCATAGATACCCCACACAGAGCCGTCTTTCCCAGTGGGCACTTTGGGCAAGTGCCCAGGGCCCTGTGATCGATAGGTGGGCACCTCAGATCACAAATACAAAGTCCCTAGTTCTTGTTAGATCACCAAAGGGGAGGCATAGGGGCCCCATTATCCTAATATGCCCAGGGCCTCCAAGAGGTCAAAGATGGCACTGACCCCACACATATGGGTTTGATTAAAAACGTTTTGTGAATTTCAGTTCTAAGTATGGGGGGATTCGCTGTTTTTTGTTCCCTGAAATTGTTATTTTTTTTCTATTTATGTGTGAAAATCTTAATGCGTTTCACAGAATACATCTACTTGGTAAGTAGTTTCATCAGTATATAGTTCTTATAGATTCGAAAAAGTGGCTGTGACATACATACGGACAGACAGACATGACGAATCCATAAGGGTTCCGTTTTTGGCCATTAGGCTACGGAACCCTAAAAATGTTAGTCGTTAAGTTTATTTTAGATAATAAGGAAAAACGTCAAACTTGATTAGTGAAATGTTTAGTCTACTTATCAATGCAGCGAGAGAAAGTATGTATGTAGAGGCTAAGACAGGCGGTACATTGCCACACCACATGCCATTAAAATAAAAGGTCGCAATTCGCAACTCAATAATTTATAGTGCAAGGGCGTTTAGTTCAATAAACCTACGTACCTACGTACCAGTTCTGTTATAAAGTAACTATACATACCGAATTCTGCAATAGCTGTACTCGTTGCACACCTCACAAATTATAATTAATCAGTACGATGATAATTTAACGCCCAATGCGAGTCTAATTAGCATCCTGTAAATGACTCGCCATAAAGTTGAGACACCACGAAAAACGTTAGCTTTTTGATCCTATAAAAATTAAAGGTTCCTATAAAGATTTTCTATGAAAATTTCAAGTTTCGGCGTATTATAGTAGTCACTAAAATCCATTCCGCAGACGAACAGCCGAGGCTTAGTTCCTTTGTCATGTCACCCTTGCGTAGAGAACCCTAAAATAATCTCCCAGTTAGTTATCGTTATGGATAACTAGCTGTGCCCCGCGGTGTTACCCGCGGTTTATTAGGGATATTTGCCCGCAGCAACGCGTAACCTATGTGTTAATCCAGGACATCGGCTAACTCCATGCCAAATTTTATTAAAATCGCTCCAGCCGTTTAGGCGTGAAGAAGTAACAAACATACACACTCACAAACTTTCGCCTTTATAATATTAGTGTGATATATCTTCACATATATATATATATATATTAGGTAAGGTATTAAAATAAAAGCATTTAGTACAAATTACATTGGTGATCATTTATTCAATTAAAGTATAAAGCTTAACCTTATTTAATATTTTATAACAATTTTGTTGCCTATCAATATGTATTAAGTTTAATGATGACATCAGATAATTTTGAAGTGTATATTTTATACATTCAATTTATAATTTGCAATAAATAAGCATGGTCATGCAAAAATTATACGTGGGCTCCAAGTATTTGCGCTTGAATGAGATGTCATTCAACCTCAATATTGCACAAAATTATTCATAATATTAATCGGATGTCGTATGAAATTATAAACAACCCATTGAATATATCATGTTTACAAATCTACATCTAAGTTTGCTTAAATTAAAATATAACATTCATATAATTACGCAATTAACCAAAAAAATAACAACATCTTCAGTTTAAAATTACTTATTCAGATTATTGTAACTGCTGAACTAAGTTTTCGTAGTGTCAAATTCTGATTAAGCTTACGGAAATCGGTTCACCTTTGCAATAAATTAAAATTTATAATAAATAAATATTTTGAACACTCACATCAATTAGCCTGTAGGCTTGTGTTATGGGATACTAGGGAATACATATATAAGTATATTTATATAGAAATACATATTAAACATCCATGACTGGAGTACAAATGCTCGTATTCATCACACAGGGCAGATGTTCTGCCCCCACCGGGATCTCTCCAGTAGGCGACACCTTAAAACCCGGCGTACAAACTACTCGGCCACGGAGGTCGTCGTCGTCAATAATAATTCTTAATCAGGTAATTGTAAGAGAGCTTACATGACAATAAATATGGTATTAAATATAAATATATTTATAAATAGTCTCGTACTTGCAGTACTTTTGCATTGGTTTAACTCTAGAATGGCTTTTACTATGAATAAGAGTTGCATTTAAATAAGATATCTTATTTATAACAAAAAATCCGTATAGACGTGGGTTAGATATAAATAAACTTAAGTGATCGTTGAAAATGCACTGTTCTAGCATACAACGCTGGGAATACCCATTTTGTATTATAGAAAACAAATAACTTGTTCTTATAATTGTTTGTTATATATCTAACAGTTAACATATTTTCATTAATGCAGCTTCTTTATAAAAGTAAATTATTGTTCTTTCTTACGAAACTATATCAGCTAAGGCACTTGTCCCAATGTCGGCGATTAGCGTTAAGTTTTGAACTGTGACAAATTAATGGACTGTCTGTCAGTGTGGTCAGTGAACCAACTATTACCGTCTCTATGGCCCCTATTATTAGATCGCTCTCAAGTCTGAGACAACGATCTTGAATTACTGTTTTCATACAAAACGCACCTCAAGAATATACTCAAGTCCGCTCCCACCACCCTATTCATAAACAAGGAATAAGCTTAGACTAGTGTTACGCCGTGCTTTGTTCATGTTACTCAAATGCCATTTTTCATTTGTCATTCGACGAACAGAGACCAAAACATGGATTAACTCACCCAAGTTTATTCTTGCGTTTATTAGTAAGGGGGGCCAGAGTTAAAAGCGGTCTATTAATAAGGGCCTAAATCTTAATGACAAGAGATCTACATGAACATCACATTTTTTCGAGCAAGAAAATAATCGATTACTTACAATTTTATTTATTTTATTATAGTCACACCTCTCCTTTTTGTCCTTATTTATTAATTTATTATGGGTTGCCTGGTGGAGATTGCTGCCTAGCAATAAGGTCGTATTGTGTAACTTCTGTTTGTCATGTTTTGTGTCTTGTGTGGTATAAAACAATAAAAAGTATTTTATTATAACTCGGTATAAATTTTCACGTCGACAGAAAGTGGGACAGGTGCTTATCAGATATGGAGCAAGAAATATTAGTTTTTCTTATGCCTTGGTTATTTGTGTTTGCTTTTTGTAAACTTGACATTAGTCCCTCCTTTTCATTCCTTTTTTTTATTCTGTGGCTGTTTCCGTTTTACACAGCAATTTCGCCAATGTCCCGTAGTGAGAGAAACACGATATGAGAGAGATTGCTCGGTATTAATGCAAATAAAGATTTATTATAATAAAAATAAATAAATAACTATTTCCAACACTCACACCAATTACTGCCTCAAAGTAAGCCCTGTAAGGCTTGTGTTATGGGATACTAGGGTAACAGATAGAATACATATATAAGTATTATTTATATAGAAATACATATTAAACATCCATGACTGGAGTACAAATACTCGAATTCATCACACAAACATTTGCCCCCACCGGGATTCGAACCCGGGACCTTTCGAGTCGGCGACACCATGAAATCCGGCGTACAAACCACTCGGCCCCGGAGGTCGTCTAATAATTCATCCGAATAACCATGCTTCCTTGAGTTTTCAATTCTTATAAAGCATGATAAAGACAGACTGTTGTCAAGTTTACAAATAGCAAACTCGAATAGCTAAGTGTAATAAGCTTACTTACACTCAATCACTGATTGCCCTGAAGGCTACGCTTTACGGTGACACAATCGCACCAAATGCACATAACATAATCTAGAACTAAAATAGGAACTACTCAAAATGCCACCATACACTATATTATTTATTCATAATTTTATAGAGCTGTCTTAATTACACACGAACTTCTATAATAGGCACTTCCTTATCATTATATATGCCTTTGATCATAAAATCTGCTTTGACTAGTTTAACGACGAGTTTTTACTACTATTATCGCATATTACAATTCTGTTACGTTAACAGAAATCCCTTTCTGATTAATTTATTCGGATGTATGTTATCACGAATTTATCGATCACAAATTTATATCAAGGAAATCAGCAAAAACATCATCAATGGAATACAAGATTTTTTTGTTACTTAAAATGTTATATGATAAGATATACAAGATATGATAACAATAACACACTTGTACTGATTGGCCGCGTTGTTTGATACATAGTTAAATATATATGCCTATAGTTATAATACTATAGAAAAGTAAGCATTTGTCAAAACTTTACACATTTTACAGAATTTGCCATAAAATTGACTAATAGGCAAAAACTACGTATCAAACAAATTTTGTAATTCGTAGAAGTTTTCTTTATTTGCGGTTAAATGCAAAATCCACAGACTAAGATGGTCGTAGAATAATAATTTACATAGAAAGAATGGTAAAGTAAAAACTGTTTAACTATATCGGTACTGTTCTAACCAAAGCACTTTCAAACGGGTGTAAGTGAGACAGTAGCTAATACTTTCTTCTGCTTTTTTTCTAAGTTGTCCAAGATTTGGAAGTACTTCTTGGGTACCTCGTGCTTAAATTTTATACATATATTATATTGTTTGTCTTGAAAATTTGTTTGTTTCAGTTTGTTTTTTACTATGAGCAAGTGAGCTTTTAACGTATTTAATTAAGTACTATTTTTTATTGAATTTTTGTCGTGTAAACATTGTAGTCCAACTTTCGAAACGACGAAAGAAAAGCCAATGTATTAGAAAGAGATAGAACAATATCTATCTCTTTCTAATACATTGGCGGACTTATTAGTAAAAAAGTAGGGTCGACCCAATGCATATTGGGGCTATTTTAACACTCCTTCTATATAAACTATCATTCTATACTGAACTGATGCTCACATTATTAAACATTTTTTTATTGATTTACATTTGGTGATAACATACAGGTTTTGTTCATACTTTACCGACTTATCAAACACAACGTGAACACAACTAACACAAGCAAAAAAAATATCATTGTAATGAAAAATATTTGAATTATGTTTGAACAATCTCTGTTATTATGTTAAAATAACATTACATTTTAAAAGACAACATATTCAACACATAGTATATATGAACGAATGACAGCACGTCAGTCTTAACACAAAATGTTAAAATTCTACAACCGATTTTGAGCTATGGACCAAAACGCTAAGATTGAAAATCGATAGGAAAATTTGTCAGTTCTGTGCTGCAAAAATTTACAACAGAAGAAGAAAGATCTTTGATCATGCTTAAAGTTAAATTGTCCTCTCTGAGTAGTCGTTAAATGCACATCTAACCACTCATGCTAGATTACGTAATCTTCATAATGTGTATCTGAGCAGAGATGGTACAAAGGCAAAAAAATATATAACTTTAACGTTCCACAGAAAAGCTCAAACTAATAAATAACAACTCACTATCAAAAATAGCTTTCAATTCTCTAGAAAAATTAAAGAAAAATTTTCAAGAAGTCTCTCTCTCGAATCACTTTGGCTATCCCTGGCACAGAGCATAGCAGTATCCGACTGAAGAACTCTGTATCCAGTACCCATTATTGAATTCGATCTCGATACGAGTCAAATGTCAAGAAGTTTTGAATGAAAATTTTAACAGCGCGCCAACGGACGTAACGACAATAAAAAATCTTCCATACAAAACTTCTTCACATTTAACGCGCGTATCGAGATCGAATTCATTTATTCGAATTCGATATTGGTTCGTGCTAAAAAGACAGATTAACGACAAAATCAACGAGCGAGCCTTACAGTAGTCGCGTATGATGTGTAACATTTGAAACCTCACCTTATATTAGTAAAAAAAGAAATAAAACCTACAACAAAAGGAATAAGCCATTTGAACATTATGTAAAATCAAATCAAATAGCGCGCGCTTTCGCGACTTCCTGTTACACACTTCCGTCCCACTTCACGTAATCACTCCCACAAATTGCACGAAAGCGAGAGGTAAAATGTTACACAACAAAAAGCGTAAATCTACCAGAACGGACACCATCCAATGTAGCACTGGCACAGGTTCTCGTTGCTTGTGGCCTGTTGTATTAGCAGCTCAACTTGCTTTTGTACTGTCACATTTTCATCTATATGGGGAAAATCGCGGCCTGTCAATTTGTCGCGCACCCTATTTACTATAGCTAGTGCTCTTTTATTCAAATGGGTTTCTGGGGGGTCTGGGGCGGGTGCGGGGGAGGGGGGAGATTCGTCCGTCCTTCTGGAAGCTTCCACCAATCGCCAATTCAGTAACGGGTCGTATACGAAAGCTTCCAGTACGGCCATCACGCTGTCCTTGTGTCGATGGAGTACTTCCATCACTGACTCGCATGTGCGACGATATGTGCCCTCGATGCCGGTAACCTACGTTGAAAGAAAGAAAGAAAAATAATTTTATTTGAGACAAAACAACGGTAAATAAATATATAAACAAAACATACATATATTTTTTTTTGTCTCAAATCAGTCCCAACTCAGCATGGTGCTGATGTTGCCATCAGCGCTGGTCTTCCGTTGGAACCGGATGAGAGATGAGAGATGGAGCTATCGATCGATACGAGTATTCTTAAAGCGCGATTACACTTTTTCGCTAGCCCGAATACGAGTGTAAATGGAATTCGGGTAAACGACTAAGTGTAAATGAACCGGGTCGACTACGCCCGTATTCGGGTTGATTTCGTTTTGGTTACCCGTCACCGTCGGCCAGCCCTTATTCCAGTGTAAATATTGCTTCGGGTGCTCGAATTTGAGTAATGTCTTTCGTGCACCCGAATACAGGCTAACGACCAAATGTAATTGAGCCATTATGATAGAACGTTCGTATTTTTATGCACTGTTAGAAAGAAATAGTTTTATGTGATTCTTGAAAACAGTCAATCTAATTTGCAGCATTTCTGTAAAGATTAATTTTCAAACTTTACAGAAATGTCAATAATTACTTTACTCTTTCCTAAACATAAATTACATTTAAATAGAAACAAATTAACTTGAAAGATACAAAACTTTAAGTACACATAACATTACCTTTTTTATCATTATTTTTGCATATGAACTCATACGGTCTTACTACAATAAAGTTAGATATAGTCTTAAAACTTGTTTAGGCAAATTTTAAATGCAATTTTTTCTTTATTTATATATATTTTTTTTTATGATAAAGGTCTGTCTTTAAACATACCTCCATCGCGTTAATCAACATCCTGGTCAATCTGAACGGTATCTTTTCTGGGAACTTGTCCCTCGTGACGGCTACTTCGAAGCAGTCCCCGAAGTCTATGTGCAGGAACTTGCCGGTGACTCGGTCCAGCATGATATTGGAGGGATGTCGGTCTCCCAGCCCCAGTATGTATCCGACCATGCTCATGACAGCCAGGGAGCGAGTGTAGTTCGTTCGTCTTTCGAACCACACTTCGGAGGACGGACTTTTGAGCCATAGAAGCTTGGCTAGGTCGTCGCCGGCCGTGTGCTCTAACGCGTGTTCAAACACTTCCACCTGCGCAAAACAAATAAAAGAAAGTTTAATAAGTATGTAATTTAAAAAAAATGGGTGCGTGTACTTATGTAGGCGCGTGAGAAGTTATCCTTCTTTGGCATCGTTTAAAATTAGTTTTTAATTGCATGCAAATAATTACAATACATTAATAAAAAGTCTGGAAAAGGACACAGTCAATAAAGTTCAGTTTTAATTTGAAAAAATAAATAAATAATCAAAATATTCAATTAAAATCGCTACTGAATATAATTTATTAGAACATATGTGATTTGCACTTGTATGAAACTCAAACACGTATTCCGAATATACAAACTAGAAACATGTGGATAAATATTATAAATATGAATACCTATAACTGTTACTTTATTACAAAAAATAAAGATGTGGTTTTTGGTTCTACTACACCAATGGTCAAGAGATGGCGCTGTAGTCTCCTGAATCGCGCTTTGGTTCCGTTGTTCCAGATTAATAAATACTTTTTGTTACTTTATTACAAAAAATAAAGATGTGGTTTTTGGTTCTACTACACCAATAGTCAAGAGATGGCGCTGTAGTCTCCTGAATCGCGCTTTGGTTCCGTTGTTCCAGATTAATAAATACTTTTGATAGGCCTTCACAATACAGTCGTTAGCACCCACAAAATAGAGATTCTATTTCTATTTTGTTGGTAGATTTTCTTAATGTGTGGTAAACACAAAAGTAACAGCATGAAGTTGGTCGCTAAAGCGACCAACTTCATGCTGTTAATTTTTTGTTACAGTGATGCGCGCGCATCTTAAAATTTCACTCTCATCATTTTTTCATAACGCGCCTAAAGAAGTATAACTTCAAAAATCCTGCCAAAAACTGCCGTACATTGTTCAAAAGTCCGGACCTCAGAACAAAGTACAAGGTGTTTTAAATTTTAGTTACTTTAAGATAACGCCGAATAGTGTCAGGGTCGACCCGAAGTAACTCTTGACCGTGTTCGAAAAGCTGCAATGTTACCAATAAAAAAAAATAGTTTATTTCGTTAACCTTATTTTACAATTATATTCTGTGGCCAGAACTACCCAGGAAGCATGTAGTGATGCTTGTGTTGGGCGGTTCCGCTCCTCCCTACTAATTCAAATACGTTACCTTATGCATTAGCATCAGCTTCTCCAAATCCGAGGCCATGCGTTGCATGATCCTGTGCTCTATGTTCTGCAAGCAGATAGATCCTCTTCTCCCTATAGTCTCAGATCAGTGAACGTGAAATGTAGCAGTACTCGCAGTACGGTACCCAGCCTAAGTTTGTTGATAGTGGTATAAGGGCGAGTCTTTGCATGGCCATGTTGCGCAGGAAGGTGTCAGGGTCCGAAAAGCTACATTATAACAAATTCAAATACGAAAACTCTTACCTTTTGCATTAGCATCAGCTTCTCCAGATCCGAGGCCATGCGTAGCATGATCCTATGCTCTATGTTCAGCAAGCACTTCCTCTTCTCCCTGTAGTCTCTGATCAGGGAATGTAATGTGTCGCAGTGCGGTACCCAGCCTATTAGGCCGGAGTTTGTTGATAGTGGTATAACGGCGTATCGTTGTATGGCCAAGTCGCGCCGGAAAGTGTCAGGGTCGGCCTGCAGCAGAGTGTTGACAAGGCCAAATAGTTGCATCACGCGCTCGTCTTGACGCAAGTCCTCGTGGCCCTTCAGTAGGAACATGTAGTCTTTGCCGTTGGAGCCGCGGATGGTGAGACGCCGGGGCCTCTGCTTCGATGTTATCACCTGAGAGCATGAATCAGAAATGAAATTCTATGTTTGATTTATAAAGAGCCCTATGAACTTCTATTTAATAGACAATGAAATGAAATTATATATCGTGATCGTGATAGCTCTATTTTAGGTCAGCTATTTTCTATATTGTGGCGATACTCACATTGGGAAGCTTGATGGTGCAAGTGGTTAGCGATTTCGTCATAGTAGAAATGGAATAAATAAATAAATTAATAAGCTGATGATGACTCACACTTAGGCTGGTCTGTATGTGCGCGATGCGGATGAGGTCTTGGTCTGGCACGTAGGAGCCTGGCACCGCTAGCTCCAGGTCGCGGCAGTTCAGCAACCTTGGACTGACGTACTGCAGCTCTAGCGACGTCAGCTGCGGCAGCTGCCGGCTGATGCGACGGAACACGTGGTAGTACAGGTCCCACGCCTGGTTCAGGTCCCGTATCAAACCCGATTCCTGGACGAGTGTCAAGGAATTTGTAACTGCAGTACGATCTACACCTATTGATCTAATTGGTGCAGCTTTAGTGGAAGTATTAGTGGTATATCGGAAAATGATGCAATATATCAGTACATGTATTTATTTCTTATTCCAAATATTTAAAATTGAATATTGTAAATACTGAGGAATGTACTGCCGTATAAGCACTTACATTTTTAATGATTTTACATTTTACCTAAGATAAAAGGAGTACTTATGAATTTTGGTTCCAATAGTTTAATAAAAAGGTTTTACTCAATAAAACAATAATATTTAAAAAAAACAACAAAAATACCTTGAAACGATTACACCATTCCTGGGCATCGTTGAGATCCCTCCCGTAAGCCTGAGTGAACGACACTTCCTTGAGTGTCTGTGGACCTCTTTCCAACATCGCGTGTAGAGGCTCCAGCGTTTTGAACATAGCCTTGACATCGTGCTCGCTGAAGTACAGCCTTGAAGCCTCTTCCAGCGCTTCATGCCATTGCTCGTGCCACAATATAGCTACTCTAATGAGTTCCTCAGAAATCATCGCGGCTTGATTAACCAAATTACTCGAATGAGTACACATCGACTTCAAGATCTGGTTGGCTGCATTCCTGCGCGCCACAAACGAAGATTTGGATGCTACAGTCAGCGGATAGACGAGAGCTTGAGGGTGCGACTTCCCAATATCAATCAAAAGTGAATGGATCAGTTTCCCCACAAGAGCCCTTGGTGTATCAATCCTGGCGATGAGTTGAGGTATCACTTGTAGCCAGACGTTAATTTCGATAGTCCTAATTCCTTCGACGAGGGCCTCGTGTACGGCCGGGTAATGCCCGTAATCAAACCACATGGTTAGCAGACGAAGAGTGTCTTGCAAAGAGCTGCCATGAGAAAGGTTTATCGATTTAAAGAAACCCTCAACGGCTGGAACCGTGTGGTTTTGAATGCATTCAGATGTAGGTTTCTTCTCTCCCGATTGAGAATCGGACACATTAGTTTCCTGATGTTTGTAGAAAAGAACAGTCTCAAAATTCATATACGCCCAAGCGTGCCACGCTTTGTACCAATCGGGTGCCAGTGCTATAGCCGACGCATAATTATCTAGTATTTCAGGTATAGAATGTTCATTAATCCCATGTAAAGACTCACACCACGAACCAAGTTTCAAGTGACAACGAGCTAATAGCCGGCAGTGTTCTGGCTCACCAGCTTCAGCGGTGGCTGCATAACGCTGCAGTTGATCATACGCCAGCTGCTTATCGATAGCTACCCACAAATGTTTTGCATAAGCGAGTGTTAGTCTAGGCTCGTGTGTGGGTAATGGTAAGTCTCGGTTCTCGCTGGGGTCTGTTCCCATTAACATTACTAAAGTTCCGTGTGCTTGACGTGGTGCTCCACTCTTTCGACAGAGCGATGCAAACTTAAGCCATGTAGCCATATCGTCTTGAGGCGTCAATACCAAACTGCGCACTTGTAGGATTCTTCGCCAATCCTCAACTAACCTCTGCCCACCCTGAAGCCTCGTCCACCAGGCTTGACGGATGCATTCCCTTCTCTCGCCTACTAGCTTATAAGTGATGACTTCCTCTAGTTCTGCTAACAGTTGAGCGTTAACTAAAGCGCCATATGCTCTCTGGTAACTTTCGCCAGCCACGGCTGTTAGTTCAGAATCCAGCAAAGTGCGCGCTTGGTCTATGAACTGTTTGGATATATCAAACTTTCCGTTATGGATATTGAGAACGGCCCGGTAAAAAGCTCCATCTTGGGTGTTTTCTGGTAAGAAATTGACATATTTTTCCATAGACTCCCATTCTTTCAATCCCCAGGCGGCAGCGGCGGCTAACCTGGCTGCCTTATATTTATCATCGTTGGACATACCGGGCCATCGCTTGGAAACTGTATTATAAAGTTTGACCCACTCGCCCAGAGCTTCAAAACAACGCAATTCACCGAGATAGGCGTCCATGTTATCGTTATCTACGGTTAACTTTTCCTCGTAGAGATGAAGAGCTTTCTCCCAGTTGTGTAGTTTCTCATACCACCGTATCTGTACTTGTAAGCTGGCGTCTCCCGCCTCGCGTTGGGCCATCACTCTCTCGAGCAGACCTTCAGCTGCCTCCTTTTGTTGAAGTTTATTATTTATGTGTATCAACGCTTCTACTACTTGAGAAGTGGCGCCACTTCGAAATTCTTCTTCCTGCATCACAATAAAATAAGGTACATTCAAAGAGGCGTTAAGAAGTAACTTACAGAACAAAAAGGTGAGGATGGCAACTCAAAAACTGCTGCACCATCAATATTTGTGACTATATTCCACTGTCACTTAACATCAGGCCCCACCTGATGTCATGTGATGGTAAAGTCATTTGCCTGTACATATATATAACAACATAAAAACCTACTAAACATAACAGCAGCGCATTATTCAAATTCATAATATAATTATGAAAACTGAGGGGTAGAAAGTTTGGAAAGAAGTGACATAAGTGTGAAATGATATTCCTAATGCCAGCATATACGTTAGCTTGACGTATTCAAGTCCAAAAACACTTACCTTGTAATGCAGTGCTTTAGCGTAAGCCCTGCAATGCATAGCTCTCTCTCCGAGCAGGTGCGTGGATATAGGCAGAGTACCGCTCTCGCAATGTTCCATGAATTCTGCGAGGTTGAGAACTGTATGGGCCAGTTCTGGGGCATCCGGTGCGGTTAGGGCTTGTTCTAGGGCGCTGGACAGTTCACTTCGCGAAGAGTTCTCGAGTTCCGTCCAGCAGGATACGAATGCCGCGTTGAACAGGTCGCGCAGCAGTTGGGAGTAGTTGTGCGCGAGGGCCAGACAAGCTCTGTACAAACGTGCTGACTTTTACTCTTAACATGAAATTGCTATTCATAAATTTTGAATACCTTTATAGGTAATTTTATAGTAAAATTTTCTTTAGATTTAAAATATAACTTATCACATGAAAGTAATATATTTCCGTATTTTGTTCACGTGTCAATAAGAACTACAAGAATACTATTAAATAAAACAAGTTTTTAACGGGTTATATGCACTGAATTTATTTATTTGTTGACGTTTCGCATCCTTTGCAGGAAGGCGTCGTCAGAATAATGTTTTTTTATTTACTTTGTCGAGCTACCTTCGAAAGACTTTTATTGAAAAAAATCTTGTTTAATTTAATGAGTGATGTGCATGAAAACCTAAGAAACAAAGTATACAATATTATTCTCGCTGCCCATAAGCTGCAGCGAAGATACTGAGAAGTTTATAATTTAAGTTGAACCTTGATTTCTAAATCATATCTTTGAAATAATCATGTCAAACATGGAAGAGTAAGCGGCAAAAAGCGCTGTGAAGCGACTACGAGAGCCGGTGCGTGACTACGCCGCTCCGTCCATTATCATGCCCAATGTATGCGTAGCAGAATTAATTTTCAGGAATTTTATTCGGGAAAATATTTTGTTTTGTCTGTGTGTACGCGTTAGTATTGAATTTTAACTGTATGAGTTTGGAACCATGTTACTGTAACAAACACAGCTAGTGTTTGTTAAAGATAATAGTTGTATAATATATTTAGTTCCTTGATTTAATCATAATATAGTGAATGACTTTTAACTTATGCTATGGAAGAGTGGTTCTTTTTGGTACAGTCTATACACTTAAAAAAATAGCCTACCTTTATTTATGTAACCAGATGTATGGTAAAGAAATAAATCATTTTTTTTATTTTTTTTTTAAGTTATTCTTCCACATAATTTTAATTCGTTGGTCGAAGCAGCAAAAGGTGCATTTTCTGTGTGTGAGTTACAAGCGATGGACTGACAAATGATATTGAATGACGTCAACTTTGAAGTAAAGTCTCATTTTGTCATACATGTTATAACCATAGAGCAACACAACCGACGTGGCTAGGAGGGGAGTAGCCATAATGACATAATACTTCTGAAGTCATTCTGTCGCTTTTTGCGGGGGGAGGAGGAGAGAAAAATTAAGAGTTCTGTAACTGTTACAAAATTTGCTGTCATGTCATCCTAATCCTGTAGTGTTTGACTTTGTTTTATTTTCTTTTAAGTAACCATTAATCAGTTAACAAGCGGTAACCAAAGTCAGTTGGAGAAAAATGGCATTACAAGTCACGTAGCTCCACACTACGTCTCCCACCAATGAGATTAAAAAAATGATTTCAAATAAGTGTTTCTATTCCAACCATTTTGTAATAGATAGCCTGAATAGAAGCAATATACGCGAATAATAGAACTAGCTGCCTCATTAGTCAATAATACTAATAACAATTATCACTAGTATTTATATTACATTTATAGATAGATAATCTCTGAATATATTTAAAGATAGTTTATACTCCCATCTTATATAATATCTGTTTATTTTTATTAAAATCATAATGATAACCAGGTACGTACCTGATTACCAATAACAAAATATAAAAACAGGTAAATGGAAAGCCTTTAAACATTTCATTTGATAAGAAATCTGTTATTAAACAGGTAGGTATAGGTATCATAGGTGCCAATTGCCAACACTCATAAATCAATATTATAATAAGTAAATTTATATTTTTTTGTATATTAATTATTAAATATATTTTATGTTCATTTAATTCATATGATATTAGTGCTTACATAGAGATAAAAAATAAATATATTCAGAATATATAAAGTGTATATCGTTTACGATCAAGTGTAATAATTATAACCTCAAAATCTAATTCATTCTGTAGTTGGCCATGGTTCCTCAAGTTGTCCGTATTTGAACAAATGCCTGATAAGAGTTTATGAATGATTTCAAACACAACTAGCATTTTCTCATTGCTGTGCATTCTGGGGCATACAATGTATGGGGAACGAGCAATGTCTTTTAAAACCATCCTTTTCAAAGTTTAATATTCGAGATCACTTTTACAGCAAATTATATAACATTTTGGCATTTTCTGTGCTCTAACTTAAACTCTCGCGTCTTGACTCAGTCTAGTGAAATATCCGAGCGCAACCAGTTTTGTTAAGTGAGCTGGCCCAACGCAGGGGAAAATCGACAGAGGGGAACGCTGTGAATGCCTACTCCCCTCCTGGCCGCGTTACTATATAGTTATAACGTAATAAAATGACGTTTGATAGTGTTTTTCATACTTTTTATCATACGGATATTCAGGTGTCCAAAACGAATTCCTAATGCATTTATTTCCTAAAAATTATTTCTGCTACATTGTTTTTATTTTTGGGAAAAGGAGTCTGTTAATACATTACAGAGGGAACAAAGGTAAATTTAATGGTAAAATCTTGTTATGTGTAGTATTCTACCGCTTAAAAAGCTTAAGAACAAACCTGAGCGCTGGGCTATGAGACTCGGTGAGCAGGCCGATACTGAAACGGCGCAACCACTCGAGCCAATCGTCTTTCGACACGCGGCTGCTGACCGTCCACGCGAGCTTCAAGTTGTGCGCGTTGACGCACAGCTTGCGGATCGACTGCGATGTCTCACACACCAAGAAACGAGCCTAAAATTTTACAATGTTCCTAAGTAAAGGAATTCTTAGTTTTAAATTTACTTGTGTTGGCTAATGCTTCTCCCCCTCCTGCGTGACGAAGTTTCGGGCTACTTTGGTACTAAATGCGCTAAAATTAGAGTTCGAAATTTGAATTAGTTCTGTCTTTTCTGTCAGGGTTGTGAGTTTATAGACTATAAGGGCGTTTTCAATTTATGCGTTTCTTGACGGCCTGCTGCGGTGCCGAAGCGGTACGCTTGTCGTACAGCGTACGGACAATCCTTTTTTTTCATATAAAACGCGCGGTGCGGCAACAGTGCGGCGCCGGTACCGCGAACGCTCGACAACAGGACTGTTGACGCACCGCGCGTTTTGTATGAAAAAAAAGGATCGTCCGTACGCTGTATGACAAACGCACAGCTTCGGCACCGCAGCAGGCCGTCAAGAAATGCATAAATTGAAAGCGCCCTAAGTTGAGTGACCATAATTGAGACACGCTAAAAGAGGTTGTGAGAGACAAATTTGTATGTGCAACTGGAAGATCGTACTTAATTCGAAATCCGAACGCTAATTTTAGTACCAAATCTTCGTCAGGCAGATATGGGATAAGCATTACAAACATACCTCCTGATTATTATTTCGCGGCTTGCGTCTAGTGCTTTGTAAGAATTCATCCATTGAGAATGTCTGACTGGATTGCAATTTTGAAAGTAATAAATCATAGTTAGCATGTTGTATTCTATGCTTTGTGGTCACTTTCTGCACCAACGGTATGAAGTCGTTATATTTACGTCCAAGTTGGACGATCAAAGCACACAGAGTATCCATTGCGGTAGGTCGCAGAGCAGGACACGTATCGAGATTTCTCACGAGCGGATGAATTATCCTCGATATGAGTTCACTATAGTTCAGAGTGTCAGAGAGATAGTCAACCGTCTCCATCGCGACTTTAGCGACGTTTATTGGGCAGTCTGATGCGTCGAATAATTTGACAATCGATGGAATAACAAGATGCATATAATCATCGAGGTTATCTTCAAATTTTTGTAATGCATACAAAAGTTTTTCTGTCACGAATCTATCTTTGCTCGTATCGTGAGCGAGCACCCGCAATATCTGCGGCATCAGTTGAGGCAAATAAACTTTAAACTCTGATCCCAGAGCTACAGCTATGTGCTCTACCAATAATATCAAAGTATGCTGCAAAGGACTGTTAGGTGTCCAAAATTCTTTGATTAAATCAAATATTTTGTCTAAGTAATTTCGAATGTGTTGTTTGACGATCGCAATCAATTTAGCCAGCTGAGTAAACAAGAATTCACGGAAATTGTTATTATCTGTGGCTCGTGCGACATACAACAGACTCGGAGTCACTCTCGAAATATAAGGAACACATTTTATGCCCAGGGACTGGAAAATAAATGTAACTGCTTGGACTACACTAGTGTGGTGTTGCTGTAGGGTCGGGTCACGCAATATTCTCATTAACGTAGATATAACAATAGCTGGATAGTATTCATCAAGAACAGGCGATGGCATATTAACCAACATCTCACTGGTAGTCATGTCAAAGTTATTCTCCTCAGCTTTGTTATCAGCCATTGGAACTAAACTTGAGTCAGGTTGGCCATCAATCAATCCTCTAGTGATTTTATGTTTGTAAGGATCCAAGGCTCCCAACAATCCCAGAACGCGTATTGTTTCCCTTCTGTCTTTAGGTTGTTGTTCAGTCTTCAAGAAATTCAACAACACATCCATTAGATTTGGATATTCTCTGTATGGTGTGACAACATATCCTGTTGCACTAATAAGCTGACCAAAGGCCCACAACGCCACACTTCTCTTTTCTGTTGCACTTGCATCGGATAATAACTCCAGAAGGACTGTTAGCAGTTCTGGCAAGCACTTTTTAAGACCGCTGTTATCACCATGAACATCAGCTAAGTCACCTACAGCTTTCAAAACGCTAATTATGACTCCTGGATTGGCATCAGATTCTTTCAACTTAGGAACAAGAACATTAAGTATAGTTTCCATATAAGGTTTCACCAATTTTGGTGCATGCAAGATCAGATTGTCTAGCATTCTTGCTGCCTGTTCTTTATTCCTACTCATTCCAGAATGTTCCAACTCAGTTAGAAATTGAATTAACGTTTTACGAAGACCTGGCATAACATAGGCAGGGTTAACTGTACTTAGACGCCCTATTGTGCAAATAGCTAATTCTCGTATTTCCAATTGTTCATCATTCATAGCAATAAACAAGAAGCTTAAATTTTCTATTTGTGCCAAATGTACATCAAAAATGTCATGTAATGACTCTAATACCCAATATCGAACTTCATAATCTGGATCAGTCACAGAGACAACTAGCAACTTGCAAATGACTTCTGCAGTGAGCATTGTAAGTGTTCTAGAAGGTGTTTTCGTAGTTCGGATAGTAGCATCTGCTAAAAGTTTAGCTGCAGTCTTGACAGCCTCTAACCTGATTTCCTGTTGGTCACTTAGTATAAAATGGTCTGCACATCTTCTGACAAATGTAAGAAGACTATGCTGTCCTTCGAATTGAAATGTACCAAGAGTTCTTAAGGCTAGCACTATACTAATAGTATCTTGAGGTTCAATAACCAAGCTCATTGTGGTCTGTTGTTCTAAGCTTCTGGGGACACCTGGATGTAAAAATGGTTTGTTTCTTAAGACTAATGATAGCATATTTAGCATTCCCTCTGATATCTCTTCCCTAAGAGCTGGAAGATTTTGACTCAGCTCTTTTAAACAAATTGTCAAGGATGGACTTAGACCTGTAGCAAACATAGCTTCTAAAAGCTCCTTTATGTCATTCATTACTAAGTCTTTAACAGCACTTCCTAACAAGGTAATGCAAGCAAATATAGAAGGGTCAATCCATATTCTCCTTTTAGTCTGAGTATCTCTAACAGGTAAAGCTTGTTTTATGACATCCATTATTCTAGGGATGTAGTTTTCTATATCATTTTCAATAGCAGCTGCCATAAGACCAAGAGTGGTAAATGCCATATTTTTATCCTTTTCCCTACTGCGAAGAGATCCCAGTAGATAATGCATAGTTGAATTAAGATATTTTCTACAAAAATATTCTTTGTTGAAAGCAGCCAGTCTTGGAATAATAATAAGTAAAATCTGAGGTACTCCCTGTATTTTGAGATGACGCTGTGCCATCACATCTGAAAATACAAATTCTTTGTAATAATATTCATCTAACAACTAGTTATTTGTTTCCCTAGCTTACTACCTTCAAAGCAGTAGGAAAAAATATTACCCCAAAAAATTCTAGTGAGATATTCTTAAATTCTTGAGATTATAATTGTTAGTAGGCCTACATCTTATTACAGTAGTCTAAAGTTGGAATGTAAATAAGTGATGATAATACAATACGCACCACGAAAAATGAGACTTGACATGCCACATGGTTTGACTTGCGCAGTAGACAGTTTAAAGGTCTCTATATCAGTATGAGGTCTGCAGGGGGAAGGGTCTGAGTGCCATCGGGTAGGCGGAAAAAGCGTGGGAAGCGCGGCACTGCGCTCGTCAAATCTCATATTTCGTGTCGCATAATGTACCACAAAAATTTTGAAGTTAAATAGTAGTTAAAAATTTTAAGTTGAAGGATCTTTTTAAATTACTGTCAATAATAAAATGACTAATCACTATACAAACCATGACATATTTTCTCAAATTTTTCAGTGAGCAATTTACGGCACACCTCTGATTCATAAATAGGTACAGGGTACTGAACATTTTCAGTTTTAAATCCATCACACAAATATCCTCGTTTCACAGATGGACTATGTAGTTTAGTACTAATAAAAATTATATCATCAGATACCGTTATATCCTTTTGTGTGTCTAAACTCTGCATCAAATATGTGTACTTCTTTTCCCAACATGCATTTGAACATCTCAATAACTCATTCAGTATTAAAAGACCTCCATGAACTCTTTCTTCTTTAATTATACCCTTTTCTTTTAATGGAATATCTTCAAAACAGAACATAGCTTCTTCATAACATTGCATATACCACTGAGGCTTAGCTGTTGACTGTTTTGCTGTTTCTCTCTGAGCTGTTACCACTAAACCTGCCCTTAGAGCCTTTGCAGCAGCTTCCCTTATTTGTGGCTTAGGGTCTTTCAAGGCTACTAATATATGATCGAAAAATCCTGAAACTTGTTGATAGAAATAAGTTGGCATTGCTATAGCCAATTCCTTTAACAAAAGCACTGCAGAGTGTCGTCTGCCTTCATTTCTCTCTTCAGACAACCATTCAAATGCTCGTTTTACTTCAAACTCTACATATTCAGCTCTCTTTACACCAGAAACAGTAGCTAGGCGACCAACAGTCTTAGCAGCAAGTTCCATGACACCCACATCGGATGAGGGCAATAAATTCCTTAAATAGTTTGCAAATCTTGTTATTCTTGTTTTTGTTGTGTCACAGTCACCACCAATTAAACATACTGGAAGAAGAAAATTATAATATATTACTACAGTTTACTTAAAATAAATCTATTATATTTTTATTTTGAGTTTTTAAATGCTAGATTTACAAGTGTATAATAATAATTCAGTAAATCAGTTGCTAATCAGCAAACTCATTTAGAGCAACTAATTACACTAAACACACTCAGAGACTTAGATTATTATCTTTTGTTTGATCAAATTTGACTGTCACTTTCTTTACAAAACCAATAGATTTTAACACATAACTTCATGAAGCTTTTTATGAAGGAAATTATATGAATTATACCATTGTCTGGAAAATATAAAGTACTGTGTACAACACAGCATCAAAATAATTGACGCCCCTAAGCGCAGCCCTATAATAAGAATTATTTTGAAATGAAAAAGTAAATAGGATGAAGTATTTGTAAACAAAGCAGACAGTTTGCTCATCTACTATTGTTATCATATTTTTAAGCACATAATTATCGACGCTTATATCTGAAATGTTTAGAAATCTTAAAGATTCACATACGTACCAATAGCCAGTACACCTCCTTTTTTTTCGTGGACATCATTACTAGAAACCATCTCAAATATCTGGTGGTTGAATTCATCTAAAAACTGGGTTAGTTCCTCTTGTGGGACTTCTCTTAATTCAGTTTTGGCGAAATGGTACAGTTCACGTGCAGTCTTTATCTGAATATCAACATTCCTGGACTTCAGCCCAGCTACAAACTGGGCTACTTGAGAAGACATCCTGAACTCCCAAATTTAAATGTACAACAAAATTTAAGAAGCAATAACTCTTTCTCACATCTTACGAAACTCCTGCTTTACTCACTCTCCGTAAATATGTATTTGCTCTTAACTTTTCTGAATAAAAATATAAACAATCCGCTTTCATCCGCATGCTAACCATTGACAAGATAAAAAACCACAGACAAAGTAGACATGGACAATACAGATTAACATTAAAGGCCCTATATCACGGGCTAAGATCACTTTGCCCCAATGTAAAACTGAAAAGGCTAGGCCCTTTTACTTGTTAGGAAAGGTGTCCGTGATGCTGGCGTACCCACGATCAATATACGGTTTTTCGTTATGCCATTAAATACTGCGTAAATAGTGCCAAATTAGTGTAAAACTAAAAAAAATAGTGCCTCTTTAATTTAAGAAATAAAGACCATTTTTACTGTGTACGCTACCATGACGTCAAGCTAGCGTACCCATGCCCGACCCCAAGAACGGCATATATTTAAGCAACGAAATTGACACACAAAAATAGTTCGCAAATAGTGCCCTGGCTTTACAAAATTTCATAATCAATACTCTTAAAGGATCAAAGATATTGAACTAAACATTCTTAGCGGGCGTCAACCTGGCGTACCCATAATAGTTCTCATAGAAAATGAACTTTTCTCGTTAATTCTATATGTATAAATACTGTGTCGAATAGTGCCTCTAACAGTAAAAGTATTTTATGTTAATTCGCAGTAAAACAATACATAAAGAGGATGTTAAATTCTAGGAACAAATGTATTGTAGTACAGTTACACACAAAATTAATTTATGCACTAAGAGATTATCTATATATGTATTTTTACTAAAATAAATAGTAGAGTATTGATTATGAAATTTTGTAAAGCCAGGGCACTATTTGCGAACTATTTTTGTGTGTCAATTTCGTTGCTTAAATATATGCCGTTCTTGGGGTCGGCCATGGGTACGCTAGCTTGACGTCATGGTAGCGTACACAGTAAAAATGGTCTTTATTTTTTAAATTAAAGAGGCTCTATTTTTTTTATTTTTGCACTAATTTGGCACTATTTACGCAGTATTTAATGGCATAACGAAAAACCGTATATTGATCGTGGGTACGCTAGCATCACGGACACTTAGGAAAGGATGTTTGTGATATTTAATACCTAATCGATATAGTATTTCAAAGAGAGAATATTTTTATAATTTTTATTATTTTTAAAGCATGTAACTGCTTGATGTTTAAATCTAAAGATCGACGCGGTCCGTGAGGGCCGCGGTAGCATAATTGGTCAGTGCATTCGCCCGGATTGCGAAGGGTGCGGGTTCGAGTCCCGTCTGCTGCCTGGTCCGCGTGAAATTTTTTCTAGTTATATTTTCTTTAGAGAATATTTTTTTAAAACTTCTTTGCCCGTCATAGTTTAAATATTTTACTATAGTACAGAACCAGTTCTTTTGTTCTTTGTATGACTGGTACTACAATCATAAACAAGGCGAGCCGTATTCTTTGATAATAAGAAAGCGATCGCTAATTTTAGCGTATTTAGTACATTGTTATGCAGGTGTGGGAGAAGCTTTACAAGCTGGCATGGATGATGGCAGGCAACACTGCCTGCGTCTTGTCTTCCTTTTCTTTCTGTCTGTCGTTTATGGTTACATACGGGCGGTCATCGTTGAAGATTTCCGTTTATAATATTAAATGAAGGTGCTATAGGCGTTGATTTTATGAAAAAATAGTAGGTTATAAAATTTAAAATAATGATCTTACTGGAGATCAATAATAGAATTATAGAAGAAACTCTTACTGTGAAATATAAAAATGCCCTGGCGCGGTGAGTACGTTACGCTTAGAAAGTTTACTATTTTTTATCGAACTTCATGTGTTGTAAACGTAAATTTAGTGACAAATTCTAAGTATAACCTTAATACATAGTAATTGTAGTGTTCTATGTGAAAATGTCTTCAGTAAATAACCCCATTTAAGAGTTACTTGACAAGTGTCAAATTCTCAGGGTGGGCCCACGTTGGACGCCGTCCTGCACATATTTTCGATGGTACAACCCATAAATTGATATCAAGCACCAGGAAAAACAGTACTTGGTCGAAGCAGTTGGGTAGTGACGCGGCGTAGCTAGCGCGTATCGCCGCTGATATGACTCATAAATCTTGTTTATTAGTTGTCGGTTGGTGCGGAAACGACATCCTTATGAAATGTTTTTAAATTCCTGGAGCTGTAAACAACTGAAGCTCTTATAGTCAATGAAAATCAACATTTTTTCAGCACTAATAATGTCATCTAGATATTTTTTTTCATATATAGGATTTTCCTATGAATTTCTGTATGAATGAAAGTATTTTCTCTAAAAACATTTCGTTGATTGCACTGTGAAAAACAACTATGTATAAGGATAACTTAAATTGTAATGAACATTTAGTTCTTATAATAATTTTAGGTATTATTTCTAATGGAAATTATCCAAATCACTATGTAATTAAAACTAGCAATCCTACCAAGTTTTACACAGGTGAACTTTATTTAACCCGATAAAACCTATGTTACTCAGTGATAATGCAGCATTCTAATGATGAGAGTATTTTCAAAATTGGTCTAGTAGCTTTTGCATTTTACAATTATATAAGCCACAATTAAAGAGAGTTCTCTTTAATTTAATATTGCGTTTTCATTATGCAATTTAATATTGTGTATTGTATTAAGAAATACACAAATATAAAGTTAAGATGTAGTCACAGGACTACATCTTAACTTTATAATTATGAACTAATTAATTGTAACTATCTTTTAATTTTTTCCAGTTTAAAGCCAGAGTCTATAGATGTGACAGTTGCAGACTTTGACGGAGTTCTCTTTCATATATCTAATGTCAATGGAGACAAAACCAAAGTTAGAGTAAGTTTTAATGAACTATGTATCCGTATTAAACTTAGTATCTCTTATCTATTAGACAAGTCTGTCCGTCTGTGGTGCTGTTTCAGCGGCCAAACCGTAAGAGATAGATAAAGAGAATATTTAAGTTATAAGTTAAGAATAGTCTGATAAGACTACAAACCGGATTTAAGTAATGTAGCACTTCCGGTTTTCGAGAAATCACGAATTTCAAACAAAACCACACAAAATCTCCCGAAGTTCTCAATTAATTAAATACATTTTTTTTTTAAATCAGGTTTTGGTGATCATTTGGTTCACTGTTTTGCTAGTTATTTTCTAATTAGAAAACTATTATGACCAATACTTAAAGTAAAAACTATATTCAATGACATGAAATTTCTTTTTATTATTATAAAGTAATTGATTTTAAATAATATTGTTGTCATGTTCAACCATTGAAGCAATTGCTTCATTGCACCAATCACAATGCATTGTTGATTAATTATCAAAATAATACACAATATGAAGTAAAGGATATGAATCATTATTTCCTTATCATTGCATAGTAACTGACCTGATGCATATTAAATGTTGCTAGTTGTTTTCATAACAATTGTAAAAAAGCTAATTAACTTATTTAAAAGAAATATGACTGGGATCCATTTTTGTTATTTATTCAACAGTAGTTCAATGGTCAGATAACCTTACATAAACATCCAAGGTTATCTATTCCAATCTGATTCAAATTGAAATCTTATGTGATACATTATTATAGATTTCACTGTGTCATACATTTCTGTTAAGTCACAGACTAATGTGTCCTCGACTTATGTCAGCGAAATGTGGACTTAATGTAACAATTCTAAATGTTAATTAATATTTTCTAATTACAGTTGCAAAATATGAGTAAAGAAGTAACAAGTACCTACTTTGAAAGTTTATAGCTGTGATTACCAATTAATAAAATATCATGATGACTTTGCTTGTGATGAGTTACCACCTAACCTAATGTATATACTTTTTTGCAGTTGTGAAATCGATTTTTGTTTTTGGTATAATAAAGTTTAATTGTATAATAAATTGCTGATTTTTTTTCTTCAGGTTAGTATATCACTGAAGTTCTACAAACAATTAGAAGAACATGGTGCAGATGAGCTACTCAAGAGGGTGTATGGGCCACTACTCTCGGAGACAGAGTCAGGTTAGTATTTTACATACTGTTTCCTGCAAATAATGGATATAGAGCTTAAGTGAGAGTACTTAAAAGCAGCAAATAACCAATTTGACTGTACAAAGTAAACCTACTAGATAAATGGATATAGATATACCCTTACTATAATGTACAAATATAACTGTAAAATACCACTTACTATGAAATCTCAACAACTATTTAGAATAGACTTATAACTTAAGTCAGCCAGTTGAAGTAAATAGAGCAGAGGAAATCATGTTTCACTTTGCATTACATTAGTATCATGTTTACAATTACTGTGCATGAAATTAGACCAGTTATTAAATGGTGTTGCAATTATTTGTATTAGGTTAAGGTATTTAAGTTTTATTTCTAAATAAAAAATAATATTAAAATTTTATTTAACTAACACTAAATATAATTTTAAATAGGTATGGAGTACTATCTAAGTATTCTGTGAAATAAATTATTTGTTTCTGTGTTGATAATATTGGTCTCTGTCATATTTTTGGGTAACTTTTATCATTATAATTTTTATATCTGCTTCATATTATTTTGATAAGATAAAATAACATTTGGTGAAACAGTGCACAGATAAGATTATTGAGCCCAATGTTAGTATACAATGTGTTACATTTTTAAATATTGGAAATAAATTTAAAAATAAACTCACACTTTTATGTTAATCCTCTCATGATCTCTATAATTTGAAACTGTAGTTGTATAAGAGGTTTGAAAGCATTTGCAATAAACTACGAAAAGGACAATGGCGAACTCCCATACAATTTTTTGTTGAAAAATTTTCTTGCGTCTATAAATGAATTGCATGTTAAATTATAGAGTTTACATTCTTGATTTGATTCATCTTATTTCTTATATTATAGGAAGTCCGGTTTTATAGATATTCTACTTTGAAGTTTTAGAGGTTATGTCCTACCAAGTAATGCAAAAACGAATTATAAAAGTTTGTTTCAAGAGTATTTTTATATCAAAATAAAAAATACGTGGAACGGAACTATAGAAGTACACCGGTCCTGAAGATTAGTGACGAAAAAAAAGTGATTTTTACAATGTATGATCAGTTGGCTTTCTTTCTTTCTTTCTTTGGCGTAGGTACTGACCAACCGCGTCAAAATACTTATTATCAGACAAGAGTTATTGAGTTCAAATACAATGTCTGTGCTTTAAGAAGTACTTAACAATTTGAAAATGCCTACTGCAATAATAAAGTATAAAAAAGGATTTCTAATAATGTACTCATGGGATATTAATTAAATATGCAACACTTTTTATATATTTTTTATTCCACATCGTTGATCACAATATCGTAGATAGTAGATACAATGAAATAAAATCCACAGTATAGGACAGAATCGTGTCCAAAATCCACAGCAAAATATCAGATTCGGAAGTCTTAGGAAAGCACTACTCCACAGTCGCAGAGAAAGATTTCGAAAGTCCAAATACAGTCCAAATCACATAAAAAAACAAATCTCAGAAAAACACAATACGCCGATTGAAATCTTTGCAATATGCATGCACCTAAGCACAAACTATGTTATATAATGATAACAATAACTTTTTTTTTTTTTTTTTTAGTTCTATTCTTCTCTATTGAGAAAGGCAAAGGCATAGCCATGCAGCCATCGTCTTATTTTTGTATTAATCTTCCTTTTTTTACATTAGAATGTGGGTGTGACGCATTCTAATGCTTCTCGGAGTGTTTGGCACGAAATATATCGAGTTGGCTTTTTCGATAAGCTTCTGTGAGGTAGTCAATACTACAATAAAATTCTCACGTCCACTTGACCGGAATAGCGTATATTTTAAAGATTCCACTAATTCTTCAGTTGCCCAGACGGTTGTAACACAAAATCACACCAATTTTATTTCACAATATCCACTATGAACAAATTTAAGAATAATTAAATTAAGACGCCAACCGCACTCGATGAAATCCCGCCAAAAACTCCTGATAACAATAACAACAACAATTCGATGACAAGCATGACAGTGACAATTATAGTTTTTTTTCGATAGAATTGTCGCCATACTCTTTTTGTATTGTGGAGATTATTTAATATGGTTTCAGTATAATATTGAAAAATGTTTCCCGATATTTTTGTTATAAAATTAAATACAGTTCAAGCGTAAGGCCGTATACAGAAAGAAAGCCGAAAGCCGATCGGCGCCGATCAGCGCCGATCGGCGCTTATCGGCGCCTATAGGCGCTGATCCTTTTTCTATGGACCGACGCCGATCGGCGCCTATCGGCGCCGATAAGCGCCGATAAGCGCCGACTCGCGCTGGTCCGAATAATAAATAATTTGTATTTGAATTATTTTCCTTAGATTAAATCAATCTAAGTTATAATCTTTTTATAAATCTAATAACTTTATCTTTTATTAACTAAGCGCTAAAATTATTTGTTTCGTACTTATCGAATGGTGACAACAAGTCTTTCTTCTGGAAGGATTGGTTGTTTATGCCAATTGCCCCAATTTTTCATCAAACAGTTTTTCACTAAATCTAAATTGTAATAAAATGTTTCTTGAATCATTCTTGTATATGTATAAAATCTTTGTTCATCAAATTTTTTTTTTTTACAAATAAATTATGGTATTCTCCGAAACGTTTCCTTTCTCTATTTATAGGATGTATAGCTGTATTTCGCATTTTTAAATAAACATTTTCTAACAAAACCAAATCATCGTCCGATGAGTCCGACATTTTGCTTGATCTGCTTTAATCGGCTTCCTTTATGTAGGAAGGATCGGCGCCGATAAGCGCCGATCGGCGCCTATCGGCGCCGATCGGCTTTCGGCTTTCTTTCTGTATACGGCCTAAAGCGATGCAAAACATACGAACAACATATTTAAAGTTGATTTCATCACTAAAATCACTTAAAATGAATGGCTCAAAAGCCATCATGGCCAAGCCACAATAAAAATAAAAAATAAATAGTCAATTGTGTTTCCCTTTTTTTTAGCTCTGCTTTTAGGTTGAGTGCGTGATACAAGTGCAAATTTGTTCAATTTAGATTAATTTAGTTTTTCGTTCTGTGTTGAGCTACTTTTTGTATTTTTGTATTTATTTATTTGTGTGTGTATGTAATAACATATTTATTTCGGTATTTGGTAAGTAATATATATATTTTTTACATAATTATAATTGGCGCCAAATATGGACGCTGACCCGCCAGATCCTGGAGGCGGCGTTGACCCTCCTTTGCAATCCCAAGATATCTTTCCTTCTATTCAAAGTCATGATAATTCATCATCAATCAATAGAAAACGATCGCAAAGCATTTCTAGCACAAACCATAATATACCAGCAAAAAAAACATCCTCGGCTCAAATTACGGCGTCTGTTCAAACAACATTTATATTGCCAGAGTATGCGGAAAACAAAATTCAATATAATGTTGATGACATTGGACCTTTTATTGTACATATATCTAAAAAAGAGTCTGAACCATCACAAGGCACTGTCCTCCGCCCAATGCATTTTGGTAAATTTCTTTTTACACACAACATAAAAAATGTAGTTGCAGATGGAGTTAAAAAAGTTGGTAGAAACCGCATCTCGGTACAATTTAAATCTGCATCGGATGCTAATTCTTTTATAGACCATCCTGCTTTGCTTAACAATAATTACCTAGCGTCCATCCCATCTTTTAATGTTTCTAGAATGGGCATTATCAGGAATGTTCCAGTAGAGTGGTCTATGGAAGAACTAGTTCAAAATGTACGAGTTCCTGATGGCCATGGGAAAGTTTTTAGAGCGAGGAGATTAAACCGAAAGGTAACTGTTGCAAACTCTGCTCCCACCTGGATCCCTACTCAGACTGTGGTTGTTACTTTTATTGGCAAAAAGTTGCCAGATCATGTGTATTGCTATTACACTTCATTACCGGTGGAAATTTACAGGCTACCGGTAATCCAGTGTAATAATTGCTGTAGATTCGGACATATAAAGTCTCTGTGCCGTTCCAAACCCCGCTGCTTCGTATGTGGAGAAATGCATGAGGGTGAATCCTGCTTAAGTCAGGCTCCCCCCAAGTGCATACTATGCTTAGGGAACCATTTAGCTACTCATTCCTCTTGTCCTGAACATGCTAGACAAAGGTCTATTAAGTTGGTTATGTCCCAGGAGAATGTTTCCTATATGGAAGCCTCAGCAAGATTTGCCCCTGTTAGAAAGTCATATGCTGACTCAAGTCGTTTACCTTCAAATTCTCAAATCCACCTGAGCAGCTCTGTCCCTAGGTTACCAACTGTTCCCATAGCATATTCATATAAAAAGACTATTTCAGTACCCCGTCATTCCCCTTCTCCAGCCTCTAGTCATGGCTATGACAGGCAAACACAGAATTCACTCACCCATACTCCAACCTCGACACAGCCAAATGGTTGTGCCCTTACTAATACCTCTTTAGTTACTGAACCGAATGACAATTTAATTGAAATGTTATTTCTTCAGCTTTCTACACTTATTAACTTTATTAAACGATTTGAAGATATTGAATTACCGAACAACCTCAAGCAAAAACTGACTGAGCTTTCCTTTTTAGGTAATAAAATTCACTCCAATACTCCAATGGAACTGCCGGAGTATTAAATATAAAAAATCTGATATAATTTATATTATTAACTATCATAAGCCAGTTATTCTTGCCATTCAGGAGACCTGGCTTAGGCCGGGAACCAGATTCTGGATCCCGGGCTATGCATGTCTCCGGGATGATAGAAATGATGGCAAAGGTGGCTCTGCTTTATTTGTATTAAGAAATTATTCTTTCCATCCTATTGATCTATCCTCTCATAATACTGAAAAGTTTAATATAATTGCAATTCGAGCAATGAACATATCTTTTATATCCATTTATATCCCTAATCCTGATTTATCTATATTACTACAAGTGTTTTCTATTATCAAATCAATTGAGAAACCATATATCATTCTGGGAGACTTTAATATACATAATGAAGTTTGGGGTTGTCACATTTCTGATTCCCTCTCTTCCACATTCTTAGATTTACTAGATGACCTAAATCTCTGCATTTTAAATGACGGCTCTCCAACACGTCGTGTTGCTCCAAATCAGAACCCAAAGAGTGCAGTTGACCTATCTATTTGCTCGGCTAGCTTAGCTTCTAATCTCAACTGGCAAATTCTTACAAACACATATGGGAGTGATCACTACCCCATTTTAGTTTTCTTGCCTGCACCAAGTAAAGAATCCCCCCATATCACTCCCAGGCAAAAACATATTTTGGCCCGAGCAGACTGGAATAAGTATAGTAGCAGGTTAGATGACAAAATGAAACTCCTCCCATCCCTTCAGGCTCCAGATAATAATGACAACCACTATTCACTTTTCAAGAATACTATGCTCTCAGTGGCTGATGAGTGTATCCCAATCAGGAAATCGCCAACTTGTAAGAATATCAGCTCTCCGCCTTGGTGGGATAAAGACTGCACTGCTGCAATAAAAAATCGGAATATAGCTGAGAAGGCTTATTCATCTGCTATGACTGTGGAAAATTATCTCCACTACAAAAAAGTTGCAGCAGAGACTGTATCTCTGCTGAGGCTTAAGAAAAAGGAGGGATGGACTAAATTTTGTACTTCTTTGTCCCCGAGATCATCGCCTTCTCTTATTTGGAAAAATATTAGAAAATTTCGTGGATCATACTCTGATACCTATGAAAATTTTTCTTCTTCTGACCCTGATGCATGGCTTGTACCCTTTAGCCGTAAAATTGCCCCCCTTTCTGCGCCTTCCTTGGAGGAGGTTAGGACTCTTCCTGGCTCTCCTTCTTTTTCATCTAACCCATTGGAAGCTCCATTCTCCTGGGAGGAGATCTCCTTGGCCCTTTCAGGCCTTGAAGATTCCGCCCCTGGAGCTGACGGAATACCTTACTCATTCATTACTAAGAGCGGCAATGAGACAAAACTTCACTTTTTAAAAATGGTTAATGCAATATTTGAATCTGGCACCCCCCCTGAGGAATGGAAGACTCAAATTATCATCCCTATTCTTAAAAGTGGCAAACAAGGTAATGATCCATCCAGCTACCGACCCATAGCACTTTCTAATACTTTGTTTAAAGTTGTAGAGCGCCTCATTAAAAATCGTCTGGAATGGTTTTTGGAAAACAATAATAAATTATCAGAAACCCAGTTCGGCTTTCGGAAAGGGCTGAGCACCATGGATAGTCTGGGTTCCTTTGTGACAGATATCCGTGTTGCTTTGTCTAAACGAAGGTCAGTGGTGGGTGTATTCCTTGATATTGCATCTGCCTACGATAACGTCCTTCTCCCAGTGCTTAGGCAGAAGATGCTTAAGCTGAACATACCTGAGAAGTTTGTTAATTTTATCTGTAATACTCTTAATGATCGTTCAGTCTCTGTTAGTTTTCAAAATTTAAACCTCCCACCCAGAAAGATTTGGAAAGGTCTCCCACAGGGCTCAGTTCTTAGCCCCTTGCTCTATAGCATCTACACACATGACTTAGACCTTACGGTGACCTCCTTTTGTAATGTACTACAATATGCAGATGACCTTGCCCTATACATAGATGTCGATAATATATTGGATGCCTCTAGTCGACTGAATTCAGCTATTTACTACCTGAATAACTGGCTATCCGACCATGGCTTATCACTATCCATCCCTAAGAGCAGTGTTGTGGTTTTCTCTAGAGCTCGGTCTATCCCTCATATTAATATCTCCTGTGAGGGACAGGTGTTCCCGAATCATGACAAGGTAAAATTTCTGGGTATGGTATTAGACTGTAGATTAACTGGGGTCCCCCATATTAACTACATTGTTAAAAAATGTGAACGGAATTTAAATATAATTAGAGCACTCTCGGGTGTATGGTGGGGAGCCCACCCAAGTACACAAAAAATGATGTATAATGCACTTGTCCGCAGCCTCTTGGATTATGGATCTTTCTTACTCGAACCCTGTAGCAAAATAGCTCTAAAATTGTTCGACAAAATTCAATCTAAGTGTCTACGTATCATTTTAGGTGCCATGAAGTCATCTCCAATTAATGCAATGCAGGTAGAATGCGTCGAGCCTCCTTTAGAATTTCGGCGACAGTATATGTCAGACAAATTTATATTTAAAATTTTCGAACGCTCATCTCATCCACTAATTCCTAAACTTCATCAGTTAAACCAACTGATTCCTTCAAGTAGCTACTGGTCCCACAAAAATCTCCCATGTCTGTTAATTAGTTTTAGAAAGTTATTACAACTACCATCCCCTGTCTATCAATGTAGGCTCAATCCTTTATTTGAAACCCCATATCAAGCTTTAATTTATAAGCCTAACATAATCTTGGACATAGATATTGGCAAAAATTCTCCAGCAGCACAAAACATCTTGAATTGCAGACTTGGGTCTCAGTGGCCTGATTGGCTTACTATTTATACGGATGCTTCAAAACTAACAGATGATAGTCACGTCGGGTCAGCAGTGTGGGTTCCAAAATATAATATCATTCTTGACTTCAAATGTTCTCAATATTCTTCGGTGTTCACTGGTGAAGCTATCGCTATTTTAGAAGCCCTCAAATTTATTCAATCCCATAGTCTTAATAAAGTAATAATTTTTTCTGACTCTAAAAGTTGTCTCCAAGCCATAATGAGTAATCAGTTCAGCTCTAAATCAAAATTTCAATTTATACTGACCATTAAAACTATTTTATTTGAATGTCATCGGCAAGGTTTACAAATTATTTTGGCATGGATCCCTGGGCATACTGGTATAGTGGGAAATGAGACTGTTGATTCCTTTGCCAAACAAGCTACACTTAGCGGATCTCTCAATCACTGTGGCACTTACCCTAATGACCTAGCTTCTTTAGCTAAAAAGCAGTTGCTTACAGAGTGGTCAAAATTTTGGAAGGAATCAAGTAAATCAAAAGGCAAGTTCTATGCGAATATTCAGCCAGATATCCCTCATTCTCCATGGTTTACCAAAATGCGAAATGCCAAAAAAAGTGTTGTTTCCACATTATGCAGACTAAGACTTGGTCACGTATGTACTCCCGTTTTCCTGGCCAAGATTAGGGTGAGGGACAGTTCCTTGTGCGAGTGTGGTATCGACGAGGGTACCCCAGATCATATCTTTTTTAATTGCTCCAAAAATAGCCATTCCCTCTATTCATTGCTTCCGTCACATGTCCATCTTCCTACAGATTTTTCAACTATATTATCTTTAGTTTATTCAGATTTTGTGAATATTCTGTGTATGTATATTGATTCTAACAATATTAAATTGTAGATATAGTTTCACTGGTACTCATATCTCAGCTTTATTACTTATTGTTTCAGGCAGCTCAACATATTATACCTTAACCTTTCCTTTCTGTTTTTCCCTATTCTTTTCCCAAATCCTAGGTCCTTGTACTTGCACAAAGCCCTTCCACACCATAAGCAGAGTTTTAGACAATAAACAATCCCTCACCGAACAAACATAGACAAGAAATTTTGGACACAAACACCAGATATTGGCCAAATCCTGAGGGAGCCATCACTGAAGAAATCTAATCTAATCTTTCCCTTTTTTAAGTTTTTAATTCCAGACTTAGACAACCCTCCTCAATTGTTTAATAAATCTTTTGAGATTATTTTATTAACATTTCTGATAATGACATCTATAGACGCTATAGATTTACTTCAACAAATATTTCGCCATTGTCCTTTCTTAGTTGTACAATATCTAAACATATTTATATTTATTTGTTATATTGATAAAAGAAAGAAAGTTTCTGATATAATGCCATTTAGCAACACCACGAAAACCAACCATATATACATGGTGTTGTAATCCGGGTGAGGCAAATGTTTTTATGATGATTGATTCATTTAAACTGAAGTCATATCTGCTTATATAATATTTCTAAATAATATACAGCGTTACCACACATCCCGATTTTTTAATCAAAATTAAATGTCCCGCGCGGGACAGGTTCAATCCCGCTTTTCGGAAATAACACGACCTTGCGTGCAACGTACTGAGAATGCGCGGGCGGGTGGCACAGACAAGTGTGGGCTGGCCGACTGCCCGGCGCGTAGTGAAGAACTCTCAAACAAAGACTCAATTATTTAACGATAGGGTAAATCTGATTTAAAATATCATATTTTTTATTAAAATACATGGATATATCATACATCTATGGATATATTTAATAATAATAATAATAAGATTTATTGACCAAAAAAATCAGTACAGTAAGATTACGTAACAAACTTAGCACTAGTTATACAGAAAGTATAATTTATTAGCCTCTGCTGCTAACTAGGCAATGCCTGTATTTCAGCAATCAGCGCCATGAACCCCCGCAGACATGAGAATACTAAACTAGACTAAACATTTATATATCTACCTGTTACCCTAGTATTCTAAGACACAAGCCTTACAATTCTTACTTTGGGAATAAGCTTATTAATGTGTTAAAATAATTATATTTATTTATATGAACCACAGGTTACAACGTCTCCCTGCTGTTGGACCTAGAGAACATCCCTGAGGACTGGGAGGATGTGGTGAAGAAGGTTGGCTTACTGAAGAGGAATTGCTTCGCTTCAGTGTTTGAGCGCTACTTCCGGCTGCAGGAGGATGGTGATGTGGGCCACAAGCGGGCCGTCATCAACTATAGGCAGGATGAGACGCTGTAAGTATCTGCTTCTCTGATTTTAATATATCATCTTGTCTGTGAGACGCATAATAAGGTTATACCAACAATATTTATAGTAGCTGGACATTTTTCCAGTATAATGCGAATGTGTGTTTGTTACTCTTTCACGCCTAAAACACAGAATCAATAATGCAGAATTTTAGTATAGGGATAGATGGAACTACTTTTTGTCGAATAGGGATTAAATATGGGATGAACTTTTGCATGGAAAACCAATTCAATCACACACGGACGAAAACGAGGACACCCTCAGCTAACTAAGTAGTATTATAAATATGGAAGTTTATATGTTTGTTACTCAGTCTTGCAGAACAACTGAATAGATCGATAAAATTTAGATTTTTAATTCCTCGGATTGACAAATAGTAAAATCGAAGATACTTGTTTATTTTGCTATTTTTAAAACCTTAATAAATCACAGTAAGAGGCTTTCTAATAATTCAAAATAACTAAAATATACTTGGGATATTATGTATTTAAAAATTTGCTTCTCAAACAACAAACCCAATGCTGAGCTCTTTACAGACCCCTCTTTCCCAGTGGGCACTTTGGGCAAGTGCCCAGGGCCCCGCTATCGATAGGGGCCCACTTAGTTCCTGTTATATCACCAAACAGGGGTCACAGGGGCCCCATTATCCGAATATGCCCAGGGCCTCCAATAGGTCAAAGGCAGCACTAACTCTATATGATAGTCTTTGCTTTAGCATTAGAAACCAGTAAAATATCATTGACCCCATGTGTATTTGTCAGAATTAAAATTTATTTTATCGCAAATGAAGACATATTTAGTTTTTACAATGAAATTAACGATTCTGAATTCCTCATTTGTTACTTATTCCATCATCATCATCATCAGGATTTGGCGGCATCGATCAGGATCGGCCTTTCCAATGGATGGAATAGGGAGCCAATCTCCTCATGATCCACCACGCGGGCCCAGTGCGGATTAGTGGGTGCTAACGACTGCAGATGCAACCGGGACCAACGGCTTAACGTGCCTACCGAAGCACGGAGGAACTCGAAATATAAGATTTATCTAATAACTAACCACTGCGAAAGTTGCTTAACTTCAACGATCGCAGCCGAACGCGCTAACCATCCGCGCCATCGCCATTATTTACTAGCGGCCGCCCGCGACTTCGTATGCGTGGAGTTGGTTAGAAATAAAGGTTCACTGCTCGTTCCCCGTAGGTGATAGCGTGATAATATTTAGCCTATATGTTGACCCGACTTCTTAATAATATTTGTGCCAAATTTGAAGTAAATCCATGTAGTACTTTTTGAGTTTATCCTGGACATACATCCAGACAAATAGACAAAAATTCTTAAAACCATATGTTTGGCTTTGGTATAAATTGTAGTTGAATCTTAAAAAAATATTTAATGTACAGTTTTGACTTTCCTACCATTTTATTATATGTATAGATTAAACATAATAATTGCATGGCTTAAACCCAATTAATATTGTAATTCTATTTGTTTAGATACGTAGAAGCACAGGAAGACCGGGTGACGGTCGTATTCTCCACAGTGTTCCGGCACGAAGATGACATGGTCATCGGAAAGGTTTTCATGCAGGAGTTGAAGGAGGGGAGAAGGGCGTCCCATACCGCTCCCCAGGTGAGAATAGTAGGGTTATAAATAAAAAACGAGCGAGCCTTACAGTAGTCGCGATGATGTGTAACATTTGAAACTTTACCTTAAATTAGTAAAAAAAGAAATAAAACGTACTACAAAAGGAATAAGCCATTTGAACATTATGTTCTAAAATCAAATCAAATAGCGCGCGCTTTCGCGACTTCCTGTTACACACTTCCGTGTCATTTCACGAATTCACTCCCACAAATTGCAGGAAAGCGAGAGGAAAGATGTTAGACATCGATTAATCCTTAGACCACAGTGCACATATGGTAGGCTATTTGACAGTATGAAAAATCATGTATAGATTGTTGGCGTCTGTATTTAATATGAATTTTGGCAGCATTTTTACTATTTTTTTATTTATTTATTTACTAATGTTTATGGAGTCCATTAAAAGCGGATATTTTTAATTCTGGTGTGTCTCACTTGTGTGTGACGTCACAAGACTAACATTAAAACGTCAAACGTAACAATGTAATGTCACTTTGTGACACTGTTTGTGTAAAGGCATATAAATAAGGCACACCACTTGTCAAGTGAGCATAGTAGCGTAATAAATAAGTAAATGAGGGTGAGGCCTTAACAAAAATTTGATTTCAAAAAACTTGATTGGTTGTCTTTTAAACGAAGGAAACAAGACCCAGTTGTCAAAAACTTGGAAACAAATCTGCAGAGATTACAAATGTTTATTTTGAAATCTTTACAGATTTATACAGCAGATTATTTAATATCAATGTGATGACAATGTCTGAATATAAAATAAGCATACCAAATATAGTAAAGTCATTCAGCTTTAGAGTATTATTACTTATATTGCCAAATGTTAATAACATGTCTTATGTGAACTGTATTTTCAATGTCTTCTTTTACAGGTTCTATTCTCGCACAAAGAACCACCATTAGAACTCATGGATACGGAAGCGAAAGTAGGAGAAAATATCAGTTATGTCACATTTGGTAAGTTTTTTTTACTATGTCACAGTTATATTTTGGGCTTTTAGAAATGAAAAAAAAATGTCTAATTAGTATAGGGTTGATTTCTAACTTTATTTCCTTCGTCTATCATACAAAAAAGTATTGGACACGTAGTTATTCCTTATTCACATAATCAAAACATTACAGATGTTGACTTAAAAGGTCGTATGACGTCAGGTCATGGTTACCAAAGTCACGAGTTTGTTAATACCAATTCCGCATGTCTGTCATACAATGTTTTATATAACACATTTGCGAGAAAGCAGTACCTTTTCCTAATTTAAGCAATGAAGCAAACTTTTTCTAATAAGAAAATGGCGCGCATTTCGAAGTGGCGTACGTGTCGGTGGTGAAAAATAGAACTACATCTTTCGTCTTTTTAGTTTTAAAGTGCAACAAAAGGTATATATTAAAAACGTTTCCTAAGAGGTTCGACTTATATAAAAACAAAACTGTAAAGGATATGCACGGCGCCATGTATGGGAGCGTGTAATTAAAAGTTTTACCCCTCGATCAACAATTCTGTATATAATGGGTTGCATTCAAAATCAAACCTAAAAACTGTCCGCGTATTAAATAAAACTAGTTTTTACGGGTTAATGCACGAAACTTTATTTATTTATTGACGTTTCGTAGCCTTTACACGCTACGTCGTCAGAATCAAACTTTTATTTTGGCCTAAGACCTACCTAAGAAACAGATATGTCCGCGTATGTTTAAACTTATGCAGCTACATTCGATTCCCAATGAACAAAGACAAATGTTTTAACCAGTTTAAGTTGAACCTAATAACAACTATCTCTTAAAGGAATAAGGTTATAAATAACGAAATGTTATTTCGTGCATACAACCTTTTATCTTATAAAGCGAACTTTTGTTCCTTTTATATAAATTTATATCTGATACATGGATAACAAACGATAAAGGTGTAAAAAGGAAAATGTGAAATCAACCTTATGACTCACAATATAAAATATTTTTGCCAGTCATTGGGCCAGCGAGTTACTTCGTTTGTATTCACCGAGACGGATTTAACGTTCAGACCCGTTATCTATAGAATTGTTGATCGAAGGTTTTGCCCGCTTCTGTGTATGCATATAGGTATAAGAGTAGGGGAGATATAGACTACTACAAGTGGAAGTGTCCCTCTAATAGAAAGAGAAAGAAGATGAGAGACCGCTAGCTTTCTCTCTGTAATCGCGCATGCGCATTGGCAACCGTAAGCATCTTACTATTTCGATGTGATGCCACTGGATGCCATGCGTCACAAGAGAGAGAGATAGCTAGCGGTCTCTCATCTTTCTCTTTCTACTAGACGGACACTTTTAGAGCCGCCTTCCCCACTCTATTGTTATACCTCTATGGGTGTATGGCCCGTAATTTTGAATTTTCGAACAGTGTATACCAACCTTCGTAAATGCATTTTTTGAGCAAAAGTGTTGAAAATGTTATATCTGTCTGTCCGTTGTCAGTGTTGTTCCCGCGGCACACGTGCGCGGCGGCGCGCGACAACACCATCGACCTGCTGCACATGTTCCGCGACTACCTGCACTACCACATCAAGTGCTCCAAGGTACGCATATTTATCTTTAAATCAAAAATCATTGATTCAGTCTAGGCCATTTCAAGCACTTGTGAAGGTCAAGAAGCTACGCCATCGGTTCGCAAAACTACGGCGGGAGACCTTGTACTGAGAAGAACCGGCAAGAAACTCAGCAAGGGCTGTTTATTTCTCCCTGTATTGTTATATACAGAGTCGTCAAGTTGAAAAATGACTTCAATTTATAGTTAACTATCTATTTAGTATATAGGAAGTGGCATTAGATAGGTACCATATTATTACTTTTATGAAAAATTACTAATACCCATCAAATAACAAATTACAAGGCCCATGCATTAACTAATTAACATACTAATTAATTAGCTGACCCGGCGAATCTTGTACCACTTACAATAATTTGGTGTTCGCACCATTTAAACCTTCCCTATCCCCGTAGCATGAGCACCACAATCACACTAATGTTATAAAGGCGAAAGTTTGTGAGTGTGTATGTTTGTTACTTCTTCACGTCTAAACGGCTGGAGCGATTTTAATAAAATTTGGTATGACTAGTTGGTAGCTGACACTGGATAACACTTAGGCTACGTTTTACTGCGAGGCAATAAACCGCGGGGCACAGCTAATTTATACTATAACACGTTTTTTATTGCGTGTAACTGTCAAACTTCATAGTAATTTGACAATTGAGCGTGATAAAAACGAGCTATTTAACATATCGCGGTGATCTTGCTACGGGGATAGGACTGCGACAAACATTTCAAAACCAAAATCAGCTAAATCCGAGGAGCCATTTTCGACTTGAAGCGATACAATCGAACAGAATTAATTTATTAATTCCATTAATAAATTAATTTAACTAAAATTTAAAATTAATTTAATAATTAATAAAACACATGTGTTTTGGCGTTTCCCACAGTGTTGCCAACTACTAGCATTGCCCAGTTGCTAGACATCTTACAAAATGTTGCTAAATAGTCAGTTTTTATTACCCCAAAAAGTTGCTAGAAGTAGCTAAATGTTACACGAGTTAAAAAGGATACTATATTACAAGAAGGGATATCAACATTGACCGTAGACGCAAAAAAATGAGTTTAAGACTTTTATTTTTATAAGAAAAACTTGTAAACTAAAATTATCATACTAATTTTACCGAAAAAGTCAGATTTCAACAAAACGAGTTTTAAATTCACGTACCTGTTTTAAACTCTACTTTCTGTCTAAGTTTTTTTGTCCTAGCATGTTTCTATATGTCAAATAATTTAATTTCCGTAGAACAAGTAGTACAAAACGCTTTGCTTGAGTCTCTACTTGCTGCTCTTAACAAACCTATCTGTATTTCTGAGCTTATGTTTTTTTTCTAAAGGGTAAATTCATTTTTACATTCAATTAAAACAGCGAGCATTAGTTTTATATGGATAAAATAAAAAAACACTGGGTAGAATACGTACGTACGAGTTGTACGTACTATTTTGGTTTAGTAAATAAGTACCCACGTTCTGTCATAGCGCATGCTGTTGTAGCGCAATAGAATTCTCGGCCAAGGACTTACTACTACTATCCTTAATCTATGACCATAGATTCACGTTCAGTTTTTATTTTTTCGTTAAAGATTTGGTATTCTATGAATCTCTCATGATGAAATGTAAAATTGCTATAAAAAATAGCTAAAAAGTTTAGCTACAAATTTTATTAAATTGTAGCTGTGTGACACCAGATAATAGCTAGATCTAGCTATAAAATTGCTAAGTTGGCATCACTGGTTTCGCATACTATTCAGGCTGCGTCGTTAGAATTATGAATTTTATTTACTGTTACCGAGATACGAGTTAAAAAATCCTCTTTGATATTGTTTCGCCAGTTCTTCTCAGAAAGGTCTCCCAATTTGGAACTGGTGCTAGTTTAAGGTAGTTTGGGTCAAATAAATAAACATAAAAATTTCAAAATAATTTAATAAAGTAACTAATAAATTCATACATCGATCTCCATGGCCGCCTGGTTTGTACGCCGGGTTTCATGGTGACTCGAGAGGTCCCGATTTCGAATCCCGGTGGGGGCAATTGTTTGTGTTATGAATACGAGCATTCCAGTCATGGATGTTTAATATGTATTTCTATATAAATATACTTATATATGTACTGTATATGTACTCTATCCGTTACTCTAGTATCCCCTAAACATAAGCCTTACTGTGCTTACTTTGGGGTTAGGCTAATTGGTGTGAGTGTTGGAAATATATTTATTTATTTATATACATGGACAATAATCTTTAAATTAGCTATCCGAACGTTCAATAAAAGTTTCACTTCAATAAATAAACTGTAATGTATTCAGGTGTACGTTCACTCCCGTATGCGTGCTAAGGCGGGCGATCTCCTGAAGGTTCTGAACCGCGCGCGCCCGCAGCCTCGCGCGCAGGAACGGAAGACCATCACGTGAGTGCATCATCATCATCAGCCTATTAATGTCCCCCCCCCCCCCCCACTGCTGGGGCACAGACCTTCCCTATGGATGGAATAGGGAGTTTGGGCCATGACGCGGTCCCAGTGCGGATTGAGTGGTGGTAACGACTGCAGATACAGCCGGGACCAACGCCTTAACGTGCCTTCCGAAGCACGGAGGAGCTCGATATAGTAAATTTTTGGTCACCTATCCAATCACCGACCACTGCGAAAGTTGCTTAACTTCACCGATCGCAGCCGAATGGGCTAACTACTTGCGCCTTCGAGCTCCTCGTGCACGTGAGTACAGCGCGATTCAAAATCAATAGCAATACTATGAAGTTTGCGCGAGTCTGCAGATACACGCTCGCTGCTAACTTCACGACTGCCATAAACTTTAAATCAGTACACTATATAAAACATACAAATCGAACAACAATTAGTACAAAACATAAAACTTATAATATCTCTAATGGGAAGCCCGAGGACAATAGTAGAAGCCTACAGCAATATTTGGGCATGCTGAGCTTTCTGGAGAAGCTGGGATGGCAGGACTGATACCAATCCCCACACAAAATAGGCACGGTGTCGAGTTGCGGAAACAGCCCGCCGTACTACTAAGACTAACACTTATAATATATACAACATTTGCATTCCGATGTGGCTTCTGTCTGTTATACACTTCCAGACACATCTATCAGCCCACCTAGCATTGTAAGGTTTGGCGGTTCCTAGCTAAAAATAAAAGTTATAATGAGCGAAAAGTTTATATCCACGCAATTTTGAAGCTGATATACACTAATATTTGTTTGTTATACGGTTTGTTTCAGTGGTAGAACGTTTGTGCGGCGAGATTGAGTTTACGCGTCGGCGGGCATATTACACCACCCGGCATCAGCGGCCTGCCGTACCACACCAGGTTACCGAGCGATTCTCACCTCTATTACAAACCTGTTAACGCTCAAAATCCAATGGAGAAACGTAGTCGATTTTGTGCCGAATTTTGAGCTCTTGAAAGTTATGTTTGTACCGTTTTGTCTCGGGTTATAATTGTCAGTTTCGATGCGGTTTTCGCTAGATATGGGTGTAGAGTAAAATGGAACGATCGTAGCTGGTGAAAACAAGTTTCAATTTTCGGTGCATCCTTTGTTGCGAATTTCGAGATCTTGACCGAGTTTACGTAAACGCATACATATTTTCATTTCTAGAGTTATCTTAGTACAATCAGTTTCTCAACAGATGGCGCTCTTCGAAAGCAATACCATAGCAATGATGATAGATTATCAAGAAGTATTGGACACGTATTTTTTCTTTATTCACATAATCAAGTCATCGTCACGTCTTAGAATTTTGGCGCGCTTTATCTTTGTAATTTTTGGTCGATTAACAAAAGAAAAAAACACATCCATACGTTTTGATAATCTATTTGTCGGACTAAATGGAATTTCAATTACTTTACCCCGTCATCATCCTTATTTCCTTTATTTATGCAAACATTGTTTTTCATGTAATTTCAAAAGTTTGGTGTCGGATCGAGTTACCACTACTTTCAAAATTATCTCCCTCGATTTCAAACTGCATTTAGATCAAATTAGGGTTGTAAATGATTTAGAGAAATTTGTCAGTTTCGAGTGACCTCGTGTGCTGTAGTCTTCTTACAAATATGAAACACAAGTTTACGTAAAAACACATCCGAATAGCACCAATTCAATGGTATAAATGTTGCAGTTACTTAGTAGTGCGAGTGATGTGTGATGTAATACCTCTTCCGGATAGAATGTATTCGTAATATGTAAATTCTACAAATTTTATCGATGTCGATACATCATCTGAAGTGGTGTGTATTTTGGATAAGTTTTTGGGTTTCTTTTCGCATACCTAAGCATTTTGGATACAGAAGTATACATACGAATATAATTCGCAAGAAAACATCATTTACCAATAAGCACAAGTTACTTTTAATGAAGTTTGAAAACTTTCCGTTATTTTTTATCTTCGATAATATTTGTAGAAAAGACCGCCGACAGAAGTAAACCTAACTTCTGTTACCTTTGCTTTTCGCGATTTTCTTACGTACTTCTGGAACAAATAAAGCCTCCTGCTTCAAGCCTTGGGTAAATTACAGCTTTCATCAAGTTGTATACACGAACATAGCGTGTTATTATAAGAAATGCGACGTTAAAATGACCGCGCAGCAACCATAAATAAGTAAACAATTAAATAAATTAGTGGACGCATAACTCCGATAATTTTATTTTATTCTTTTATAAATAATGACCTGAAACAAATATTTATATCTTATAGTCGAGGCTATTATAAAGGCATGCTTGACTACGAATGTCGCTCTTTTCGCTGGGTAATTAATGGGCATGGTCTCGACTGTACATACTATTTTTTGTTTAACCCTTCAACAGCGTAAGTGTAGCTCTGCACGCCTTCGTGAGTATAGCCCGTTTGGGGAAGTGCAGATCTGCTCGCTCGTCACCCGTATTCAATTTTTTGCATTTTTGGAAATAAATGTAATGTAATACAGTTCAAAGTCTTTTGAATTTTAAACCCAGATGAATAAACCATTCACTCATTGCAGTGAAGTCGTTCTTATGACCAAACAACCGTTAGTACGACGATTTTAAAATCGACCACCGGGAAGTTCGCAACTAAAAATTTCTTGTTCTGTGAAAGTGTGTTTTATTGAAGAAATCTCTATAAAGGTAAGTAATAAAGTGTTATTAATGTATTAAGAAAGTGTCTTAGTGTATTTAGAAATATAATCGAAACGAAAGACATTACTGATATCAAATAATCGCTGATAAAGTGCATGCATAAAAATACTGACTTTGGTAACGGTTGTAAAATTCAAAATATTCTGAAGGTTCTTCATATATTCTGCATGATACTTTTATCAAATTTACATTATGAATTCTTTAGTGTATTCAGTGATAACGAACTATACACAAAAAAGCTAAATTACGTGTAAAAAGTGTTATTTTTGCAAACATGATTCAAATCGCACGCACACATTCATAAGGCAATATGGCGGCCGGAGTGTATGCGTACACGGTGTCTGCGTCACCGTTCTACAGAGTGTTGTTTTTTTGGTCCGTTATGCCGAAGTTAGTAAAGATCCGTATTTGAATTAGATGTTATTCACAATAAAATACGCAAATCATACTGTCCTACGTTGAGACTGATATAAAAGTAATCCGAAATTTGTAATGATTATGGAATATCTATTTTTATTTAATATTACTATATGCGTAAGAAAAGATAATACGTGATATCATTTACTTGTATAAAACAGATGTAATAGCTAATTTTATAGCTAAACCCAGACCACAACACAAGCACAAATACCTATTTTATCAACAAATATTTTGTGATTGTGCGGGTATCGAACCCGCAACCCTTACGTCACAATCTAAACAGCTAAACAGGTCGTCAAAAATAATAAATAATATAAAATACTAGGTATTTTAGGCCTGTGAAAAAAAATGGGTTACCGAATAAAAATCAATGACCGGGTAGCCCAGCTGTCGACGATGTACCTACACAGTCTTAGTAAATTATCGTAATATTTTCAAGGTTTCCATTCAAAATAAAAAACAGTAACATCTCTAACGCTCAACCCGGCCGACTTTAAAGCATGCCGCCGCTATTGTGGATTGCCGCTCTTTTCGCGGCACCTTTGATAAGGTGCGTGTGCGCGACTTCAAAAGGTGCCGCCTCGCCTTACACGTGCTTTGTTGCTAACATTTAATCAATTTGTTCAGTCTTCTTCGTTGTTCGCGTACCGGCTGTCGTATCCAAGTTTATTACTGTGTACGGATTGTTATATATATACACTGTTTTTTAAAAAGAGTCAAATTTAAATTCTCGATTAGAGAAACGTATATGTTAATTAGCTACATTCAAATTAAATTGTGTTCATACAAAAAAAATAATTGGCAAGTTTTTTCGCGAAATATGATGTTTATCGATGTCTCAATATATGCTAAGTAAATTATCTCGGGTATTTAAAAAGTCACGGTGTATATTTTTTGTTTACTTTTTATTTTTTAAGAAGTGGATGCAAATAAATAGAAAACTAATTAAGTATGCTTCCCTTGAACTAGGTTTTAAGATGGAAGATAACAACCAACTGATAAGAGCCCTTGAGGTCCTGAGGACTCCTCAGGGCAGCTTAACCGTTGGCCCTGAGGTAGTGATGGCAAGAACAGGTTCCGGGAGGCTTCGTGTAAGTACCTACTAAAAATATTTCCCTTGTCATACAAAAAGGGTCAGCTGATCGAATGAAGACGGTAAAATTATGTTTTTTAACATTTATACATTATTTTTGTTTGTTATTTACAGCCATGGCGGCCCCCAGCCGATGTACCGTTACAAGGTGGCGAGGGCGTCGAAATCATTGACGAGATGCACTTGGCCCGTCGTTGCCTATTTCCTGAGCCTCAAATTCGGCAAAACGTAATTATTTGTTTGAACTGAGCTAACTTTTCCGACTAAAACTAATTAATTTGTAAAAAAAAGGCATAGTATAACAAAAATAAAATAACAAAAATCATCTCCTTTCAGTCAGATGAACCAGGAGGAAACGGAGAGGACGAGGCCAACCAAAATGATGTAAGTTTAGTCTAACTTGCACTAAAATCTCGTGGTTTAGGTGTGGCGTGTTTTGTGTGTGGACCTATTACATTCGTAATGCTAGAATAGCCATGGTAACGCAGCTTTGGTCTGATTGTTTGATATTACGGCAGTATTTTGACATTATGTTTATAAGAAATATAATGATTTATTATTATTTTGGTGGGCAAGTCCATTTTAAAGCATGAATTTTTTTGGACAATGTGGTTACCATTAACGTTACAAATACCAATTAATTTGAAGTGAATATTGTTATGAAAATAATTCTATATTACCATTGTTTGCTCATCATAAGTAAATAAGATTGACGCATCTGACTTGGTGGTGATTTATGATAAAACGTGGCTCCGCATTTACTAACAGTTACGCATAATATGCATGGTTTGCTTGTGGTTGAGGGTTTGCATGTGTTTACAGTGGGAAAATGAGATCTTCGACGAGGAAATAGCTCGAGAGTTGGCGGTCGATTCAGGAAGCGAAGCGGATGAAGCCGACCTCCTGACCAACGATCAGCTTCGTGATCTCCTCGAGGCTTCGCCTGAAGAGGAAGCCGAGGCAGAACAAGACATCACAGATTATGAATTTTCATGGAGTCCTGATTACTCCACTTTCACCGGCCAACGAGAGACGTTTTCAGAAGATGTTGGTCCCACCATTGACGAAACTTCGCCGATTGGCATATTTCGTCAAATGTGGGACCAACATATTCTAGAAACGATAGTTAACCAGACAAATTTATATGCCTGGCAAACAATTGCCCAGGCTTCCGAAGCTGGTATACCAGCCCGATCGAGATTAAACGATTGGGTTGAGACATCGGTTTCGGAAGTCTACCGGCTTTTTGCCGTCATAATTTTAATGGGCTTATGCGTTAGAGGCCAAATCGAAGAGTACTGGCAGACAGGAATAATGGGTATGCCAGGGTTTCGGGCCATAATGACTAGGGACAGGTACCTCATTCTTATGAGGTTTCTGCATTTTGTCGATAACGACGAAATCGTCGGACGAGGTGAAGAAAAAAAAATCGCAAAAATTCACCCCGTAATCCAATATCTAAACTTAAAGTTCCGTGCACTATACCGTCCTTCCAGGAATTTAGCGATTGACGAATCGCTACTTCTCTGGAAGGGACGGCTCAGCTGGGTCCAGTGCATCCGCACAAAGGCGGCCCGGTTTGGTATAAAAACGTATGAGCTGTGCGAGTCGGTCACTGGATA